TAGGGAGCCACGGACCCCACCCCATCGCCCACCAGATTCCTGCTCACTCACACCCACATCCACACCCACACCCAGAGCGAACCGGTGAGCGAGGAGGTTGGCTCGCCATCCACCACCAACACCCAACGAATTCCGACGTGGCCATCGTGGACACTCCGAATTGCCTGCCCATCCACTCGGCACTGCCCACTTCGCTCGGGACGCACTCCAGCGTGTAGGAAGTCGCGGGGATCCCACCCTCCAACACGTCCCACATATCGCGTCCCGCGGGGAACCAGACGGTTCGGCGGAAGGAGGAAGGAGGAAGGAGGAAGGAGGAAGTCGCGGGAGCGCGAAGCTCGCACGTGGCGGTGCAGAGATCATGGAAGGATCCGGTAATCGCCATCGCACAGTCCCACTCAATGCCCTCCGCCTGATTCCACACACACCGCATACAGAACCGCGGGGATCTTCTCTTGGCGGGAGAGATACCCGGTGAACGCGGCCACGCTCAGATAGATGGGTGCGTGCTGCACGCTCTGCACGCTCTGCACGCTCTGCACGCTCTGCAGGTCCAGGAAGCAGTTCGTGCTGGCGACCTCGCTCTCGCTCTCGCTCTCGCTCTCGCTCTGGATCACGGCCATCGACGCCATCCACGAGCGTCGCACCACGTAGTACCGAATGCTGGCGCCGCCCAGCTCCGCCGGCTCTGCCCACTGCACGCGCAGCGAGGTCGAGGAGAGCGCGGCCACCTCGAGGTTCTGCACCGCGCCGGGCGCGACGACATACGCGGCGAGGGTGATGGGAGAGGAGGCCTCGGAGAGGATGGAGCACGCGGCGGAGCACAGCGCCACGCGCAGCCAGTAGGCCACGCACGCATCGAGAGAGAGCGAGAGAGAGAGAGAGCTCGGGTTGCTGGACGTCGCCCTCTTGGAGGAGCGCGTCGGCGGCGAAGAGCTGGGAGTGGGAGCCAACCAAGGCCTGCACGAAGAGCTCGCACCACCACCAGACCCAGCGCACCTGCGTGGCTTCGAAGGCGGCAGCAGCACGACGGGCGCGGAGGGAGGGAGGCAGGCAGGCAGGCAGCAGCACGACGGGGCGGTAGACGGAGAAGGACGCGAAGGCGGACCAGGAGGCGCCCTTGCGGACACGCCAGCTGATGGCCATCACGCTGTTCACAATGGCGCCCGCCACCAACACGGAGCGCGTCTCGAAGAACTGGGTCTGCACATTGCTGCCCATCAAGGCCATCCATCGGGGCTTCATCGGAGATGCCACTGCTCCAGGGAACCTCCATCTGCACAGACACGTTGCGCTGCGCTGCGCCTACTCCACTTCCCTCATACCAATCGCGCTCTCCACAATCCGAGCAGGCCACAACCGAACGCCAACCGAACACCAACCGAACGCCAACCGAACGCCGGCGCGGGTCGAGAAGGTCGCGATGAGGGTTTCCGCGGGGAAGGGGAGGCCGTTTCGGGACACCAACCTGTTGGCATTGATGTAGAGCGTGCGTGCCTTCGCAGAACCGCGGGAAGGAGCCATCGAAGGCGAAGGCGAAGGCGAAGGCGAAGGCAATGGTGTAGTCGGAGATGGAGATCGCGGTGGTGGGATAGGAGAACGTGGCCTCGGCCAATTCAAACACGATGTGGATGTTCATGGGCTCGAATGGGTCGTTGATCACCTCGCCCACGCCCACATTGCTCGTGCAGTACATCGTGGATTGCTTCCCATCTCCCATCGTCCACAGCGCCACGTCCCTCGCCCCATCGCCCGCCACGCAGCGCAGCGCAGCGCAGCATCGGCAGGATGGGCTGGCAGGAGCCCGTCCCCTATCGATCGATCGATTCCCACTGCTGATAGGCGTTGCACCCATCCGTGATCATGCCCCACTAGTCCACATCGCACTTCGTATCCAACACTTGCCCCAAGTGCCCTTCCGGCTACCCCGCCGCTTCGTCCGCGGGGCACACCACCGCCACGCACCTCACCTCTCTTCCATTCCAACACTTCCCACACGCCCGCACCACGCACACCTCCACCTTCCCATGCTCCACAGACCCACAAATGCAGAACTGCACCGTCTTGGAACTCGCCTGCTCCCACTGGCCATTCCAATTCACTCGGCTCGCATCCATCAGAGGCGAGGACCGTCCCCACAGCAGTTCGCATACTCCGCCTTCTTGTCCCATTCTCCCAAGTTCCACACACGCTCCGCTTCTACAAACCTACAGCTCTTGCTCCCATAGTTTGCCCTTTCACTCATCGCAAATCCGTTCTCTCTACCACACTCTACCACCCCACAATATGAAAATGAAAATACGAGAAACAGAACAGATATCCTAGGCAAGAACGTCGTGCCTGTACCAGATACCTCCCACGTTGCAAGTTATCTCCATGTATCCGCGGTCCCACATAGCATGAATGGGTTCGCCACGTTGCACAGTTTGAAGCACAGAAATTCCTCACTCGGAACACACTCCACACAGCAAAAATGGAACCAGGGTCCACCGCCATTATGGTATTGAATGCGTTCACGATGCATATCTCACACACACAGTTTAGTCAAAGTAACGATAGCAAAGACTACACTAGCTTCTTCAAACACACCAACTTGAGGACAGAATCCATCCCAGCTACAATACTTACACTCCCACAACACAACACACAAAAACACATAGAAGTCCGAAAACAAAACAAAAGACAGGGCATACAAGTCCAATTCCAAATTTTGAATACATTCAAACCCAGTAAGACGAATCTAATAGCTTTTATTGTAAAACAAATGATTTCAAAAATACACAGGAATTGTGCAATTGTGAAAATAGTGTTAAAATTGGGTATGAGTGGAAGAATAGATTTCGAATAGGGAGGGAGTTGTTTTTACTGTGGAGTGGAAGGAGATGAGCGGAAATGGGATATTGTGGAATGAATAGATCGAAGAGTGTTGTTTCCAGTGGAAGCGTTTTGTTTTTCGTTCTATTCATTTGGAATTTTATATAGATGGGATAGAAAGAAATAGGGTATGTAGAAGATGATGATAGGAATGAAAATGGAAAAGCTAGCGATAAACAGTTTTTGGGTTATCATTTATAGTAATAATATGTGATATGTGTATAGTAGAATCGAATAGTAGAGTTTGTGAGAAAGGTGGGTGTGTCGTTGAAGAACTGAGCAAAATAAGGTAGAATACATAATATATTTTATATACGAACAAATAGAGATATATTCATATTCCACTGTTTCTAGGTTTTTCGATAGTTGGTGTGCAGTTTTTGTCGTTTTGATGCACTCTGAACCTATCAGAGTTTGTTGTATTGCCAGAGAATACTATCTCTTATTCTAACCCATATAGTATCCCCCACCTGCCAAATAATGCAGAATATTTCCTATTTAAAGGAAGTATCGAATTGTACACTTCAATAGGGATACAAAGTGATTCACAATGTTGTTCTATTACGAGCATGAATAACAATAGTATACATAATACTTGCTGTTTGAGTTGGTTGATGAAAGTGAAATGCTTTGGTTCCCAACTCATTAGGATGAATAGAATTACTCACTAATAGTGATATCAGTATTGTTGATGATAAAGCTGAAATCCATAAGAATGGACTCTATGGGAATGAGTAGTTGTCCAATATCAAGCTGTGAGACATATCTGGCTGATTATTTGTTGGAAGCAACAATCAAACTATTACTTTTCAGATATATATAGACGATAGACATTGATATCTATCTATCTATCTATCTTCTTGAATACCTTACTGAAGTTGTGCTTACAAGATATCGTGAATGAGATGTAGACATTCGAATTCAAGGAGATCGGGCGGTCATTCGCGTCTGTCAGTACCCAATCAATGGAATCCAGGTTCGATTGTTCAATCACATCGATCGATAGGTTGTCCCAGGTGATCATGTTGTTCAGTCCCATCGATACATGAATCAGGTTATCGATCAGCGGACTCTTCAGACCGAATGTTTGAGCATTGATACTACTGTAGACTCGGATCACACTCATGCCGTTCGTGATGTCGTAGGCTCCTCTGGGTATTAATACCTCGTGTGGGGATGTCCCCGCATCGATTAATATCACTTGATCGGATGGTACGTTGTGCAACACGAAATAGGTATACAACGTCACAGACGATATGGAACATTGATCAAATGACAGAGGATCATCCAGCTTCACTTCCTTCTTCGTAGTATTACCGAACACTTCCATCATACTGAACTGGTTCATCGGTAGAATTGAGGAAGGCACTTGATCAATCACATCTTCGATCGTCAACTGGAGTTCGAATTCGCCGTTCAATCGCATGATATTACCATCCATATCGCGGAATAGGAACATCAATCGGTCGAATCGGGTTATCATCGGAATGCAGATGTCTTCCACGGTGCGGAGATAATTAACCTCGGGATCGTCAATAATCATTGTGGTGAGCAGGTTGTTGTTCTGGTTGGCAATCTTCAGATCGGAGGAACGCACGAAAGACGATTACACTTGGATCACTTGGCGATTTCGCGTGATATCAATCACGTTCGATCCATAGAACGAAGCGGGTAGAATGACCATTTGTCCTTCCAAACCGAGGATTTCTCGAATGTCCGGAGCATTGGTGAAATCGATGGTGTGTGTGGACTGGATATAAATACACCCATTACTCGAAAGCCTTCGTAGATATCGAGAACGTAGTATAGATCATGGTGTTGAGGATGGCAATGATTTGACCGATCGTGTAGTATCCAGGAGGAATCGTTAGCTCCTCGTCATTCGAGTTCATGACCACATTCGTAGAATCCACATTGTTGAACATGACTTGATTGGGTGTGAAAAGAACAATCACAGAAGTGATGCAGAGTTTACGATACTTAATATGGCTGATTCATTCGAACTTGCTGACCTGAAACGATCCTAATGAGAATCTGCTGATTTCGACCGCCATGGATTTGGCTTCTAAGACGTAAAATCCCTACTACTTCTATCAAGTTTTTAAACAAAACAGAAAGAAAGATGATTAGATTTTAACAGCCTTCTTGTCACTTGTCTTCTTGTCACTATTGTTCTTGGATAGACTCTTCTTGGAAGATGTACTCTTCGCGCTCCTTCCCTTCACACCACCTACAGCCTTCGCTTTTCTAGACACACGGACCAAAACAAAGACGACAATCGCAATAACGATAAGCGCTATGACCACCAAAACGATGATAGTCGCAATAGATATACAGGCTCCCGAAATTGGACCCCATTCTCCATCCTTTTCTCCAAGGTAGCAAGTTCTTCTCTCAGTCCCCACGTATGCACCACCCTTAGCGCAATCATAGACAAAGACTTCTCCAACATTCGTAGTGAGGAAGTTTCCATCATCCTTGCAGGTTCCCCTTCTAACAGAAATATCGATCTCAACAAAGGTGACGCCAACCAGATTCTTTCCGTAGATTGTGTATGCTCTTAATGCCATTTCTTCAACGGGAACTCCAGTGATTTCTCCAGTCTTGGCATTCAGCTCCAATCCAAGAGGAAGCTGGATATTTTCACCCAAATAGAACTCCTCGATGATGTTCAAATACGAAGGTTTAGCAACATGGACATTGGTTCCCAGGACAAGATTGTAGATAGAAGCATCGTACAAAAGTTTATCAGGGACTTTCTGTGTGCAGTACTGGTTGTTGACGTCACCCAACACACCCCCAGAGCACGTGCGGTACGAATATCCACGATATCCTTCCTCGCAAGAAGCGGGCGAGATTTCTCCCTCTCCCACAGACGGATAATCGCCGATTCCAGGACACACTCCAGCTCCGCTAGGCTTGCAGTATTGGAGAATGAACGTGCTTATGTAGATTATACTGTAGGCAGCAACATCCACCTCATACTTGATCTGTTTGAATCCAGCAATACCCAAGGGGACGGACCACGCAGTACGGTCCATGTACTCAAGAGTCTGTCCAGTGACTTCCAAAGACGAGGTGTATTCATCAGATGTCTCCTTGCGAACATACAAAGAGAATCCGAATCCCGATCCTCCATAGGGAGACTGGATGGCGAAGCTGTTAAACTTCGTTCCTTCCAGATTTTCCACAGCCCACTCGACATACGACCCCTGGGAGTTCGCTTGGTAGCCATAAGTGGAAGGATTCAGATTCAACAGTTCTTCGACCGTTATCATATTCACAGTGGATCCGTCAATCGAGCTGTATGTGTCCACCACAATGGAGCAGTCGTTCACGCCAAACACGCCAGTAGCATCGAACACAACAGGATTCGAGGAGGACTGGCCAGCTGGAAGATGGACCTCAAATGCCATGATGTTCTTTCCGGTTATTCCACCAACCGTCGACATGATCACATGGAACTTGGAGAACTCCTCCGCGTCGTGGACCTGGAGAGATTGTGATTCTTCATCGAAATTCTCTTCCAGATTGAATCGAGCCACCAATCTGCCATTGAAGTAAGCAGCAACTCCTCCAGCATACTTCACACGGATATTCAGCACATGGTAGTTGGCAATATCGGGGATGTTCACTTCCTTGCGAATGTATGTTGTGACTTTAGAATTCGTTCCAATATCTTTGGCCTTCTTCGATGCCCATGTAGAATCATCGAAATCCTTAGAGTTCCAGTTCTCCACATAATCATAGCTAACCTTCCATGCAGTATACTCAATCTGGAATGGGAAGTAGGAAGAGAACATTGTGCTCACAGAACTCACTGTATAGCTAAGTTGACCCAGTTCAAAGATCATTTCACCCAAGTCTACCGTCAGCCAGTATCCAGCGGGGTTCGACCACCCATTGCCGGAAGCATCGAGCAGCTGAAGGGTGTAGATTCCATCATTCAGACAGAAGTCTCCGTAGTTCAGGCTGTATTGAGCCTGGAATCCATTGTTCGATGCCACAACGTTGCCAGTAGTTCCAATTCCCTGGAAAACCTTATAGGAAGCATCTTGAGGATAGTAGTCCGTTTGGGCGACCAGCGTCACCAGAGAACGACCTCCCGTGCAAATTTCAACAGAGAGCGAGAACGAAGTAGTGGAGGTACCTCCAGTTAGCTTAGTTGCAGTGATGGAGTAGGTTGTAGCCACCATTTCAGCCGTAGCAGTTCCAGAAATCATACCAGTACTCGAGTCAAGGATGATTCCCGCAGGAAGAGCAGGAGTAATCTGGAAATTGAAGTAATACTCGGAGTTGGCATACACTTCTCCCATCTCAATATCCTTAAAGATCGTGGTTGGAGGGTAGGAAAGATCAGGAACCTCCATCGTCGTGTACACAGATTTCAAATCCAGGGTGTTGAATGACCAAAAACAGTCCGAAGTGTCTCCAGTCGCAAAGTTCTCAAACCGATACTGATTGTAAGCCTTGTTGTTTGCAAAGTAGATCGTGTGCGTTTGACCGATCTGAGACCAGGTAAGATTGGTTACATTCGTCAGAGATACCCACTCAGCACTTCCATCCCGAGCCTTAATAGAGAACTGATGCGGTTGCTGCGTGCTTTGAGTATAGGATAATGAAATATCCACAGAGTTGATCCATTCATGACGATCGTTGTTGAAAATAATATCCAAATAGTTTGTGTCACATATTGAATAATAGGCACTGTATCCGAAATACTGATGGAAAACATAGGTCGGTGATCCATAGATTTTTTCGTAATTAACAGTGTAGTCAAATACACGCGACTCGACCTTGTCTCCCATCATTCGTAAAGTACAATCAAAAATCGCTTCCTTCTGGTTTGCATTGGCAGCAACAATTGCAATGGCGATGGTATTCGACCCCTGCTGGATGAGGTTCACAGCAGCGGTATCACCAACTTGAACCGTCTTGATGGGAAGAGAAACCTGACGATACATCGTTTCCGTGTAAATGTTGTCAGCATAACTCGAAGTGCTGATCGTAGCATCCGTCAATCCCTTTCTATACGCTTCGTGCCCATTCAAATAGACAACGCATCCATACTTGAACTTGATGGAAAGAACGAATCCAGCGATGTTGTTGATGTCTGCCACATTGAATGTCTTCTTGTACAGCTGGATCTGGTTGGAAGAGTCAGGGAAATTGCTGGTATTACCCTCTGCCCATCCTTCCGTGGAGGTCGATGAATACCAATCTGCAGGAACTTCGCCATGCTTGTAATACCAATTCGTTCCAGCAAAAATAGGATACTGGACATAGAAATATCGAGAAGTGGGAAGGCCAATATACATATCATATCTCATACGAAGAACCGTCTCCATTTCGTTTCCGGACAATACAGTACGAACATAAAGATTAGAGGCTGAGTCCCAGTATGATAGAGTAGATCCAACAGTCACTTGATACTTTTGTCCAGTGAGGCATGCAATGCTTGTCCAGTCTACATTGTTTTCCTGAATCGTATTATAGGCGACAGACATCACCACTTGCTGATTGGATGTGTCTTTAATCTCGAAGGTCTCATAGAGCGCGTTCCATTGATAGGTCCGAAGAACGTTAATCATTGTTCCCGAGCATTCTTGGATGGTAAGCGTAAATGTCCCAGAGTACGTGTTTCCAAGAACAGTCGATGACACAGTGATCGATACTCCAGACACTGCCGTGTTGACAATACCAGAAATGACACAAGTGGTAGAATCAATGGTAAGTCCCTCGGGAAGATTCTGAGCCGTGCACGACGTGAATTCGGTAATATCTGGTCTGACGTACACCTCCTCATACTTGGCCCAGAATGTGTACGTACTTGGAGTGAACGTGATTGTTGTAGGAATTGCAGTGGCGCAAGTCATGGGTTGCAACTCATACATGTAAATGTAACCAGTAGCAGAGTCGATGTTAGTCAGACGATAATTGTTATAGGTTGAGGCATAGAAGTAACCAGTAAAAAGCTTATACGTGTTGCTCTCATAGACAGCATCTGTCACAGTAATGACATTTGTCCACTGCGAATTATCATTCGATCCTTGCAGAGTCATAGAAGAAGGACCGTAATAATTGAGAGTATATGGGAAGAAATTCATTGCATTGATATAGGGTCGAGGGCCGTTAAAGCTCATGGTGATGGTTGCAGGCAGCTGGGTTGTATACAGATAATAATAGGAGAACTTGTCGAAATCAAAAACATTTGAAGGGCTTGTATCAGAGCTTGAGCTCAGAGTGACAGACTCACTGTAGATAAAACACTCCGTGTTAGCAGCCGTAGGAGCCATAGTAGCAAGAAAAGCATTGAAATCGACGGTAGTTTGCGCAGTATAGAAATGGACCTCCACAGCCAGAATCGACTGTTGGGCAGCCACCTCAGAGCCAGGACGAATAAAACCACGATAAGCAATATCAGTGTACTGTCCAGTAGCAGCCGTACTCGAAGAAATATCCCCGGCAGGCATGTTATCACGATAGACCTCAGCTCCATTGATATAGGCAACCACTCCAGCCTTGTAGTACAGTCTCACATCGTAAGCAGCCATGTTCGCAAGACCCACGAACTGCTTGCGGAAATACTGAGTACCAGAGGCAGAAATCGTAACAGCGCCAAGTGTCACTTCACTCCAACTACTGTCAGAGAACGAATAAGCAGTCCAGCCAGTCGAAGCATCTCCAGAAACCATCTTCCACGAATCTCCCTTGATAATACCATAGTACAGAGAAAATGTATAAGTATCCTTAGAGTTATCTATCATGTAGTTCTTGAAGACTGCGTTTCCATAAGCTCCGTAGATGGCAAGGTAAGATCCTGCTTCCCAGGAGTCGCCATAAGAATCAAGGAGCTCAACGGTGTATTGGTTGTTGGTCGAAGTAGTTAAACATTGTTCAATAGTGCGTTCTTCATTTACAGCAAAGGTGGGACTGGTATAGAGCAAAGTAGATCCAGAATAAATCTTGAAAGATTCTTCATATGCGTAATACGGCCCGCTTTTCTTTACAAACTTGACGTATGTCTGTTGCGAAGTACATACGATATCACTCAGCGCAAAAGAAACTATGATTAGAGAAAGATGAAATGTCCATACACATAAGCAGATGCAATAGCAAGCGATGCATTCTGTAGAGGATCCAAATGTTTACAAAAAAAATATGAAAAATCATGCATATCCAAGTATCATAATTACATATCCAATTATAAATGGGTATGAGCCAATTATTCAACATCTCAATGTCCCTAATCTTGTAATTATCGAAAATAATAGCTAATTCTACTGTATATTAATGGCATAGATAGATTCCTCGTAAGAAATGCTGTGATTATACTATCTACACGGGATCAAATGAACAGTAGTTAAAAAGCTCCTCATAATGAACCATTCTACTTATTAGCTAAAAACTAAAGGAATAGTAGGTCAAAAAAAGTGTCGCCTAAATAGAAACGCATTACAGTCATTTTCAACCATTACTATCCTCTGATATTATTCCATCAGCTGCTATTCAGCATTCCAAAAATGCAGCTCATTCCTCTTGTACAATGTTTATGATTGGAAATACATTCGAATAGCGGTCTCCTCGCAGAATTGTTCAATTGTTACATTTTCCTTCATCCCAAATCTCCTTACTATTTTCATCGAATATCATAAGAATCTTAACACAAATATCGATTTACCACAACACAAGGAAATGCGAAATTTAGTATTATTGATTTCTGTAGTTAACATGATAGAGTCGATGTATTTAGCTAAAATTGTGGTTGACAACAAAGATTCATGATCATGATCATGATCAGAGTTACAAGTGGCCTTTATTTTAGGTTGTGATGTGAATAGTGATGTTCCTATAATGTGTGAGACAAATTGAGGAATATGATGGAGTTTTAAGGTCGTTATGATAATAGATATTAAGATAGATAAATCACCTAGTGATGGTATTTTGCATTATATCAAGAAATCCATTCTAACAAATGGAATATTATAATTTGCCTATTGACTTAATTAGCATGTTGAGATAACACAGTGAGTGTCACTTTCTAACAATAACAGGTATTGATGATTATGCAATTTTTATTGGTTTTTTCAAGTATTATAAATATGATATTATCGATATAATGGTTATTGCCCTGGAAAATAGAATTGCTTGATAAGATCTCGCATAAGATTACGATTGTTGATTATCATACAATACTCACACTATACAAGCAAATGTATTAATAATAGTATTCCTCTCTGATTCGTGCTGCATTCCTTGATTTTCGGCTGGTACTGTAGTTTCTCAGTTCCTTGCAGTGGCTTTTAAAGTGGAATGAATCAATAGGGATAGTTCACTATGCTACATAAAATAATACAGCAAATAAATATAAGATCTGCCGATACAAAACGTGTTTCTTGCTACTATTTGCTTATCAAGTTATACTTGTTTTTTACCTTGACTTTCCTTTTATTTTAAAGCCATATTATTGTTTCACCACCCTGTAGAATTTGTCATTGGCTATTACACGCAATAAATATCCATAGAAGTGCTGAGGTTAAAATCACTTTTGATCTTATCGAACAAGTGATAGAATGCAGATTGAAAGGAATTGTCCAAGAATGAAAAAGTATCGTAGGAGTTGGAAAAAGTGGAAACTATTGAAGATGTGGGTGGCTTGATGTTTTGAGGATTCCTATGTAAAATTGTGTATAGTTAAGCGATAGCGGGTGTAACAATGCAATACAAAGAGCCTTGGTGAATCGAATACTGGGAAGGAGAATGCGTTCAATAGCCGTATATGTCACCTCTCCTGCTTCTCACTATCTGCAACAAACATAACCATCTCGGTTCATCCCTTATTAGACTGTTCATCTTCAATCCGCACTTTTCTCTCAACTATCTCCTTCCACTTTCAATATTTCCACTGTCCCCTTTTCCCCATCAACACGAAGTCTCATTCCGCTCTTGATCTTTTTCATCAGATCCGTAATTCCCACCACGCACGGAATTCCGCGTTCTCGAGCCACAACACTCCCATGAGTAAGAGGTCCTCCAACCTCGATTGCCACAGCCCCCGCAGGAACAAACAACGGGGTCCACCCAGGGTCGGTGGCTCGTGCCACCAAGATGTCACCCTTGTTGACCACTGCGGAGTCAGGATGCTCCACCACTACAGCCGTGCCTTCGTACACTCCAGGTGATGTGGGTAGTCCCTTCAGCATAGAGGGAGGCAAGTTCTTGAGCTCCTGCATGGTGGCGTTGGAAATCGTTCGCATGATGCATTCCGGACCGAAAATGACGCGAGGGAACGGCTGCGTCCTGCCGAACTGATCGATTTCTTTGCGTTCCTTCACAAGATTGCGGAAGTTCGTGCCATCAGCAATTCCCTGCTCCATCTCCAGCAGTTCCTCCATTTTGATAAAGAAAATATCTTCGGCGTTCTCCAGCTTTCCCTCGTTCTTCAAAGAATTACCGATCTCCAGAATATAGCCTCGCATGCTGCTCAGAATCGAGATAATTCCATATTTCGGATGCTCGCGATAGCTTAAAAACACTTGAGCATAGGGAAGAAGCTTCTTCACTTTCTTCTGATGAGACTTACTGAGCTTCGACAGCACTGATTGGATCGCCTCCTCTCTCTCTTCATTGCACGCCTTCTCGTCTTTGTATCCAGTTGGATCGATGTTTCGGATCATACGAAGAAGCAAGGAAGGGTGATTCTGATAGCGCGGGCTCGCAATATCGATTTCCATCGGACCTCTTCGACCAAAACGAGTCATAAAATCATTCCATTCCTCCACAAATTGCTGCTTCTTCGGATCGGACGACTTCGACATCAATTCAATGACTTCATTCCCTCGATCGTTCTCATCTTCGCACACCTCCTCAACGAAACGGTTCAACTCTTCATCCGAAGCACAGATCTCTCGCAACAATATCACCATTCGCATGACCGAATGATTCATTTGACTTGCAACGTTCTCAGGGCGATTTCCCCACATTTTTTGAATTACTTTTTCTTCGATTCCATACGGCTTCACGATTTTGCTGATTTTCTGCATCGATAAAAAGCTCAAAAGCAAAAAGGGAGCAATCGTCGGAATAAGTGCAATGATGACAGTGTGGAGTCTGTCAAGATACTCTTTCAAACTCTCTGGATGTTCTGCATTTGGCTTCCCACTCTGCTCGCACAGTGCAATGAATTCGGTAATTTCCTTTCGGATCTGTTCGATTGGGGGACGAGAGATGAGGAACTTTGCCATTCTTTTCATGATCTTTCCGAGAACCGCCCTAAAGATCTCCTTGAATGCTTTCTTGCTTAAAGTGTGCTTATAATAGGGATAATCAGTCGCATAAGTCTCCTGCAAACACTAACATAGTAAGAGTAGTGTATATTCCTACCGTTCCAATTTCGTGATCCGCCGCGCCTGCAATGAACTCTACAAATAAAAAACAAGCAATGAATCCCAACTAAAAGCCTTCTTTCGAACAAGAGGGTTTGAGAATAATACTGCGAAATTGATATAGGGATGTCCACTCACTTGAGTAACATACTTCTCAGACACTCCCACTAATCGACGAAGAACGGAAGTTCCACAAGGAGATACAGGCTCCGTTAACATTTGAACATGAGCTAAACAATTATCAGAGAGCAGAAGCAATAATCCTACAAAAGCTAACCCATGCTGACCATTGTATGGAGTCAGTGTTCTTTAGAGGATTCATACGATCGGGAATGATGGGCAGTCGAGTGATTGGTCTGGCTTGAACAATGAATAGGGAACCCCGATAGAAGCAGAACTCAATATCCATCGGAATGCCATAATACTTTTCGATGTCACACGAAACTGCACACACTTCGTTCACTTGAGCATCTGTAAAACACGACTTGGCACCTTCCTCTTCATTCAACTCGATCTTTTCTGTTCCAGGTTCTGGGTATTTGGACCTGAGCTTGAAGGCTTGCTGTCCCAAAACACAGTCCACCACTTCCATTGGGCGTTTATCGTATGCCTTACGAACTGTCCAGTGATCAGTATTGACCTGGCCACTGACAAGTGCCTCTCCAAGTCCCTGGACGCCATCTAAAGAAATGATGCCACGAGAACCACTCTGGGCATCTGCCGTAAAAATAACTCCAGAAGATTCGGAAGGAATCATCACCTGGACAACTACTGCTATGGATGTTAGGTACGCTGGATACCCGTTCTCGATTCGATAAACAACGGAACGTTTTCCAAACAAAGACTTCCAGCAATTGCGGATAGCTTCGCACACTGCATTGCAATCCGCATGAACATTAAGAAACGTGTCGTTCATTCCAGCAAAACTTGCTTCTTCCAAATCTTCCGTAACTCCTGAGGAGCGGACAGCAAATAATGGGTTAGGAAGTAGCGGGTCAGATACAATGCTGTTGAGAAAAGTAAGAACCGATTCCCGTAGCCAATCTGGAGTGGGGGTCGAATCAATCTTCGAAATGATCATGCTTATTGCTCCATCAATGTCGTTACCAAAATCGTCTAGATTCTCAAAGAGAGAGCACGAAGAAGCAAATTCGTCAAAAGCTGAGGCTTTCACGATAAAACCTCCAGGGACATGAAAGCCACCCCTTGTTAGTTTTATCAGGTTCGCACCCTTGCCTCCCAGTTCAGACACAGCAATGTTCTCAGTTTTATTTCCAATCTAGAATAGTACAATCTCATGGCAATTACCTCTAGAATATGTTGCATGATGAAAAATTAGGAAAAAAAGAGTATGCTAGACAATTAGAATAATGCTTTTGAACTACTTTCCAAGCGGTTCAATAATTGCTTAGGGTTACGAAAATAATTTGATCAAATGATGAAAATCCGTACCATGTCCAAAAAACAGATTACAATCGCTATTGCAAATTCTGTAACACAATCTACCAAGCATGTTTGATTCGCATAGGATTGCAAGTTTGTACTGTTGTATTGATAGGAGAATAAGGATATTGAGTCAAGAATGCTCTAGTTAGCATTGATGATTGGCTTGAAAGGAATGAGGCTTGAATATACTGAAATAGAAAAGTTCGTGTGTGAAAGTACGAACCCTATTGCGAAATGTTATAATGGTATTTCTAGTTCAGAAATGAAAGCCTCGCGATGAATAACTCTTGAATAGCATGCCTTGGGCAAATACAATACAATACAATACAATACAATATAATATAAAACTGTTTCGGATAATACGATGGAATAAATAGAGTCAGAGAATCATGGTCTAATATGATGATGCTGATATAGACTACTGGCACATATTCAAGTAAGCAATGCTCCTATCGAATAAAAAATAACAGAGTGTTATATCCAAAACACATCATCCAATCTGTTAAATTCTAAACAGATACCAGATTTTATTTTAAACACTATTTATAAAATGAGTTCTGGTAAGGATACACTGAAGAAAAATAACTAGTAGGAATCCTTGGCAACCTACCAGGTTGTGAATACCTTCTTGATAGCTATCTTACACATGGCAATTCAAAAGATGTTATCCACAGTGGTACAAAGTATAGCATGCAGTTCTATCAAGGGAAACATGAAAATGACTACACCTTGACGAAAGATAACAAAGTATGTTTATTCCATAATGGAGTTCTCCACATGGCGTATCAAGTGGATGAAGATGGAATGCAGGTTGGTGATTTTACTCGATTTGAAAATGGTCGAGTGCAATTTGTTCAGTCCTTTGAAGATATTTTAAATCGGCGCGATTTTTATCGAATCGTCAATCACATTAAAGGAGAACGTTTGGAAATCTATACTCATGATGGTGAGAAACTGATTTATCGTGGAGAATTCAATAATCAGCGACAACGAGAAGGGTGGGGAATTCAGTATGATGATAAAACAGGAAGCATGTTGTTAGAAGGAATATGGAAGGGCAACAAACTGGTGGAGATACTACGAATAATTGAGGGCAATATCATGACCGAGTTTAAGAGAAACGGAAACAACATGCAGGTATCCAATCGAATTCCCGTATACGTTGGCGAATTCGTATATGATGAATTGAACGAGTCATTTATTCGAAATGGCCGAGGTTATCTGATTGATGAAGAAACACGAATCGCTTATCGAGAAGGCGACTGGACAAATGGAGAGGAGGTGAGTGGAAGAGATCTATTCGATGGATGGTACACTCCCTCTTCATCAAGCAATTCTCACATCGTTGCCAGAACCATACCCAGCACTCCCATGTCATTTGCTCAGAGTTCTACTCAAGACTCAATCAGCCCTTCGTTTGATATGAATTCTTTGGATTGGAGTATCAAAAGTTTAGAGATCCCTTCTAAGTGCTGTAACAATGTCAATACACTGGATTTGAACAGATTTAAATCTCTAGAATCGATTGAAATTGGGGATGCATGCTTTGAAAACGTTGATCTTTTTAGAATTGATGGACTAAGCCGATTGAAAAAGCTAAAAATCGGAGAGAACTCATTTACTCATATCAAGAGCACGGATGAATGGAAGAGAGATCTGGTACAGAATAATGCACGATCGTTCCATGTTGTAAACTGTCCACAGTTATCGCTAATCGAAATTGGTGAGTTTAGCTTCTCTGATTACGCAGGACAATTTGAACTCAAAAACCTTCCTTGCTTAGAAGGACTGAAAATTGGAGCGTCGCTTAGCACATTTATGCACTATATCTACATGAGAGTGCATATTCATTACATCAACTCTTCTAGCAATTTCACTTATTCCTCACTCATCCTACGAGGTTGTTATGGAATTGGAATGTCAGATGTAGATCTTCCGAAGTTGAAAACGGTCGTTATCGGCAATCTGGCGTTTGATGAAGCCTGCTCTGTTGTGTTTGAAAGTTAATAATATAAAGTTGTGTTCAACTCCAGATCTCCCCTCTTTGGAGTCAATCGATTTTGGAGAATGGGCGGCAAACGGTAGAGATGACGATTGCTGCGAACTTATCATGCGGAGTAGTATTTAGCATCTGTTTTTCAGTAGATCTTCCCAAGCTGAAATCCTTTAAATCGGAGCAGAGTAGTTTTACTTGCTGTCGCAAATTGGTTTTGGAGAGTATGTTTCGAATAAGAGTATTAACTAGATATCCCGAATGTCAGTAATGTGGAGCTGCCTAATTCATTTGATAAAGTCACAACAAGAACCATACGAAGTAATTACAGAGTTGTGAAGTCAGTTGTAGATGTCAATAATTCTTTGGTGCAGATTGCTACTGCTAAGAAAGAATAAGAGATGTAAATGATATTACTAATGTTAAGGTTTGTTGGAAAGGACAACAAGGTGTCAAAGTGTATTGTGCATACTCGTTACTTCAATTAATACGCATTACAAAATTATTTAGTGTTCAGTATCTGTCACTCAATTCCAAACACAAATGCTTTACAATCAACAGTAGAACCGTAAAAAAACAACCACTTACATGTCAATCACCGATAAAAATTTTTTATCAATCGCTTCCTTCTTTACCCATTCCATCAACCATCCTAGCTAAACAAGCACGTATTGTGAAAAATGAAGTGTCATATAGTATCCTCCATACCTCATATAACTCTCTGATATCTTTCTATCGAAAAATACGACTCCTGTTTAACTAATTCGATACATGCCCTCTTTTATAAGCTACTAATAATAAAATCACAAATGCCATATCATTTCCTATTTGAAATACATGAAGAGAGTCCATGCTTGATTAGTAGGTCATGTTCTCTCCTCAAGCAAATCAAACCGTTTTCTATTATATACAATGTGTGCTCAAATTCTCGATTGCAACATTTGAGATTCTTCTTCTATGTATGTCAAAAATGATACGATAATCGACATGCATAACATTTTGGTCCCTTAAAGCTGTGTGTCGTCCCTTCACTCATCTTCCCTGTTTCTCGCTATTTCTCCCATTCTAGGTTTTCCCAAAGAATGCTCGCATCTGTTCCTTCTATGATTTCGAAGCGTGCTGTGACTCTTGCTGTACGATTTTGAATCTGTGAGTGTGATGGTGTAGCGCAGTTTCGCCGGAGCTGTTGATTTAACGAAGCCTTTCACTGAAAGACTTGCTGAAGCTCGCCACAGCGCCCTTATTGGTGGAGGCGAGAAGCGCATTGATTCTCAGCACAAGCGTGGCAAGCTGACCGCTCGTGAGCGTATCGAGCTGCTGGTGGACAAGGGTTCGTTCCGCGAGTACGACCAGCTGAAGGCGCACCGCTGCGTGCATTTCGGTATGGAGAAGCAGAACTACCCTGGCGATGGTGTTGTGACGGGTCACGGAACGATCAACGGTCGTCTGGTGTTCCTGTTCGCTCAGGACTTCACGGTGCTGGGAGGTTCTCTGTCTGGCACGAACGCTGAGAAGATCTGCAAGGTGATGGACAAGGCCATGGACGTGGGTGCTCCGGTGATCGGTCTGAACGACTCTGGTGGTGCTCGTATCCAGGAGGGCTGCGACTCTCTTGCTGGCTACTCGGAGATCTTCAAGCGGAACACTCTGTCGTCGGGCGTGATTCCGCAGATCTCTCTGATCATGGGTCCGTGCGCTGGAGGCGCTGTGTACTCTCCTGCGATTACGGATTTCATCTTCATGGTGCGCGACACGTCGTACATGTTCATCACGGGTCCGGACGTGGTGAAGACGGTGACGCAGGAGGACGTGACGCAGGAGGAGCTGGGCGGCGCTGCGATCCACACGAAGAAGTCTGGCGTGGCGCAGGGCGCGTTCGACAACGACGTGGAGATGCTTCGCGCGATGCGTACGTTCTACGACTACCTGCCTCTGAACAACCGCGACGGCGTTCCGAGCCGCGTGTGCACGGACCCGCGGAGCCGCGCGGAGCCGGCGCTGGCGAACATCGTGCCGCAGGACGCGAACATGCCGTACGACATGAAGAAGCTGGTGAAGCTGGTGGTGGACGAGCAGGAGTTCTTCGAGACGTCGCCCGACTTCGCGAAGAACATCGTGGTGGGCTTCGCCCGCATGGAGGGCCGCACGGTGGGCGTGGTGGCGAACCAGCCGCTGGAGCTGGCGGGCTGCCTGGACATCAACGCCTCGGTGAAGGGCGCGCGGTTCGTGCGCTTCTGCGACGCGTTCAACATCCCGCTGGTGACGTTCGTGGACGTGCCCGGCTTCCTGCCCGGCGTGAACCAGGAGCACCGAGGAATCATCCGCGAGGGAGCCAAGCTGATCTACGCCTACGCGGAGGCGACCGTGCCCAAGGTCACCGTCATCACCCGCAAGAGCTACGGAGGCGCGTACTGCGTGATGTCCTCGAAGCATCTGCGCGGAGACAGCAACTACTCGTGGCCCAACGGAGAGATCGCCGTCATGGGAGCCGAGGGAGCCGTCAAGATCATCTTCCGAGGAAAGGATCTCCAGAAGAACAAGGCCGAGTACGCCTACAACTTCGCCAACCCGCTCATGGCCGCCCAGAGAGGATTCATCGACGACATCATCGAGCCCACCGAGACCCGAAGAAGACTCTGCGAGGACCTCGAGATCCTCCAGACCAAGAAGATGACCAATCCTTGGAGAAAGCACGGAAACATCCCGCTGTAAAGAGCGAGAGGTCCCGAGCAGGAGAAGGAGAAAAAGGAGCGAAAAAGAAGAATGATAAACAATAAATACAAAAGGATACGAATGTATACAGTGAATTGTTTGTTCGAAAGTGGGTATGGGGATTGTGAATCGTTCCGTATTCCTGAAAGAGAGAGAACTATGATAGCATTGTTCTTTCGACTTGCATACCCAACAAGATTAATGATAATATTTACTTGGATTATCTACAATAGTTACTTGGGTTCTCTACAATAGTTACTTATACAACAAACAAATCAAAACGTGCGACCTTGTTGAGGATCATTCATTTTATATATTGCAATGTCTTTTACTTCTTTGGATTTATTCATCTCCCGAATCACCGTCTCGAGATTATGCGGTGTAATGAAAATAAACTGCTTCTTCTCCTGCCGAGCCGTCTCTATTATCGAATGCAGAGAAATCACTCGATTTGCCTCATCCATAAACACATCGAACTCATCCATTATAAAGAACGGCGATTCGATGATGTGAGCCGTCGCCATTATCAACGAGAGCGTGACAAACGACTTCTCTCCTCCAGACAACACTTTGATATTCTGCACTTGACTCGATTCGATCTGGCTCGTCGAGTCCATTCGCACAGACAGCGAAACCGTATGACGCGAGTGATCGATCGCCACACTTCCCTCCGCTTTCCGCTGGGACAAAAACCGCGTGAATCGCTTGCAGATTTGCTGCTGGGATTCGTTTCGCAGCTCCTCGTATGTGAGTTTCTGCCGCTTTCCCAGCTCCTCAATGCGCGTTCCTTCGCGTTTAATCGCTTTGTACTTGGCTTGAAGCTCGTCGAATTCCTTCTTCTTCGCTTCGTACTTCGCTTCGATCTCCGCATTGCTCTGAACGCCCATCTGCTCCCTCTCCCTTCGCAAATTCTCTTCGAACAGCTCCACTTCCTTCCTACAGCGCTGCACCGAAAGCTTCTCTCGCACTCGCGTGTCTTCGCCCAGCAACGCCACGCTGCTCCTCACTTCCTCCTTCTTCGCTTCGATTTGCCTCGCCAAGTTTTCGCGCTTTTCTTCCAGCTTGTGCTTCGCTTGCTTCGTGAGTTTCACGCGATTCTCCAACTCGATTTTCCGCGAATCCACGGAAGCTGTCTGCGAAATCCGCGAGATTTTGGACTCCAATTCGCTCACTTTCTTCCGCATGTCTTGAAACCGATCGTTTACTGCATCCGCTGCGCTTTGCAGCGACACAATTCGCTGATCCAACGCTTCGATTTCGCTCGAAACTCGCTCCAATTTCTGTTCTTTCTCTGCGTTGTCCTCCTCAATTTGCTGCTGCTGCGTTCGCATGGACGCCAATTCGCCTTCGCCGTCTTCCTGCGCGATGCGGTCCAATCGATCTTGAATCTGCTGGATCCGATTCGACACTTGACGTTTCTTCGAATCGAATTCTCTCAACTGTTTCTTCATTTCCATCATGGCTTCTTGGCGTTTTCCATTCTCGTTGTACCACGCTCGCTCCTTCTGGATCCACGCTTCCTCGTTCTGCTTCGCTTCTCTGATATGAACGCCAATCATCCGCAGCGCCTCCCCCGTATTCAGCGATAAAAAACCCTGCGGCTTCTTTCGATTCGACGTCAGCGACGGCTTTCCACGTCGCACACGATGGATATCTCCCTCAATCGTAACGATCAAATGCACATTCCGAGGCATCGCTCGAGTTGGTCCATCGCCCGTCAGTGTCAGCACTTCTTTATAATCGTGGCACAGAATGCAGCGCTCGAGTCGCGTTTGGACGATCGCTGCTTTCCTCACGATGTTGTTTTTGAACTCCAACACGTCCAAAATCGACGGCTTTTCCGTCATTGGAAGCTGGTCTTCCCTGATTAGAAGATCGCCTTCGTAATCGATGGAAATCACGTTTAAATCGGAAATTCCGTGGCGATATGCCAGCGAAATGACGCCCTCGCGGTCTCGACGACTCGCAATATTCACAATGGCGCTCAACGGAAAGGAGTTCAAATAAATCTCAACCGCGTCGCGCCACTTCTCAAAGCCCTTTCGGACCGAAAAGAACTCCCCAGCGGGGTAAAAAACGGGTGAATCCCACGAGGCTCGGCTGATTAAGTCTTGAAGAGTGGCGACCAAGTTTCCATATTTTGTGAGTGGGTTGGACATGTCCGTCAACTCCTTCTTTCGAGCATTCAGCGCATTCAAATCTTCTCTCACTTCATTCAATCCTTGTCGAATCGTCTCGTGATACGGTTGCGATGACGCGATCTCCACGCTGATTTTCTGGCGCTTCGCTTCGACGGCGATGGTTTGGTCGGAAAGCGTTTGCAGCTGGTCTTCGAAGCTCTTCAAATCGTGATGGAGCTGCTCGATTTCCTTCTTTTCGTTCTCGCTGTCCATCAGCTTCGCCATGCTTTCCGTCAATCGCAGAATGTTCTGTCGGTTCGACTCGACCTGCTTCTTCAACACCATCAATTCGCGTTGCAGTCGCTCGCGTTTGATCTGAGCTCCTTCCAAAGGTTGCATTGATTCGTCCACTTCGCGCATAATCTCATCTTTCTGCTCTTTTTGAATCTCCAATTCCTGCCTCAACGCAGCGATTTCGCTCGTTTTCTCCTCGTTCGACGCGATTGCTTCCTCTAACAGCTTCGTATCGCGGTCGATTTTGTTGCTCATTTCTTGTATGCCCGAGTCCATCGAATTCATCTCTTCATTCAAACCCAGAATCTCCGCTTCTCTGAGCTGAATCTCTGCCCAGACTTCACGTCGACGCAGCTCGTTTAGCTTCGCTTCCTTGTCTTTCAGACCTTTCACCATCTCCAGGCTCTCCTTCACCTCTTCGACCTCATGTCTCTTCTTCTTCAGCTCCACCTCTTTGCACATTTTCAATTTTTCGTTCATCGAGAATAGTCGCTTGTCCGTCGTGTCGAAGTATTGCTGGAGCGATTTGAAATTCATGGCTTGCATAAGGATTTCGTACTTTCCCTTCTCGTCTCCTTGAATGAATTGCTTCATTGTGGTTTGCTCCATGAACACGAGAGGGTTGTCGATTTTTATATTGAATTGCCGTAGCATGTCCATCACATCCTTTTTACGTGTTGATATAACGTTCCGACTATAATTGACGGTTCTTTTACAAAACGTACGATTGGTTTAAGACTCGGGTAGTAATCGACGCCGTACTTATAACTCGCTCGATGAAAATAACATCTCCGAACTCTGAAGGTTTGTAAGCACCGTTTCCTTTGTTATTTAATTCCACACATATTTTCGCAGGCGAATTACTCCCTTTTCGAATTAATTGGTCGTATCGACTCGCTCTACCAGTGCTATTAGCACGAATACAAAATGCCACCTAAATTTCAATTTTTCCTGATTGTAAAAATACTTGCAATGCGGTTAGAATGGCACTTTTACCGCCTCCGTTTGGTCCCGTAATGAAAGTGATTTGCTGCGGAAAATCGATTTTCAAATGTTCGTGGCACATAAAATTACGCATCTCCACACTCCTTATAGTTCCTGCTTGATAATACCCTGTAGGTCCTGCGCCACTCATCTTTCAGATGAATTAGGTAAATTCAAGCACAATGGATACTATTGTGATGGATGCAAAAACAATTTAATTTATTTCTGTTAGGTAAACCAATTTTTGAACAAATCCCCTGTTTGATTTGACACATTACTTTTCGCTTTTCGCTTTCCGTTTTTTTTATTCTATTGAATTATAAGAGTGGTTCGATTGCATGCGAAATGAGAACGTATTCAATATTCGATTAAAAGAGCAGGAGATGCGCAAGCGCATACTCCCAAATCCAAAAATTATGCGGTAATAATCCCGAAGGACCTTTGGAATTTCACAACACCAGAGTGCTATGGTTTGCTCCATTCCAGATCAACTGCCTTCTTGATCGCAGTCAAATCCCCGCCAGGTAAGTATGCCTAGCCTTCTCCCTTCCATCGACCACTTATCACTCACCCAATTTTTCATTATGGGTTACATTTTTGAGAGAATACTATTTTACCTCTACTAATTATTTGGGATTATTAGTTTTAATAACATGGTAGGACTTATTTCATGGTATTCATTCATAGTATACGATTATCGCGTTTCTGCTCGCCATCTCTCTTGCTCAGTGCGCTCCTCATTTGATTATGGAGAAGGTAGGAAGGCATTTGCTGGGAAATCGATTTCTCGTAGGGACTCGATGCTCCTAGTAACTACATTGGTTGTAACCACGAATTCACCATTATGTACCGCATTGATAACATTGGTGAAGAGTATAATTTTGTGGGGCTGTTTACCGGTAGAGATGTGTACAATGTGACGATTACTGACCAGTGGCCGGAAGAGGGCTTCGATATTGATGTGGAGTTCCCTATTGTGATTGAAGAGCTTCCTGCGTAGGCTTTTGCTATAGGGGAAAGGGTGATGGGTAGTGGAGAAAAGTTCGAGAAGAACGTGACTGCTATTCCTCGCCAGTTCGGTTATTTGGAAACGGGTCGCGCGATGTACGAGTACGCTTTCTACAAGGACGAGGAAGTGGCGCATGCTCGTGGTCTGTCCACCTCTCTGGGAACACTTCCGATCCTTCAGGAAGCGCACTATCTGCGTCTGGCGAGTTCGTTCTGGGTAGAGTGTGTGCTGTTTGAGGTAATGGGTAGATGGAGTACGCGATTCTGGGAGCCATTGCGGTGGTGACGGTGGTGATTCCGTTCTGGCGTTGGTTGAGTCTGGGCGCTGGAAAGGCGAAGGAGGAATAAGAAAGAAGAAATGGGGTTTGTGTACTGTTTTAGAAGTGTTTGTTAAATGACATTTGTTGAGATGCACAGTTTTTTTTGTAAATGTCTGAAGAGCCGAAGGAATTAACTCTCTTTGAGAAGATTGCGAACCATACCATACCTTCTGATATGGTTTACGAGGATGATCTGGTAAGTGTATTTCTTCAGCCTAATCTTCCAGTGCTGTGCCTTCAAGGATATCAATCCTTGTGCCCCTGTTCATATCATCGTTGTCCCCAAGGTTTGCGATGGTCTTACTCAATTGCGTTACGTGGGACACATCCATTGTTAACTGATGTAGATGCGTGAGGACCAGGAGCAGCTCGTTGGCCATCTGATGCGTGTTGTGGGTATTGTTGCTATGCAGCAGCATTTGGAGCCTGGCTACCGTGTTGTTATCAACGATGGCCCCGATGCGCGTACTAGCAGTGGTGTAGCTTCACACATAGAGCAAACCGTTCTTCACTTGCACATTCATGTAATCGGTGGAAAGAAGTGTGGCTGGCCTCCAGTTTAATTGGAATTGTTTGTTTTTACAAACAGAATCTAAAAGTACAAGGCACTATGACTGCACAATAAGCTCATCATCGGAATAATGTCTGCTTGAATAGCGCAAGAAACTAGGTTTATGTTGCGGTTGGACAAGATCGAGATAGGGAAGATGAAGATTATCTAGATAGCACGCGCTCACGACCCTTACGACAATGGGAACAAATGGACATGCAATGTGTGAATAATTCGTTGTAAAACTTCTGATATTCTTCTGGCGTGATGAGGAGCGAGAAGTTAATTAGAAAGACGAAGTCCAGTTCCAAATTGTTCAATTCGTCCACAGGAACGCCTCCAATACGAGCATAGAGATCGTTTGTGAAGAAGCTGTCGTCGTAAAACTTGGCTGCAGCCACCATGCTAGACCTCAGAACCATTGCATGCTTGTACGTTATTAAAATTACACGATGGATACTATAAGAGTTGAGGACAAACTGTTGATTTCGTAACAGTAATTCAATATATGCCAATGAGCACACGAAACACTCGTAACTACACTGAAAGTATTTTTGGATTCTGTGAATTAGCCAGTCCAGACAAAACCACCTCAAAACATAATTCTCCACAGAAATTGATGGGAGTTTTATAGAGTGAAAGCGAGATGTTGTTGCATAACTTTTTATCTAGATTTTAAGACCTGTCAACACAATTACGTCTTGGCAACAAGAAACAAGTCTATTTACGATACAAATATAGGCCCGTACGAGATCATGACCAATATCATCATTCATTATAGAGAGAAATAACATTCACTCGGCAGCAGCAAATAGCACTGATCTGTCCTTAGTTAACAGAAATCTTCCGTCTCTTCAATATAGAACCCTTTTCTATTACAGAAATTAGGTCAGAATGATACAGAACAACATGATTTGCATTGAAACGCCTGTCCGCCATTTTTTGTACATTCCCGTTACTCTTTACCTGTTTTTCAATATCGTTATATCTGAATGCAGCATTACATTCTAACGCCGAATCGATGAAAGATCCTCGTTCATTTTAGAAATGCAAACTTGCTTTGAAGAGAGGCAAAATAAATAGGAGGACTCGATAGAACACATAGTAACCAACCCATCCCTCAAACAATTTTGCGTAAACGATCTATTCAAAGAGCTGTCACTCATAACGCATTATAGGTTGAATTATCTATTTTGCAACGTATTTTGAATGCTCAAAAAAGGATCTGCAAAGGACTCAAAAGTGGAAACCGCGAAAACAGTTTTTATAGTATTAGTATTTTGATGAAGTTGGATTCTATCATCGTAACTCATGAATAGTAACGGACTAAAGCACTATTATCGCCATCCGGGATTAACGAAATCGACAGAAGAGAACATTCTGCGCAAATTGGAGGAGAATGTTTCTCCGGCTATCACGGGATTAGAAACAGAGATTTGTTACAATCTCGACTTGATCTGCGATTTTACCCCGGAAGAAACCGAAGTATTACTTGTATATCTGTGCTTCTTATTTTACAGGTTGTGCGATTTCTGCTCAGTGAAAGTTTTAATCAGCAAGGCTTCGGTCCTGAAACCTTTTTGAAAATAAAATCTCCAAACGATGTCCTGATCGAAGTAGGACCTAGAATAAACATCGTAACTGCCTGGTGCACAAATGCGGTACGAACATGGCGGTAGGAGACGACTTCCTAGCTTTCTATTTTCCGATCCAGCAACATTTCGAGCGTCCGTCGCATCGAAATGAGTAAACGATATCTAATCCATTCCACGGAGCCCATCTCTATTGACGCTGCAAAGTGTACCTTTTTTCTCCCTCCCCTCTTCTGACCTCCAGCGATTCTGCACGACGAAATGACCGAGTCCATCTACCACGCCCCTCTGGACTCCTTCGCCACGACGGCTCTCCCCGAAGAAGTCCAAGAAATCGACGTTCTCCACGAAGGCGAGACGGCCATCGAGCGCGTTTGCCCCTCCTCCGGCCTGCTCCGTAGATCAGCCGCGCGTGGTCGATCGCCCTGTCCCCGAACGAGATCGCTCTGATCACTCGGATCTTCCGCGACGAGCTTCGCCGCAACCCGACGGACGTGGAGCTAATGGACTTCGTGCAGTCCAACAACGAGCACTGCCGCCACTTCCTCCTCAACGGCGCCGTCTCCATCGACGGCCACGCGCAGCCCGAGACCATGATGCAGATCCTCCGCTCCTGCTCCCACATCGCTCGCTTCTCCTCCACGCTCGTCAGCTTCGGCAAGGACGGCTCCGCCATCCGCGGCACGCTCTCCGAGACGCTCAACGCGCAGCGTCCCGACGAGCCTTCGCCCACCGTGCTCTCCTACCAGAACAAAAACCCCGTCGTCACCATGACCACCCATAACTTCCCCTCCGGCGTAACGCCCTTCCCGGGCGCCGAGTCGCTCTGAACCGCGGGAATCACGCGTAGAACCGGCGTGGGCGGGCAGATCCGCGAGGTGATCTCCACGGGAAACGGCGCGAAAGTGATGGGCGGAGCCGCGGGGTTCGTGGTGGGGAACCTGAACATCCCCGGCCTGCACCAGCCCTGGGAGGGCGAGGAATCCTATCCCAGTGCGCACGTGGAGGGCGTTTCACGCGTAGAACTCTATTCGAAGCCGCTCACGGTGCTGCTGGACGCGTCCGCGGGAGCGGCGGACTACGCGAACAAGTTCGGAGAGCCGATCATCGCGGGAATCACGCGGAGCTTCGGGCAGATTCTCCCGAACGGGACGCGGAGCGAATACATCAAGCCGCTGGTGATGAGCAACGGGTTCGGGTGCTGCTACGACAGCATCCACGTGGACGAGAAGGCGGAGAACAAGCTGGTCATCGCCAAGGTCGGCTCTTTCTCGCCGCTTCCACGCGTAGATCGGCGGTCCGGCGTTCCGCATGGGTCTCAAAGGAGGCGCGCTGTCGTCCAAGCAGCAGGAAACGCAGCGCGTGAAGAAGCATCGCTCCACCACGTCCTCGCAGTCCGTTCATCTCGCGCGGGAACCGCTCACCCCGCGGGACGGCGACGCGGAGTCGAAGCAGCCGGGCGAGGCGAACGTGGACTTCGAGGGCGTGCAGCGCGGCGACGCGGAGATGGGGAACAAACTGTGCCGCGTGATCTCGACGTGCGTGTCGATGGGCCAAGAAAACCCGATCGTGAACATTTTCAATCAGGGAGCGGGAGGAAACAGCCACATCATGAAGATGATCGTCGAGTGCGGCGAAGCCGGGAGTGGAAACGTGGAAACGGGTGAATGGTAGAGCGAGGCGTGGAGGTGGATCTGGATAAGATCGTGCTGGGCGATGAGAGTCTGTCGGCGCGCGAGATTTGGGGCGCAGAATACCAAGAGAACGTGTGCGTGTTGGTGAAGAAAGAGAAGATCCCGCTGCTCGAAGAGATCTGCGCGCGCGAACGAATCTATTGCATGGTGATCGGGCAAGTGACGAGTTGGCTTCGCGGCGGAGTGGTGAATTCAATAGACTCGGGACGCATCGTGGTGCATTCCAACGGCGAGCAAGTCGTCGACCTCCCCGTGGACACGATCTACACGGACATCCCGCAGCACTCCTTCGTCGATTCGACCCAGCCCATCGCGCTGGAGCCCTTCGCTCCGCCCTCCTCCTTCTCTCTCGCCGACCTGCTCACGCGCACGCTCCATCTTCTCTCCGTCGGCAGCAAAAGCTTCTTCGTCAACAAATTCGACCGCTCCATCACCGGACTCATCGCCTCCCAGCCGGTTTCCACTGTTTCTCCCTTTCACGCAGAGCTGCGGCCCGCTCTTCCTCCCCGTGGCGGACGTCTCGGTCATCGCAAAGGACTACCGATCGCGCACGTCGGGCATCGCCTTCGCGATGGGCGAGCAGCCGCTGAAGTCCTTCCACTCCATCCGGAACATGGTCCGTCTCTCCATCGGCGAGGCGCTCACCAACCTCATCTTCGGCAACATCTCCAGTTTCGACGACATCCATCTCATCCTCTCCTTCAACTGCGCCGGAAAGCTCCCCGGCGAGACTGCGCGGCTCTACGAGTGTGTCCGCGAGGTGCGCGACACGCTGACCACGCTGGGCTTGGACCTCGTCAACGTGAAGGACTCCGTCTCGATGGCTGTGCGCATGGAGGGCGACACCGTGAAGGTAAAACCGTGGGATCCCACTCAGTCCAGGCCCCCCTGACGCTGGTGGCGACCGCGTTCGCGAACAGCGAGGAAGTCTCCGACCTGGTGACTCCGGACATCAAGCACTCCGTCCTCAACAGCAAGTTGCTCTTCATCGATCTCAACGCCGTCTCCTCCTCGCCCTTCGCTCTCGGCGGCTCCGCGCTCGCCCAGGCCTTCGGCGCGCTCGGAGACGACTCTCCCGCGGTGGATCTGGCGCTGCTGCAGCGCGCCTTCCGCTACGTCATGACGCTCATCAAACAGCACCAAGTCCTCGCCGGACACGACCGCTCCGACGGCGGCCTGGCCGTCACGCTGCTCGAAATGTGCTTCGCGGGCGACTGCGGCGCGGACATCGTCCTCCCCGCCGCCGTCGACCCTGTCGGCTTCCTCTTCAACGAGGCGCTCGGATGGGTCCTCGAGGTCGACGAGGCCGTCTGCGAGCCGCTTCTCCGCGCCTGCCAGGACCACCAGATCCCCGCGATGATCATCGGAACCACGCATTCCGAGCGCGTGATCCGGTTCCGGCAGGGCGACGCGGTGCTGCTCGAGCGCAGCACGCTGGACCTCCGCGAGGAGTGGGAGGCCACGTCCTTCGCGCTCTCCAAGCTCAGCTACAACGTCAAGTTCATCGAGCAGGTGGGCGATCCCCGCGGGAATCACGCGTAGGAGCACGCGGCGCGGCGGACGATGGCGGCGCCGCAGTGGCGACTGAGCTTCCTGCCGTCTCCGACGAAGAACGCGCTGCTGACGCGCCGGCAGAAGTTCCGCGTGGGCGTGCTCCGCGAGGAGGTAGGGCTGGTGGAAATCGTGGAAACCAGGGAACCAACTGCGACCGGGAGATGGTGGCGGCGTTCTACAAGAGCGGGTTCGAGCCGTGGGTGGTGACGGTGAGCGACCTGATCGAGCGGCGCATCGACGTGTCGCAGTTCCACGGACTGGTGTTCTGCGGCGGATTCAGCTTCGGCGTAGGGCGCGGAGTGCAGAGCTGAGGCGCAGGACGTGCTGGAGAGCGCGCGCGGATGGGCGGCGTGCATTCTGTTCAACGACGTGATCCGGAAGCAGTTCCAATGGTTCATCGAGCAGGAAGACAGGTTCAGTCTGGGCGTCTGCAACGGGTGCCAGCTCATGAGCCAGATCAACTATGTGCCCTTCCGGATCGCGGACCGCGCCAAACAGCCGCGCTTCATTCAAAACAAGGCGGGAAAACTGGAATGCCGCTTCGTGAACGTGAAGATCGAGCAGTCGAACTCGATTTTCACGCGGGGCATGGAGGGCAGCACGCTGGGAGTGTGGATTGCGCACGGAGAAGGACAGTGCTATTGGCCCGACGAGGCGGTCAAGCAGCAAGCCTTCGACAAGGGATGCATCGCCATGCGATATGTCGATAATGAGGGAAACTACTGCGAGGACTATCCCTATAATCCGAACGGGTCGGAGAATGGAATCGCGGCGCTCTGCTCGGAGAACGGACATCATCTCAGCATGATGCCTCATCCGTAAGGGAAAGGAGCGCGAGTGAAATGTAGGGAACGACTGCTGACGCGCTGGGCGTGGCCGTACTGGCCGGAGGAGTGGGAGTTCACCGAATCGCCCTGGCTGAAGATGTTCCAGAATGCTCGGTTGTGGTGCGAAGAAATGTACAAAGAGAGCAATTGCCGTGTTTGTTGATGATAAGTCATTTTTGTTTGGGTGCCGGTGCATGAACTGGTTCTATGTGCTGCTGGTACTGTACGTACTGCTAATTTCCCTTTGGAAGAATTTCCTTCTCTTCAAACGTGCCCAGAGCTATTTTCCTCCGATACATAGAAACTCGCATTTCTATATTATTAGTTCGAATTCGCAAGCGGAGTCAGAGACTTTTAGCACAGAAGCGAGGAAGAAGGGCGAGTGGGAGAAGCTTGCGCACCTGGAATCGTATGATTTTTGCAGTAGCTACTCTCTTTATAGAAATTTTCTTATGGACAAGGTGGAGAAAGGGGTTCTATTCAAAACGTTTGAAGATGAGTTTTTTCCATTGTCTTCGTACGCCTACTATACACCTACCCTCTACTGTAATCCATCTCTGAATTCTTTCAGTTTCCTCTCCAAGTTGGAGCACATCTATCCGTCCAAAGCTCCCAGCATTCCTGGAGATCCAACGTACCGAATTCACTCCATTGTCCACCCTCCGAACGTGAATTCCACCTATCACGGTGTGGGTGTGTTGCTATTTCGCAACTACAACAACATTTATCACGTCTTGGAAAGTTTGAATTCCCTTCTTCGCTACGCCATGAACGTATCCTACTATCCTCCAGTAGTTTCCATCTCTCTTTTTTCAATCTAGCTTCATTTCATATACTTTTCTCACGACAAAAACAAAGGGTCTTTCGATGGATGGGGTCGATCGTACCTTCTCACGATTCTCTCAGCTCTTCCCAGCGATCAACAGCCCACCATTCTCGAACGAGAACGATGGAGCGGCGATGCAACGTGGCTCCGCTTTGAGAACGTTCTGCTTTTCCCCTTGGTGACTTCGATGACCGAAACGTTTTCCAGTGTGGAGGAAACGCGATGGATTCGAAAGCAGGCTTACAAATTTTGCGATGCGTCGCCCCTCCAGCCAGCTCGATTTGTAACGCTGCTGTCGCGGAAAGGAGCGCGCAGACACCTCGTGAACGAAGAAGAAATCGCTTCTGTGCTCCGCGAAGCGGATTACGACGTGCAGATTCACAACTTCGCGGAGAAAAGCTTCTGCGAGCAAGTTCGAATCATGCAATCGTCCAAAGTGATCATTTCAAACCATGGCGCGCAGCTTGTGAATCTGCTGTTTCTGCAGCCTGGGAGCGCTGTCATCGAGCTGTTTAACCCGTTTTTCATTCTGGATATGTACCGCGAAATGGCCAAACAGGCGGAGATTCGCTACGTGGCGATCGCGAATGCGACGATCGTGAATCTACCGAGCGAAAAGGACCGAAGCTGGTGGTTCCACCCGTATGCTCACTGCGACGTGGAAATGGACGCCACGACGCTACTGCACGTCGTCCAGTCCCTGGGTTGATACATATATATATATATATTTACATATATATCTCAATAGATATATATATATAGAAAAGTGTTGTGAGTTTCCATTGTTTGTTTCAACAAACACACGATCAATTGATAACGCTCTGATGGAAAAGTGCGGCTTCGCTCTTCAGGATCGGCGTGGGGTCTTCATCGTTCTCGATGGCTTCGTACACATCGTCCAGCACATCCAGAATCGGCTCGACGAGATCGTTGTACACCTCCGCGTCCTCGCTACTCACCATCTTCGTTAGATTCTGCAGCATTTCATAGACGCAGATTCGGATCGGGTCCTCGCTCACCAGCGCGATTTTCCCCAGCGAGCGGATCGCTTCGCGGCGCACTTCCCAGTCGCCCAGCACCGCCGCCTTCTGCAGACGCAGCAGAATGGACTGGATGATCTGGCGGCACTCCAGCAGGCCGTCCGCCATCGCGAAGAACTCGCAGCACTCGCCGAGGAACCAGTACGCGGCGCACTTCAGCAGCGCGAGATGCTTATGGAACTCCTCGTTCGGCGTCGAGAAGTCCAGGAACCGGAACACCGACTACATGCCAAGGTTTCTCCGTTTCTACGTCCACCACGGCGCTGCAGTTGACCATGTCGCGCAGCGCGAAGCAGGCCTTCCAGGTCGACAGCAGCGCGTTCACGCTCACCTTCATCGGGTTCTGCAGGAACCACGCCCACATCACTTCCATCGCGAAGTACGCCAGCGTCGGTGTCTTCAGCGCGCGGCCCGCCAGCTGCTGCAGCACTTCGTCGGCCACCTCGACGGGGAGGCGCAGCTCGCGCGTGCGACGCACCAGATCGACGTAGACGCTCTGCGTTTCGGCAGTGGGCGGATCGACCAGCCAGATCGACGCTTTGAGCAGCGTGGACTGCAGATAGACGCTGTTCGAAGTCTTGAAGGCGACCAGCGTGGTGTAGATCGTGTTCAGAGCCTGCTGCGTGGCCTGCAGCTCCGCGGAGCCGTCGATGCGATTGCGAGAGCCGAAGTGCGTGGTGAGACACTGCGCCAGATTGATCAGGACGCGCGCCACCGCCATCAGACCCACGTTATCGTTCTGGTTCTTGTAGGCGAGGAGCCAGTCGCGCACCGTCTCCGCGATGGACTGCGTCAAGCCTACCGCTCGGCGCCAATCCGCAGCCCTACTGTCCTTATTCGTCGAGGTGGTCGAGGGAAGCGTCGACAGCACTTCGTACGGAAGCAGCGAGAGCAGCTCCATGGCCAGCATGCGCGACGCCACCACGCCTTGACACGCCATCGAGGCGAGGTACGTCAGCACGTTGGCGCTCTTCGTGGCCTTGTAAAGCGCCCAGCAGCAGCGGATCGAGCACACCGAAGCGATTCCGTCCTCGCTGATCAGTTTTGCGAGAGCCTGGTCGTTCAACACCGAGCCTAAAAGCCTCTGCGCGCGCGTGGGGTCCACCTCGAAGAGCGAGAGCAGCATGCCGAGGCAGTGGCGGAGCACGCCCACGTCCTGGGAGGAGAAGCCCCAGGTGATGATGTCGTCCAGCTCCGCACAGTCCAGATTGCTGTAATGCAGGATGCAGAACAACTCGGGGAGGCAGGAGCTGAGATAGCTCTGCGATTGAAAAGGAGGAAAATGCAGTACAGAACCAGTCTTGGCGTCGTTTACGCTACGCAGAAGGAGATCTTTTAATGCGTTGTTATCTAGGTTCAATAAGAAATAAAGGGATACTTCCCGAAACTTTTAGAAGAACGCAACTTGCCTTTAACGCGGAGAGAGCACGAGCAGAGTAGGTTTGCTCGGTTTCTGCCAGGAGTTGGTTTGCGTAAGCCTAGGACTCATGGAGCAACAAGGAGACGATACAGCACACTGCTCCTGAGAAACAGAATTCGCACAATGAACACAAAACAGATGGATAAGATTTACCACTTTGTTATCGTCCTTTCCTGTGCGGATCCTCGGTAGCAGTGACGTTAAGAATTCCACATTTCAAATAAACAAGAACAAGGATATGTTGCAATACAGTGTCAATAAGTTGATAATCAGCCTTGTGAAGATATTTAGTCATTTTACGCATAACCGGAAGAAGGGCAGAGGCCTTCTTCTTCTCAGACAGCATACGCAAGTTATTTAGGACAGCAGAATATTTCTCGGTAGCCGTTTCGGTTGCACCTTGCATACTGACAATCGAAATAGATAATAATCTCTAGAGATGTCCAAAATGCATATCTAAGACAAAGTCCAGAAATCTGGAATTCAAATAATCTCGCTATTTTGTGTTCATTCCAAGTTGTTTTCTTTGCTGAACCCATTATTTTGTGGATAGGGCACACACATACCAAATGATCGATACAATCGTAGCAACCCATAATGATTAATTGCACGTTACAGTGCTCAAATACGTTTTTTAAAACACTACTTTTCCCTTTTCATGAACGTCTGGTTGCTTTATTTGTATTTTCTAGGGGTTCTCTATACGTATGTGAACGTTGCTTTGTACGAACTCTTGCTTTTTCTGATTGTAGAGAAAACGAGAATACCCATAACCGTGTAAAGTCGTGCGTACAAAGTAGATACGCTGCTCTCTTTGAACGTTAGACTTCTTTTATGTTAGTGATCATGTTGTGGAAAATGTCAAATGGGATAGTAATTTTGGGACTGCTTCTCTAGACCAACATAGGCTGACGTTTAAAGAAGCACTCCTTCACGAGTTGATAAGGGATGCGTACCAGACCTATAAAAGGGGTGGTTCTCTCGACTTAAGATATTCTGAAGTCGAATCTCTTAAGTCGGAAGATTCTTCTACGTCGCGCAACCCCGCAACCGTTGTTACTAGTGTTAATGAGGTTCCTTCCGTGTCCTCCAGCATATCAAATCGTGTTTCAACAACTATTCAACAACAGAATTCAATACTTTCTGATAAATCTCCTACTGTTTATAATTATACCGTGTCGAACGATTTTGTGCCTCTTTCCCACTACTTGACACCTCCCAGTGTTCCCTTCCGTCCAATGAACCGGTCAGAACTCAATAGATGTCCCCTCATTTTGAAATATCCCCGCTACGCTATTCCCCCAAGTTGCAATCTGTCTGTCACGTATTTTATCTTCTTTTTCCCTGATTTCCTCAGAATTTTCCCCTGTAATCGTTTAGGCAGGTTCCCTGATCCTTCTCCCGCCCTCTACGAGGAAGGCATTGTCTTTTACTCCTATTCCACCAATTGCAAAAGCAATCGTTACATGCCTCAAGTGTATGTGAACGCGCGGAGCATTTTGGAGATGGACCCTACCGCCCACATTGCATTGATCACCAATTGCGACGTCCCCCTCGAAACCGCTGCGTTGCTCTCCGTCATCATCCCTGTGCATCGCCGCGACATCATTCCCATGAGTCATCAGTGGTACACGCGCATGGTCTACAACGCCTATCTCCCCTTCCAGCTCTCTTTCATCCTCGACACCCACGTTTTCCCTTGCGATTCCAACGCTTATCGCGACGTTTTCGCGCTCTTCCGCAACTCCTCCGTCGACGTCTCCGTCTCGAACCGCATGAACACGCATTCCTATTCTGGCGGCGCCGTGCTGTCGCGCAAAGGTCCCGCGTCTTTCCGGTTTTGGAAGAGCATCGCGAAGGCGATGCATCGAAAAAGCACATACGATGACCAATGGGGACTCGGAAATGTGCTGCGTCGACGCCATCCCTATCTCAAGTACCGCCGATTGAGCAGCAATTTCTTCTACGCGTCGCACGGAATCACGAAGGACGGCGTGTTCCAGGGCATAGGCCGCTGCTATCGGAGTTCGATCGTGATTACGGGGCCTGTGCGATGGATTCATGGAAAGCAAGCGGAGTGTGCGATCGTCAATGGACCCAACTATGAGCACGCGTACAAGATGAGGGCGTATTTCAAGGGAGGGCAATGCAGGACGAGGCAGGAGGGACCCACGATGGTGTTTTCGAGTGCGCAGATGAAGGCTTATGCGGCGCCCGCCAGGCCGCCGAGTCTGATTTGGGCGAATGTCCCGGGACGCTCGGCGACCGGGTTGTTTTGGAAATAGCGTAGAAGGTGGATTTGTTTGTTGGAAAATAACGATGAGAGAGAGCGAATATGGTGATGGCAATAAAGCAAGCATTCATTTAGTAAAAAGATACAGTTAAAAGCATAGGGTGAATAGAGTCTAATCCTAAAAACATTATCTTAAAATTGAAAACCAGTCATAAACAAAAGTTTGCACCCATTATCCTCTTTCTCCTCCTCATTTTTTGGTAATATTGATTTAAACCAATGGCTCAAATCATGAATGGTATTGATACAAAGTGATCCTTAAGTATAGGGCAGGTGGTTGAAGAAAAGAAAGGCTTCTTTGCTTCAATTGTCGCTTTCTTTTTGAGTCTCTTTTCATTGATTTCTGATTTGTATGCGATTGTATAGTTTATTTTTAACTATAGTTTCTCTACGATATTCACTGTTTCTTGCTTCATTGAGAGCTAACTCGTAGACTGGCCCTTCTCAAACGACGGGCGGTGTGTACAAGGTGAATACAAACCGCTGGAAGATAAATAGCTCTCCTTACCAAGGTTCAGGTGTAAGACGACGAATCGGTGGAATGGACCAGTTCCGAGCGAACAACAATCTTCCAGGATGCAGTTCCGGAGGATGAGGTGCAAAGTAAGAGCGAACTGCTGTACCTGAAGTCATGCGCTTGACAAATATGACGATTGTCTCATAAACTATGGAAATAGGGGAGCCAGTCCGAACTGTCCTCCGTCGTGGCTTGGCAAGGGTGCATCAGTGACCTCTTCCAAATTCAACATAATTGTTTGTTTGTGACAAACACTCCGCGTTCATTATCTATCAATCCATTCCCTAACAAAGAGAATGTTGACAAAACTTCTTCCAATCCATCCCATCGACCTCTTCTTCAAACGCCTGTCCACACAACGACCCCCACTCGTTTCTCCGTTTCTCCACCAGCCGGGCAATTTCCAGCAAGAACTCGGCATAGCCGTGCGCTCGCCTCCGCTTCGCCTGCAATTGCTCCATCAGGAAAACATGCAGTCGATTATCGACGATTAAATCGATCCAGAGCGCAGGCTCCCTCGCCACCAACGCATGCACGAAGTAGAAGGTCAATGCATCATGCAATGCGCTACTCCACGGATGCTCCACGAATAAATTCTACACATCAAATCCCTCTTCTTCACGCCAAACCATCGCGATTCGGTTCAAATTCGACCCCACCACGCACCCAATCACCGGGAAAAAACCGCTACCGATCGCCTCCCCCAACAGCCGAATAACCGCGATTTTCACCGCGCCCACGCGCCGCACCGGCCCCACCGTGCTCGCGATTTCCGCGGGAATCGCCTCCACGCGGCAGGCCCCGTCCGCGAGGAACGCCGCGCTGTCGAACTCGCCGTCGCTCAGCGAAACCGCCTGTCCCGCGGGGATCCCGGGCGTTTCGGCGGCCTTGAGAGTGGGGGACGGGGAGAGGGAGGCGGGCGGCGAAGAAGAGAGAAACGGGGAAACCTGGCGGTAGAGGGAAACGCCGCTGAGGAGAAAGCGAAGAAGAAGGCGAAAATTGGCGCAAAGAAGCGGCAAAACGCCCTCGGAAGTGCGGAAATAGTCCCGAATTCCGTCAATTCTGCGGGCCAAAAGCGATGGCTGTTCGATGAGTTTTCCCGCGATTTTTCCTGGAGAAGAGAAAAGTAGAAACGGGGTACGGTGCGTGGGGAGCGCGCGGGAAAAGAGGAGCTTGCGGGGGATTTTGGCGGGAACGGTGGGTTGGCGGGAAACGGCGAGCAAACAGTCGAGAAGCTGGAGGACGATGCAGCAATCGCGGAAGGCTTTGTCGGCAATGACGTCGAGCGGGTAGCGCGGAATGGGGAGAGGCTCCTGGGGAGAGAAAAGGACGGGAGGGCGGATGCAGCGGAGCAGAGCGAAGGATGATGATTGCATGATGGGGTTGTGGCGAAGGTCGAGTTGCGGGAAGGAAAAGGAAAAGCTCCAGAAGGTGTGGAGGCATTGGATGGCGGTATCGCTGATGTTATTGTTACGGAGAGAGAGGAATTCGATAGATGGGTTGGATCGGAGGAACGTCATGAGAAGGACAAAACCGCGATTGCCGAGATTATTGTGGTCCAAGTAGAGCTTGCGAAGACTACAAGCTCGCAAGTAAGACAATCTACATAAAGAGGATTCCGTCAGCCTGCAATGGACGCTCCTCTCAATTCCTACTGTGCGTTGCACAAACGGAAAGTGCGCAAACTATTTAAAACGATGGTTTCCCAAATTACAGGAAAACTCTTTTCAAGTAACCAGTTATTACTAAATCTAAAACGAGAAAAAATATAACTACGATGAGTTGACCTCAGTGATGTGCTGCAGATTCTTTAATTCAGATAAGACTGACAACAAACCTTGCATCGAGAACTAGGAGTGAGCGAGCTTACCAATCGCTACTTTGTTGTCCGATAAATTAACCTCCTCTATTAAAGGATAATTCTTTACACGACTAGCTACAGACATGACTGCTAAATTATCTAGGTCCATTTCTATTTATAACTAGAGCATCCAATTGACCACTCGAAAAATCCAAAATGCGCGTATCGGCATCCAAATGCGCAAATCGGTCATCCACTGTTTCAAGCATGCTGCTGCTGTTCTTTGGCGCAAATACACAGTTACCACAAGGTAATTAGAAGGGGAAAAAGTATAGTCCAGCTGTGTTCTGAAGCAATGACCAATCCCATCAACTTTCAAGATCCCCGCGGTTCACAACTTTGTTGCTTCACATCTATTCAGTTTCCCCATGTTCGCAACCAGACTAGTTAATTCTGTTATCCGGTCGAGGTAAATCTTTGGTTAGTTAGTCAATTTCAGCAACATCAAGCTAGTTCGTCTCTTTAACTCGGAATACACCAAGCGTTGCGGTCGAAATGCGAACTCTAACCCATAGACTTCCTTATGCCAGCCGCTGCCCGATTGGTTGCTCTGAACAACCTAGACGCGAGTTCTATTGTTGGAACGGGTCTCGGTGGTCGCATTATGCGCTATGATGTCGTGAAATTCATGGAATCAAATCAGGGAGGAGTGAAGAAGCAGCCTGCTGCTCCTGCTGCTGCGTCTCCGAAGGGAAAGAAAGCTGCGAAACCCGTTATTCCTGCCGGAAATGGTGCAAAGGTGACTTACGAAGATTCCCCTATTCCGGGCGAAACGAAATCGAAAATGGATCTGGATCAGCAGATGAAGAAGACTATTCCCCATTGCTACCTGAAGAGCACGCTGTCTGTATCCATTCTTTATTTTTGCTCTCTCTAGATAACAAATACGCTCCAGCTGATTAAAACGCTTTCCACCACCGCGGCCACGCCTCTCACTCTCACGGATTTCGCTGTGAAGGCGATTTCCACAGCGTTGGTGCGAGAACGCTCGCTTCCCGTATTTTTTTCCATTTTTCTCTTCCTCACACTCGCAGAGCGTGGATGTGAACGTGTCCCTCACTCTTCCTGACAGCACGCCGCGCATGTTCACGCTGCCTCGTAGCGCTTCGGTTCGATTCTGACCCGCAGAAGTGCAGAAACTCAACATTTTGGACATCCACAACGCCATCCAGAAGATGCGCGACGCGCCTGCGGACGCGCCTGCGGCCCCGGTGAGCGGCATCGTGACGGTAAACGTGCTGGAGAACGTGGTGAGCGCGGGAGGAATCTTGTCGTGCGCGCAGGAGCTGGGAACGGTGACGATCGGAAGCCCGGTGCGATCGGTGGCGGTGGACGAGGAGGAGAAGATGAGTGCGTGCGTGAAGAGCGAGGTGGACTTCACGGTGAACGCGGTGAAGATGAGCGAAGTGGAGGGGTACGAGGTGCTGGGAACGTTCAAGAAGATGATGGAGACGCCGGAGTTCCTGCTGGAGTGAGTGCGAGGTTTGAGTTGTTTGTTGCAGCAATGAGTGAAGGAATGAGTGAATGAGTGAATGAGTGAATGAAAGATTGAATTGGTTGATTAATCCGATGGATCATACCACACACAATCAATCCTTCTCTCCAACAATCACGATTTCCTCCTCCAACACAATCAAAACCACCTTCTCCTTTTCCAAGAATTCACCGCCACCACCTCCCTTCTGTCTTCAACAAACACTCCCAATCCATTCCACTTTCCTCCCCTTCTCGTTGACCCACGCGAATTCATCCAACAAACACTCGCCCCTGGTTCCTCAATGCACGATCTGTCCCCATCCGATCAATCTCCAATGGTTCGAGATTCGCCGACTCAGCGCGATCTTCTCTCCCTCCTGCGTGCACACCGGCTTCGTCAGCGCGATCTGCGCCGTCTCGTTCTTCACGCTCACCACGCGTCCTCCCGTGCTGGTCGACCCAATATTCACCATCAGCACCTCGCCGCGGACCAGCTTCGTCACCTTCGCCTTCCCGTCCGCCTCCTGCTCGTTCACGCCCAGCAGTCGACGCAGCAGATAGAACGTCACGTTGATCTCCGTGAACACGCTCGGCAGCTTCCCCTTGTGTCCCAGCACCTGTCCCACCAGCCGGTCACCTCTTGTCAAAGTCGGGTCAATCTTCGTCCCCACACCGATCAGTCCTCCCGGCACGGCGTACCGCAGCGTGTTCTTCTCCGCGTGCAGCGACTCCACGCGCGCCAAGATGGGCACACACCTACGTCAAACCCCGATCACTCGCCCACTTGACCACGCCCTGCGCGTCCTTGCTCACCAGCCCCGGCAGGATCTCGATCTCGTCGCCGAGCTGCAGCACGCCCTTGAGGATGGAGCCTCCAGCCACGCCGCCCTTGAGCTCCTCGGCGCGCTGGCCGGGCTTGTTGACGTCGAAGGAGCGGATGACGATCATCTGGGGCGCGGAGGCGTAGTCGCGGACGGGCAGAGGGATCGTGTTCACGATGTACTCGCACACCACGTCGATGTTGTACTTCAGCTGCGCGGAGATGGGGATGATCGGCGCCTTCTCGGCCACCGTGCCCGACACGAACTTGCGGATGCTGTCGAATTGGACCAGCGCTTGCTCGCGTTTGATCAGATCTACCATTCAACAGACAGCAAGAAACCGACCAATCTTGTTCTGGAGGATGATCAGGTTCTGCAGCTTCATGATCTCCACGGCTGCTAAGTGCTCGCTCGTCTGCGGCTGCGGGCAGGGCTCGTTGCCGGCGATGAGCAGGAGGGCGGCGTCCATGACCGCAGCGCCGCTCAGCATGGTGGCCATTAACACGTCGTGGCCAGGGCAGTCCACGAACGAGATGTGACGAAGCAGGTTCATCGTGCCGCCACAGCCAGGACGCTGACATTTGGGATGAAGCTCTTTATCGGAACTGTAAGAAGCGTAGCAGTCAGGACTAGAAATCAGACCCAGCCGGGACATGCCATACGCAGGACAGTCGGGATTGTCGCACTTGTAAATCTTTGCATTTGCATAACCTAGCTTGATTGTAATATTTCGCACCATCTCGTTCTTAAAACGAATCGTCTAGAGAATCACTGAGAAGAGTCGTTTCTCACCTGAACTCCGGAAATAGCTCGCACTACCGTAGACTTACCGTGAGCGACATGACCAATCGTTCCTACACATTAGAAAGCGCGCTCATGCTCCGCTTACCGATGTTGATCGTAGCTTGGTACTGCATAATATCTGGGTTGTCGGGGGACAATTTTTCCCAGTCAATGTCGGTTAATTGCTCACACATACCTACTAATCGTTTATTAAGAGAAAATTCGTAGTAGAAGAAAACCGCGGTTATTGGTTATTGACGATTGAATCGACTCTGGTTGCAGCTCCTCAAAAGCGTTTCCCATACCCTCTTTCAAACAAACAAGGTTAGAGATAAAGGATGAATAATACGATAGCAATAGGAATAAATGAATATATAGATGATAAGAAAGGACCACCCTAAAGCCAAGCCACTCTAGAACTTGTTCTTCGTGGAATAGTCGAACGGGGAAACAACAATTCCACGACCTTTAATAGCACCACGGTAGATGGTTTCCATAATGGCAATCAACTCGTCCTTGTCGGTGAGTGCCCAGTTGATCTTGTTGTTGTTTCCCGTTCCAAGATCGATCATCATATGCTTGTTTCGGAAGAAGAACATGATCGTGCACGCGTCGTATAACTCGTACATGGCATTGAACTCCGGAACCTCCGTGATGTCCACGAGATAGATAACAACAAAGTTCTTCACAAGATCGGCAATCTTCCACAGTGTTTCATCTTGCTAGAGCGTAATCTCACGATTTCACAAAGACACCTACAAGCATGCACTGTCTGTCGTTATCATGACCAAAACGAATGACCACCAGCTTTTCAGTCTCATCCTGAATAGCACGATCGACGGCATACGCAGTGTGCAAGTGCGGGAGGAAATACGCCATTTCTACCGAATATCAGAAGCACCGGTCTGTAACAAACAAAAGTATGATCGCAAGTGTTCCATCGCCATTGTTCCGAAATATTGTACATCACGATCACAGTCGGCGCAATACTTCTCCAGCGTCGGGAAAACGAACTCCTCCAAGACTTCCTCCGAGAACTTCCCCTTCAGCGATGCCAGCGTTTTCGCCACCGTCAGCCGCACATTCGCCACCGGATCGTCCCTCACATCCCGAATCATCGCCACCACGCGATCGCACACCGTCACCATCGGCATCTCCACCCCCACCGTCTAATCATCATCCCCTCCTCCCACCCCAACCGCGATAATATTCAGCCCGGTGATCCGCAGCATGTACTTCTCGTTATGCACCAAATCACTGAGCGTCGGCAGCAGCGTGTTCTCCGCAAACTCCTCCCCGTACATCACGTACAGTCGCTTCAAAATCTCCGCGGCCGTTTCGCGCACCGCCGCCACCGTGTCCGTCGTGTAACTACTCATCGAGAGGATGCGATAGCGCCACTCGCAGGTGATGGGTCGGAGCTCGCGCGTCATGATGTCGATGCCGAGCTGCTCGCTGAGAAGCGGGATGAGAGTGAGCAGATATTGACGAATGCGCCAATCGCGGTCGTTTTTGAGAGAAAGCAGCGTGGGCAGCAGACTCGTCGCGAGGATCTGCGGTGACAACACCTGAGGAACACAGAAACACAAAAACGAACCGATTTGATTTTGTCGAAGTTCCCTACCACGGTTAATCGCACTTTCGTGCTGGGATCCGCCAATAACCGCGAGTACACCGGCAGAATCAGTTTCTCCGTGGTTTCGGAACCCACGATCGCGCACACATCTAGCTCAAACACGCCGCAAATGACTACTTAGGAAGTCGCTCGCGAGCCCAACACGCACATGCTCGCTCGCATCCGAACTGAGAATCGTCATTACGCTGATCATCTCCTCCACCTTCTCCACGCGCAAATACTTGCAAATCGCGCTGATCGAGCTCGCTGCGATCGTACGCACCTCCAACTCGTTGTCCTGGAGCAGTTTCAGGAACTCCGGCAACAGCTTGCTCTCCACCAATTCCCGCGGGAACAACGCGCAAATCTCGCCGATCTGCGTCACCGTCGTGTAGCGGACCCTCCAACTACTGTCCTCGGCGAGCTCCAAAAAGAGCGGGAGGATCAAAGTCCCGCGGTCTTCTTCGGAGAGCACGCGCGCCAGCGCGACGCAGCTCGCGTTTCCAAAAATCCGGATGTTTTCTTGATCGTCGCGGACCAGCAAGTACAAATCGCGGACGAGAATGAGCTTGCAGCTCTCCGGCTACATCGAAAAAAGGGCGGGTGTGTACGTCCATGACCTTGATGAATTCGGGAATGACGGAAATCGCGGCTTTTCGGATCATGGGCGTGCTGTCCTTGCAGAGCTCGTCGTACATTTCGATGATGGTGTCGAAGTCCCCGGTGGCTTGCTTCGTCTTGTAGAGGATGGGGAGCAGCGAGCAGACGCAGATTCTACTGAAAAGAAAAGCCAAACACGACTTCGATGTGAACCATTCGCTGTTGTACATGTGGATCGCGGTGGCTTGGATGTATTCGTTGATTTCTTCGGGACTCAGCGACTCGCAGATCTTGAGGATGGCTTTCGTTGCCTAGCGTGAAGAGTTGAGAAAAGAAGGGTACTGCTTCACGCACGGAGACTTCCTGCATGGTGCAGAGCTTCTCCAGAATATCCAGGATGTATTCCGTATTCTTGGAACCACCCACTAAGGGAAGAAAATCGCCTATCATTGTAAGATACAAATGATTTGCAAGCTTACCAAGTTGGTCTGCCATCGCCACAAGCACTTCGTCATCACTGTCAATAAGTTCTGACTCGTTATCTTTACCAAACTATGGATACCATGAAGATAAGGCAATAATTCATCAAGTGTCCTCTGTTCGCCCAAAGAAGTAGCTAGAATCACAAACTCGCCGAAAAAATACCAATTATTTTCAAATTCTTCATAGCCGCGACACAGACTGCTGGCTGGTCACTGTGCAGCTCCTCTATTAGTTCGTCGATGTAATTCATCTCTTGTGTATCTTTAAAGTACTCGTTTTGAGATCACCCTTACCTTCGATTTCGGTCATTGTCTATTTGAATCCAAAATAATCTATCTTTACAATTTGAAAAAATCGGTGTTATTTTTCAATTCCGAAAATGGCTCATTTCATTCTCTCTCTCTCTCTCTCAATCAAGGATTCTTTTAATTAATGATCCGCTTTGGAGTTTCTGTCTACAGTGATTGTATCACCGTATTTTCGGAGGATGGTAATCGAGGTCGTTGCCTTCGAGTCTAGATCCTACTCATTTGCTAGTACTTACTGACAGTGGATACGAACTTTCCGTAAAAAGTGTCAGTAATAATGAAGCTACTCCAAGTGTGAATTTCTATTGTGCTGGTATTCTCGGTGCGTATAAACTTTCTAGAGGTAGAGACGAAGAGGTTGCACCAAGTGTAGAAATATTCATTGCATTTATTACGGACGTGAAGGTGATTGGAGTTGGGATAACGGGGAAACCAATCTATCAAGTATTTTAAATTACGATTGCGAATCGATGCATAGGTCGAAATGGTGGAGTTTGTGAAACTTCCCTCATTAGAGCAAAATTCGATCAATGAAAAGTATATTTCGATGATAGATCAGGTACTCTACAAAATCAAGATTTATTACTCGCATCACGAAGATCTAACGCGTCGATTACAAGGTTCTCTCCTCTATTTTCAATTTTCTTCTTACACTCAGACACTCTCTGCAGACCTCTCTCCGAGGAGGATCATTACTTTCCAACAACTGCCGATCATCACTTCCTCGTATCTCTGTCCTGACATCTTCTCTCTAGTTCAATTGCCCAATCATCCAACCTTTTTACCCCTTTCGATCGATTCTCCTACGTGACCTCATTCCCACCACCATCTTCGGCTTTGTCTCGATCATTCCCTCCATCACCGTCGAACAAACCTCCTTTTCTCTGCTCCTCATCTCGCGCCGCAGCATCTACCGCAACGGTCGTCGCTACAACACACGCGGCGTGGACCTGTTCGGCCACGTCGCCAACTTCGTCGAGACCGAGCAGATCGTACTGCAGAACAACGGCATCATTTCCTCCTTCGTCCAGGTCCCTCCTCTCCCCCCTCCTCACTCCCAGATCCGCGGGAGCATTCCTCTCGAGTGGAGCCAGACCCCCACGCTGAAATACGCCCCGTCGATCCGCGTTTTCGGGGTATTTCTCCCCATTTCCTCGCACGTAGGATCGCTCCTTCCTCAATCTCCACTTCGACAATCTTCTCGATCGCTACGGCGCCGTCGTCGTCGTCAATCTCCTCGACAAGAAAGGCGACCAGCTCATGCTCGGACTCGAGTACGAGCGCGCTTGCGCCGCCTAGTCCGCTTTTCTATCCAAAAATAACCCCCAGCCAGACGAAACGCCCGCTGGAGTTCTTCTGGTTCGACTTCCACGCGGAATGCAAGCATTTCCGGTACGATCGATTGGCGAAGCTCTTCGACGGGACGCAGGAATGCGTTCGCAATGGAGGGTACGAAACCGTGGAACCGTGTGGAACGCAGGTATTTCCGCTTTGACTCGCGGACGAAGGAAGTCATCGCGATCCAGCACTCCGTGATTCGAACCAATTGCCTCGATTGCCTGGATCGTAGCGCCTGTTCGATCGAATTCCATGCAGGGACCAACGTCGTGCAGACGCTCTACGCGCAGTGGATGCTTTTCTACCAGCTTTTCGGACTCAAATGCGACGCCATTATGAAGAACTGCGCGTCGGAATCTGGGCGGGGGGCGATGTGTAGGAATCTATCGAACCCTCATGACATTCAACACGTGTTTAACAATCTGTGGAGCGATAACGCTGACGAGTTGTCGCGGTTTTATAGCGGTTCGCCCTCGCTGAAGACCGATTACACGCGGTTATTTGATTGAAATGGCGGTGATGGGTAGAACGGGACATCGCACGCTGCAGGGAATCGTGAACGATGCGGTGTACAGCGTGATTCGGTATTTGAACAACAATTTCCGAGATGGCTATTTCGAAGACTGCATTAACCTGACATTCAATCATGTTCAGATGGGCCCGAATGCGGATCGCCGCATGAAAGGGATGATCAAAAACACGTTCATGATGTTTGTTGCTGTGGTTCTAACGTTCGAACTCACCATTATCTCCACTTTTGTGTATCTTGCTAAACCAGGTTTGAACGGGAAATCAAATTTAGTGTAGCTAATCCTCGCTTTGTATATATTGCATTTCTTTCGTTTTTCACTATTGCCCTACTTTTCCTGTTTTTGAAAATGGGAACTTCGTGTAGCCGAGTGTTTGTTAGTCGGGTTTGTTTCCGGGGACGTTCTCTCATGGATAGAAAGTGTTACCACTGAAGCCGGCAATAGGATTTGAGCATATTTGTAGTATTTGTTTATACACACTTTTCCTCTTCAATATTTACATGTCTATTTTATACAGTATTATTACTCTTTGTGACATCACTCACTTGCCCCTGTAATAGATATGTACTGAGAGACACAAATATTTTCCAGCCAATTATCTTACACTCGTTCTCCAATATATTGCAAATTCCCAAAATAGGTCCTATTTTCTCTCCGCTAGACCGCCACTCAGAATTACTTTACCTCAAAATGGCTACTTGGCTGTTCATATTGCTACGTACCTTTCAATATTGCTTCCTAATACATAGTCGTGCATTCCACGGTGAAGAGTTTGGAATGTGGAGAAAATCAAGTTTACTTTAAACTCGCTAAACAGTCTGGTGACTATGCCGAAGAAGAGGTGGTTGAGATTTATGGAGAAGAAAAGTTGTACACTTCTCCCCCTTTTGCCAGCAATACTTATGTTACCTACGAAGGGTGTCTTTCACAGACCACAAATTCGCAGTACAGGATTCGTTTGGTAGATTCGTATAATGACGGTTGGGATTCAAAAGCGTGGGTTTCGATCAGCGGACCCTATGGTAATACCGTCTACAAGGGGAATATGGTGGATATCAGCGAAGAATATCACCCTATCTCCCTGTACAACCCGATTGTCACTGAGCAGGATTGGAAGTTCTTCCAAGGAAATGTGGCTGAAAACTGGAACCAGAAGGATTTCGTCGACACCGAATGGACGCAACTTGCCTACGAAGCAGATATTTCTTCTCCCTCCGCGACTCAGTTCTATCGTTACTCTTTTACTGGTCTCTCTGCTGCTGTTGCTGCCGCCTACGAAGTTCGCTTCAATTATGGCCATGGAATCATCGCCTACATCAACGGCGTTGAGATCTACCGAGACAACCTTCCCTCGGGCGTGATCGACGCGACAACCCCCGCTACAGGCTCCTACGAGACCTATCAATATCGTGGTGTGATTCGAAACGGCCTGGAGGTGGCGAGCGAGAGCGTGCTGAGCGTAGCGATCCATCTCCCCGAGCAGGTCTCCGAATCGACGCGAAAGTTCGATGCTTGGCTGGCGGAGTACATTTCCGGGAACGATGACCAATGCTACGTGGTGCCTTACGATGTGGAGATCACCGGTGCGCGCACCGACGTGGCGAAATCGTTCAACTGGGACATCGGCGACTACATGTACATTCCGAACTACCCCACCACCGTCAATTATCACTACACCGAAAACGTGGCGCCCGCTGTGAACGGAGTTCGGATCTTCCCCGCGTCGCACTACGCGCAAGCTCCCCGCGAGTACCGCTTGAGCGGGTCTTCGACGACCTCTGCGTACACCGTGGTGCTGCATGCGACCGACGTGGTCTACCAGTTCAACGAGTACCAGACGCGCACGTCGACCTCCGTCCCCAGTCCGTGGCGTTACTACCAGATCGACGTGCTCGCGGCGTCCGGAGGGATCGGCTACGCCTACGAAATGCAGCTCTGCGTGTGTGCCGTGGAGTCGGTGAGCGTGATTGACTTCCCGTCGAGCTCCTACTCGTTCCTCGCGAAGTACGAGCCCGTCCTGATCAAGCCTTCGCTCACGGAGATCACCAACTGCGAGGTCACGCCGTCCCTTCCGCAGGGCCTTTCTCTGGACAGCACGACCTGCACGATCACCGGCAGAGCGCAGGCCGCCGCGCCGAACACCACCTACACGATGACCTCTCCCATCAACGGCGGCATCTCGGGCTCGTTCTCGCTCGTCCTGCAGGGCTGCGCATCGACCGTGGTGCAGCTCCAGCGCGTCTACGCCGCCAGCGCCTCTCTGGAGGGTTTCACGCTCCGCGATTCGGCGGGACAGGTTCTGCTCAGCGTGCCGCCGAACCACTCCTACAAGGACTACGACGAAGTGACGAATCTGCTCTGCGTCGAGGACACGAAAGTCACGCTGAGCACGGAAGGCGAGCTGGCCTGGGCCTCCGCGTCCTACCTCTACGTCCACGCCATGCTGGACCCCACTTCCAAAGAAACGCTCCTCCGCGCGCGGCTGGACCCGCTGCTCGGCCTGCCGCAGCCCTACACGATCGGCCTGGACTATCCCATCAGCACGGGCGAGGCCTGGTCCTACAAGATGGGCGAAGTCCCACAGAACTGGGAGAGCGCGGACACCGCGGGGTGGGAGCAGGCGTCCGCGGGAAGTTTCCCCAGTTCCTCCAATCGGCTGCAGCTGTACAAGCGAGCCTTCACGATCGACTCGCTGGCGAACGCGTCGTCGTTCACGCTGAGCGTGCGGTATCGCTACGGAATCATCGTGAGCATCAACGCGAAGGAGGCGTTCCGCTACGGCGTGGAGGGCGCTCTGTCGTCCGACTCCGTCGCCACGACGAGCTACCAGGAGGAGGAGTTCCGCTTGGTGTCGCTCCCTGCGGCCAATCTGCTCGTGGAAGGCAGCAACAGCATCGCCATCGCTCTGGTCGCGATCGCAGCGTCACAGACCGCGTCGATTTTCGACTGCTCGCTTCGTCTGATCAACAAGGAAGAGCGAAGCCGCGTGTGGGACTACTCCGTGCAAGGCGAAGGCATCTACGACCCGCCCAGCAACGCGTTCGATCATTACAGCGGCACCTACGTGCGGTCGGGGATCAGTCTCAGCTCCCTCACGATCACCTTCGCGAAGAACCGTCGTGAGACGATCAACCAAGTGCAGATCGTGAACTATCTCTCCGGATCTTACTATAACCCCAAGTCCTTCAAGCTGCAGGCGCGAAACCCCGAAGAGCTGAACTGGGTCACGCTCGCCGTCGTGAACGACATGACCTGGTCGCTTGCCGGCCAGCTGAAGTCGATTTGGATCGTGAACTCGAAGCCCTACAACCAGTACCGCTTCTACGACATCCTGCCCGAGGATGACAGCTGGCGCATCCCTCTGCTGGATCTGGTGATTGCGGGCGTGGACGCGGAGATCCCTCCGCTCAGCTATCCCCCCGTGACGGTGTATCGCAAGGTGGAGATGGCCGAAGTGTACCCCAACAGCGAGTTCTACACCAACTTCCAGGTCAGTCCCGCGCTGCCCTCGGGCATCTCGATGGACGTGATGACCGGCATGATCTCCGGCACCGCCAGCGAAATCACCTCGGGAACCCACCAGGTGTCCGCCGTGTCGATCCAGGGCACCAACTCCACCTGCACGCTGCAGTTCACGGTGAGTCTCTGCACGGACGGGCGCTCGCTGATCACGCTGACCGTGCGGACGGACTACAACCCCAGCGACGGGTCCTACGCGCTCTTCGAGGGCCGCGGGGAAGGCGGCACGCTGATCGCCTCGAAGGACGGCTTCGGCCTGTCCTCCACGCTGCTCTACTTCGATTTCTGCCTTGAAGACGCGCTCTACACCGTGCGGATCGCGGACAAGCGCGGCTTTGGCTGGTCGATCCCCGCTGGAATCATGCTGAGCGTCGACGAGGGCGCGTTCCGCTTCGAGGCGGAAATGCTCGGCGAGTCGCCCTCCGGATCGAAGAAGCTTCTGAGCTTCTCGTCGTTCCTCCCGTTCCAGCACGAGTTCTCGGAGTGGAAGATCTTCCGCGAGGCGCGCTCCGACGCCTGGACCGCCGTGGACTTCGACGACTCCGCGTGGGAGGCCGTGAAGGCGGGGGCCATCGGGAACCGCGGCGGCGTGACGGTGTACCTGCGCACGACGTTTGCGCTGCCGACGGTGGAGGACTACCCGGTGCTGAACGTGCTGGTGAAGTTCCAGGGCGGACTGGCGGCGTACTTCAACGGGCACCGCGTGGCGCGCTTCAATCTCCCCGAGGACGTGAATAGCGACACCCAGGCGCCGGAGGCGCACGACGCGACGCTGCCCGTGTTCTTCCACGTGGTGCTGGCCACCGTGGAGCCCTCGCCGACGCGCAACGTGTTCGCTGTGGAGCTGCACCGCGTGCAGGGCACCTCCACGGCCGAGCCCATCGTCTTCTACGCCACGGGCGTGTTCGGCGTCAACGACTGCTCCGTGGTGCGCGACTCCTTCGTGGCCACCTCCACCTCCACCATGGACTCCGGCGCCGTCGCCGACATCCTGGACCTTTCTCCGCAGACCTCCGCGCGCTTCGAGAACGCGGGCCGCCCCTTCTTCGCCTGGGAGACCGCCAACCTCGAGGGCGCGCGCTTCAACTCCTACGGCTTCCTCTCCAACAACGACGCCGCGAGCTGGGCCTTCTCCCTCGCGGGCAAGCTGGGCTCCGACGACGACGACTTCACTCCGCTGCAGAGCGCGACGAACGTGACGATCCTGTCGCGCACGCGCGCGCTGTTCGAGGTCCCCGCGGGGCTGGGCGGGTACCAGAGCTTCCGCTGGGAGACCGACGCGCTGCCGAACCGGCCGATCAACATGGCGGAGATGCTCTTCCTCTACTGCAAGGCCACCGGCGTGGTGTGTCCCGCCATGGAGGGCTTCCCCAGCGTGTCGGAGGGCCAGCTCTCGCCCTCGAAGTGCGACCCCGGCTTCTCGGGCTACTCCTATCGCCTCTGCCAGAACGGGACCTTCTCCGAGGTCTTCACCGACCGCTGCGTCTACAAAACCCCCGCCAACGTCGCGTACGCCGCGCGGAACCTGGTGTTCGTGAAGGACGTCTACGCGGAGTCCGCCGCGCCCACCTACGACAACATCGTCACCGAGTGGTACGTCGCCGAGGGACAGGCGCTCCCCGCGGGACTGAGCCTCAACGCGCAGACCGGCGTGATCTACGGAACCCCCGTGGAGGTGGGCGAGCCGCGCACGGTGCTGATCTTCGCGTCGAACCCGAAGGGCGTGGCCAGCGCGGAGGTGAGCGTCCAGGTGCGGCTGGGGCGCTGCCCGCTGGACGGCCCGTGGCCGATCACTCCCGTGGGCGAGACCTCGGTGTACCAGTGCTCCACGCAGGGGAGCTACGTGGGGACGCAGAGACGGGTGTGCAAGCTGGGAAAGAGCGACGGGGAGTGGGAGCGCGCGACGGGAATGTGCGTGTCGATGCTGATGGTGGGCGTGCTGGTGCTCGTGGGCGTGCTGGTCGTGCTGTTCGTGGTGTTCGTGGCGATGCGACTGACGAGACGGAGAAAGACGGTGGGAGGAGTGAAGAAGCAGAAGCAAACCGTGCAGAAGAAGCGAGAGAAAACGCGAAATGTGAAGGTCTAAACAAGGCTGTGTCAATGCGTGAATAGATAGAGAAAGTTGTTTTAGAGGGTTGTTTGTTTTATTTAAGGGGTTGGCGGTGTGTGTGTGTTGTTGTTGTTTGGATTCGCAGCGTGCCTTTCTGTGGGGTTGGAATCAATCGAATCTGCTTTTTTAATCTGGGGATTATGGCAAATCTTTGACCCTACCTTTTTAATAGTAATAATCATCCTCATCACCATTACCATCACATCATTCCACTTTTGTGACCATTCATTCATTCACTCTCCTCCCTTTCTTTCTCTTCCCTCCTCCCTCCCCTTCTTTATTCCAACAAACACTTCACCACCAACCACTGAACCATCCCTTCTTCTCCGCCACGCGGCTCCGCGCCTCCAAATTCGGGTACGTCACCCTTTCATCGACCATATCAAAGAACAGCGGCTTGCACGTCGTCGTCTTCATCGCTACCGGGATCGGCGTCACTCGGTACCGTCCGCGCGCATCGAATTCCACTCTCTGCTTCGCGTCCTCGCTCAAATACCTCGCCATTTCTTCGCCCTCCGCGCCTCTTTCTCCCTTCTTCTCCGCCTCGCTCTTCGCCAGCAGCGCCTGCGCCTTCACGCTGCAGCTCAGCAGTTCCAAGTCCTCGCGCAGATTCCCCGCGAATCGCAGCGACACGAACGCATCGGCATCGTTCTCGAAGATGCTCGGCGCCGCGTCCTCCCTCAATTCTCCCACGATTTGCTGCGCGAACAGGCAGAACGTGCTCGCGTACTCGAACTTCCCGTTCTCGCACGCGCCCTTCCCCGCGTAAAACGCGCGCACCGCGCGGTACAGCAAATGCAGCTCGTCGATCGCCGCGCTCAGACGCTCGCCCGCCAATTTTGCTTCGCCCTCCGCGCCCTGCGACAATTCTCCGTTCAGCGCGTGCAGCTCCTCCAACGCTTCCACGATGTTCGACGCACTACGTTCCACGTTTCCACCGTCCCTACAGCGCCACCAAGTTTCCCCAATTCGTCGACTGCCCCGATCGCAGCGCGTCGACGCACCCGTTCAAAATCAGCACGTTTCGTTCCACGATCCTTCTCTGTTTCCCCAGTTTCTCCACCGCGAATAATCGCTCCGTGTCGCGGAATCGCAGCCCGTTCGCCGACTTCGACAGCCGATCGCGCTCCGTGCTCAGCACGCGCAAAACCCGATCAAACGCCTCGAAAACCCGACCAAAACTCTCCAGCACGCGTTCTTCGTCCTCCCCGCGGGAATCTCGGAGGCGGAGCAGAGCCTGCTCGGCGGCACGGACCTCCTGGAAGGCTTTGCGCAGCTCCTCGGTCTCGACGGGGAGGAAAAGCCCGCGGAAGGAGACGACGCGAAGCTCCTCGCTGCTTTCGACGAGTTCGTTTTGAATCAGGTCCGCTAGCTGCTGCGATAATTGCGAATTATCCGCGGAAGAGAGGAGGTCCAGCAGGGCGGCCGCGTTCTCGCCCTCGGCACGCTTGAGGTTGTACTCGCAGTAGCGGAGGATGGGAGAGAGCTGCGTGAGACGCGTGTTGAAAAGATCGCGATGCGAGGAAGAACCTAATTGGCTTAATGACTCGAACACCTTCTTCACGCGCAGGAATTGCTCCATCGCGCCTTTCTAGAGTTAGGAAAGTGAACTAATATCCACCCAGTCGCCGCTTTCCATGCGCTCTGTGCCCTGCATGTAGGAATGGTAGGCATCGCTCTCGAGGATTGTGCGCTCATCCGCGAGGGAACGGCAGAGAGTCAGAAGCAGAGAAGACCATTTGCATGCTTTCCGGATTCGACTCAGCAAGTGATACTGGATGCGCGACTCGCGTGTGCTATTCAGTTCCTCTTTTAACTCGTTTGAATAAGCCCAGGCTCGCTCCGCATTCAATAGAGGATAGAAGAGAGAATTCGCGTTTTTGACGTTCTTTTCCTCGAATGTCTTCTTCTCGAACACCTTTCCGTTTCTCTGGATAAATCCGATTTTCTTGCAGAATCTTTGGAGCTTTACAGAACAAAAATGTCTATAGCGTTCATAATCATTTTGTCGCATTCCGTTTTGTTGTTGCCACGACTGGACTGTTTGAAAGACTAGATAAAATCAGCAAAGCAACTCATCCCCTACTGGGAAGCGAAAGCTTCACGGTTTCCTGGACGGCAGCACCTTCTTCGATTTCCATTGGTTCAGAATCACGGAGAAATGCCAATTATCACTTATTTCTACAGTTTCATCAACATGAACGATGTCTTGCCGCGGTTTTTGTGTTGTTCTGAGGAACTGTTTTGTACACTCAGATTTCTTTCTTGTTGCATCTGAATCAGGTAAAAACTGCATTTCAAGCATAATGTGCAGAGCTCGTCCCAATGCAGGATCTGGATAAGCAACTTGTCTTCTATTGCAATATTCTGGGTTATATATTATTTGCCTTGATTCTCTGTTACTTCTACATTACATCCAAACCGAAAGACGCTGTAGACTAACTCCAATCCGTTTTCCTCTTTGTTTCAAACAAACAAGTTTCATATATGCTTCGATAACTCCGATTCTGCCGTTCCGCTTTTTCTCCGCACTTACATCGCCTTGACCTCCCAGACACGGATCACATTATCGGTGTATCCGGCAAAGAGCGTGGCTCCGTCGAGCGACCAGCAGAGCGAGGTGCAGTAGGGCACGAGAGCCTTGGCCGAGCGAGGCGGGAACTCGGGCTTGACGCTGGCGACGCGCTCCTTGGTCTCCAGATCGAACAGCACGATCTCATTCGTGGTGGCCACCGCGATCCAGTAGTTCGCGGGCGAGAACACCAGGTCCGTCACCGGGTCCTCCAGCGTCAGGCGGAAGTTCTCCACGCCGTTGGCCAGGTCCCACACGATCACGCAGCCGTCCTTGCCGGCCGAGGCGCAGAGCACGCCGTCCGGAGAGACCACCACCTTGTTCACCACCTGCGAGTGGCCGATCAGGTTGTACTCCACCTTCATCGTCTCCAGGTTCCACACCTTCACCAGCTTGTCGTACCCGCACGACACGATGCGAGGCTTCTCCTCCATGTTCGGAACGAAGCGCACGCACGTCACCCAGTCGTTGTGGCTCTCCTTGTCCAGAGTGAACTGGCACTCGCCAAGGGTGTTCCACAGCTTGATCGTACGGTCGCGGCCGCAAGACATGATCAGGCGGTTGTCAGGGCTGAAGCACACAGACAGAACGTCCTTCTTGTGACCCGACAGCGTCTTCTCGCTCTTGCCCGTCTTCACGTTCCACAGACGCACCGTTCCATCCCAAGAAGCCGTCAGAGCGTACTGACCGTCCACGGACAGACTCACCTCCTCAACAATGTGAGAATGGCCCTGCAGCGACTTCACAGGGGTTCCGCAAGACATCACCAGAGAGGGGTCGTCGATCATGTCACCCGCCTGGAGATTCCACACCAAGCAAGTGTGATCGCGAGAAGCAGACACCAGAGTGTTGGCATCAGCCGGAGAAGCAGCGATGGAGGTCACCCATCCGTTATGGCCCTGAAGGCATCCACGAAGACTGATTTGAGCAGACATTCTCGTAAACTAGAAGTTTAGCACAAAAACTCAAAACTGATTTGACAGAATACATCAATGACACTTCTCACACCGACCTACGTTTTCTGTTCGAATTATCAAAGCAATCTGGAGTTAGTCGCATAAAAAAGCAAACCGGTTTCGATCGCCTGGATTCAATTTTACTGGAATTATTCCTATAGTAAACCGCTACCTTGAATAATGTTCTTCGACTCAACTCGAGAAATAGGAAAGAAGGTTGCCAACCATCATAGATTCCACACCGAAGGCAGTGAGAGAAATGTTACCCAATACACACACATGTGTTTTGGGGTGGTATATTTATACTCCACAGCACATCCTATTAAAAACGCAACCTGCTCTTTCCACAAAAAAACAATCATATATTTCTTTGTAAGCTCTTCTCATTATGACCGTTGAAACCGATATCATCCAGCCTGTAAAAGACTTTATTCGTGATAGCAAGTTTTTGCTGAATCGTTGCACAAAGCCTGATAGAAAGGGTATTGTTGCCAGCGTGGGTCTCATCACTAGAATTTACTCAGACTGCCACTGCTTCTGCGGTTGGATTCGTTGTTATGGGTTTAGTGGGTTACTTCGTGAAGTTGATCCATATTCCGATCAATAACATCCTCATCGGTGCCTAAATGAAATCACGACTGTGGGTTATCTGTTTGTTGCGTATTCACGTTGTGTTCCATGATGGTTTTTCCACTCCTGGAAGGACACTCTCTAGCTTCGTCGGTGCCTCCCCACCCCTTCTTTTAACGAAATGGTAAGAAACAAACATGGAACACAGAGTAAGAGTTGCACATAGTACACTGGTTGATTACTGGAATAGTTTCACAAATTCTTCAAATTCGACAAAACCGTTGCGATTTCCATCAGCCACGCTGATCATATCATCGATCTCTTTTTCGGAGAGTGGAATGCCAATTTTCTGGAAATACGCCTTCAACTCGCCTCTATCAATCTTTCCATCGGAGTTTGTGTCACACAAGTCAAAAATCTGCTTTGCTTCCATCATTCTTTCTATAGGGTCAATTGAACAGCAAATCGATACCTAAACTAGAAGTGTCTCTGGAAATGATTCTGTAAAATTCATTAAAGTTGATTCGCCCATCCTGGTCCAGGTCCTTCTCTCGAATCATGTCATCAATGTCCCTCAACGAATGCTCGAAGCCGAACTTGGCGAGTAAATTCTTTATTTCAGTGCAAGAAATATCGCCATCTCGTCCCTTATCAAAAACGAAAAAGATATCCTTCAGAAAATTGATCTGCAGATTACAGGTCCTAACACTCTCTCTACTTCTTCCTGGCTTAGGTCCTTGGGCTCTGGTTGCATGCCAAGCAAACAATACGGTTGCCAACAAATTGTTTTTATATCAAACAGTTCCAAATATACTGAGACGCTCCCAACGCGTTGTACTGCGCAGCGCCCATCTGTTGCTTTCCCTTATTCTTATGGTTCTTCTTCCCGCTGCGTTCCTTCACATTTCGGACCCTCGGCTTGTGTCTGCCTCCATTCTCCTCCTTCATCGGCAATTCGGCTACCCCTCAGCTCTCCCTCCTTCCTCTCCTACCGATCATCTCCGTGCTCATCTCATTGGGGTCCATCGCCTCCGCGTGCTCCGTAAAGGACGCGATTGGGTTCTGCGGAATGACCCCCAAACTGGGCGGCGGAATCCACCATCGCAGCACTCCGTTCAGCACGTCCTTCAGAATCACGATCGCTCCGCGCGGCTCGTTCACGCCGCTGTGGTTCGACGCCATGTATCCTCGCTGCGTACACACCTCCGCGAGGAGCTGGCGCGGGTGCGGCACGGCGTTGGGCGGGTCGAGCGGATGGCGGATCAGCTTGATGTGATAGACGCGCTCCAATTCCTCGCGCGCCACGCGCTGGCAGACGAGCCGGACGGGGCCTAGCGATCGAGGAGTCCGGAAGGAGCCTACTGATGTAGTCGCGCATGTTACTCGCGGGGAGCACGCCGTTGAAGAGCAGATCGGCCTTGGTGTTCATGAACACGGGGAACACCAGACCCGGGCAGTCGCACAGCAGCAGCGAGTCCGACAGCACCACGGTCTGCAGGTGCTTCGTCTTGCCCGGCGTCGCGCCCACCGCCACGCGCACCGCGCCGTGCGAGGTCGCCGACACGCCCAGAAGCACGTTGATGAGGGAGGACTTGCCGACGTTGGGGAAGCCCAGCATGCCCACGACGGCGCGGCGATCGGCGAAGTCGGGGCTCGCGGTGCTGCTGGGATGGGCGCGGTCGTAGGCCTGCACGGCCTCGAAGGCCTCGTGCGTCTTCGCCTCCAGGTAGGCGAGCACTTCGGCGCGCGAGTGGATGCGGTAGCGACGCTGCTCGTCCGCGGTGCAGTGCAGAGAGGCCAGCTCCGATGCGTCCGCCTGCGAGAAGAGATCCGACGCTGTGGGCTCAGCGGAGGGTTCTGTGGAGGGTTCTGTGGAGGGTTCTGTGGAGGGCTCGAGGATGTCTTCTGTGGCGTAGTTTCGGATATCGGAGGCAATGGAGGGCTCAGCGGAGGGTTGTGTGGAGGGCTCAGCGGAGGGTTGGGACTGGGCTTGAGCGATCGGCTCTGCGGATTCTTCTTCTTTTACCTCTTCTTCTTCCTCAGTTTCATCCTCGGAAGAATCATCGAAATCCAGTCCAGCGAAGGCGTTTCGGCTTCGCCAAACCGGCTTTTTGTCCTCCTCCTCTTCCTCTTCCTTTTCCTTCTCCTTTTCTTTTCCCTCTTCCTCCTCGTTCGTTTCCCGGTTTTGCTGCTCCTGCTCCTCCTTCTCCTTCCTCTCCAACTCCTGATCGATCACGTGCGACGAGGCCTTCGCCGAGAAGAACACAAACGGCAGATTGATCGAGTCAAAGTACCGGCCCCACTGCACACGCGCGTACTCCGGAATCAGATCCGCCTTGTTCACGATCAGCACCGTTTGCTTGCACGGATGCACTTCCTTCACGTACACGTCCACATCGGGGCAGTGGAACAGCAGGGGGTTGCGACTATCCACGATCTGCACCAACAGATCGCTTCGCTCCACCACACGCCACAATTGACGCCACACCTCCAAGTTCTTCTCAAACGGAGCCACTGCGCCTGTTTCGTGCTCGACGTGTCTGGGAAATTAGAAAAAAAGGCGGCAAAACTACTTCGCCACGTTGCGACGCCAGTTCAGGAACTCTTCACGCTCTAAACGGTCCTGTTCCTCGGGAGAGCGGGCTTCGTCCCACTTGGGACGGCGGGGAATGGCCATCGTGCGGTATTTACGGGTAGATTCGTAGTCATAATCATCAACGACTTCTCGAACTTCACGGTCGATAATCGTAGCAGAACCCTTTTCTGTTTCAAAACTCCGCTGGGATAAGGCGACCGTATCCAAGAAATCATCCTACCCATCAACCCTCCCTCAAAAACCCACTAGATTATTTACATCTAAAATTGACTTAAGGCCAACGTCGGGAATAAGCCCAGCTTGAGCCTTTTCCATCTTCTTTCTACACTTTCACGCACTATCAAATGCAATATACTTGTTTCTCATTTCTTGTTTCTTTGATCGTGCCGCAGCTGCCTTATCCTTCAAAATTGCTCTTCCCAATGCGTTATCGCTTCCTTTGGGCATTTTCTACAAACGTTATGCGAGCCTCTACATTTCCTACAAGGTCAAATCAAAAGGCAAAAAAAATATGAGAAAAGGCGATTTCCTAATAAATATACCATTTATTTTTGCTATTCTTTGTGTCCTTCCTTTCGACCTTTTACAAATCAATAGCTCTTCCAAAGTACTAGACGAATCAATACTTTACAACAAACAACAGAAAAGAACTGATTACTCTAAAAAATCCTATTCATCTTCTGACAGAACCGCCGACTCCACAACTTCATCCGATTCACCCATTCCTGTAACATCCACGTTTGATTCATCATGATAATCTGTATTAGAAAGTCGGGTGAGCAACTCCACACGACCTGCAATCTTTTGTAATTGCATATAAATGACGGAATGTGTAGAGACAAGCTTCAACTAACACAATGCACACAATTCTACTCGCTGCAAATTCATCAACTTCACCTTCAAATCTGGAAGCGAATCTAAATAGTTCCCGTGAACATAAAGTAGTGAGTGAATCCAATTCGCTCCTTCAATTCCCTTCTAACCGATTAGACCAACAACAAAACAACTACACGAGGGTTTTCCACCACAATTTCATCAAGGACATCAATAAACTGCGTTACATGACCTTTACTCAAACTTGGAACCACTTTCCTGGCAAACTACAAACTTACTCCAACATGGCACTTATACGCTCGCTGGCATGCGGATAATTTTCTTGATTTCCTTTTTATCGTTTTTATCAAGCGCTTTGCGCAGTTTGGTCAAGCAATCCGAAGGAGTTCCATAGTTTGAGCTACGCGTCGACTCCTTGATCGAACGGTTTAGAAATGATAATAAGCAGTCATTTGTCACCTCTAGACATTTCGTTTCCTGTGCTTTGGTGGTTGTCGAGTTTTGCTCTAATTCTTAGGGGATAACAATCGTTGGAACCCGTTGAGGCCATTGTGGGAACACGGGAGACAAAAATAAACCTAAGTAAAGGAGTTTCCTTTTCTTCCAACGCTCTATTTCTCATCGCCTCCCACAGCTATTAAAGATGTGCATGCAGAACAGCGGTTTTCTCCTATTTCCTATGTCCAAGGAACAGAATTGCCAGTATTCATTTTCCATCATTCCCGCGGTTCCCAACTTTGGATTAATCTTAGCATCATTTCCTTAAATTAGTCAAGTAAGTGGTGGTGCAGGTGTTTGGATCCTCGGCCGCATCCATTGGCAGAAGATTTGCTCACAGATAGTATAGATTATGCAAGACGATATATTTGAGCAAGTCCTCTGCCGTATTCGCAGATGCTATGTCTACAAGATCCCCCCACGAAATACGGGTATGGGTTACCGTGCTGCTGGCTGGACGAACCAGATTTGGATGGGTTCTCTGACTGTTGTCCTGAGAGGAAAGAGCTGCTTCGTGGAGCTCATTGACGACAACAAGAAGGTCTTTGCCTCCACCATGATTCGTGACGATGGTCCTTCTGTTCGATTTGGGCACTTGAAATGACTCTTTAGGTGATTGAGCCTGTGCTGGATTCTTCTCGTTACTTCGTGATGAGAATCGAGAAGGACCGCAAGAAGGCCTACATTGGTGTTGGTTTCCAGGAGCGTTCGGAGGCTCTGGATTTCAAGATCGCTCTGCAGGAGTACAAGAAGTACCTGGATGAGCCCGAGTACGAGGATGACAGCGAGGAGCAGGACTACTCTCTGCAGGAGGGAGAGACGCTTCACGTGGAAGTGTCCATCAAGAACAAGAAGGTGGGCGATGTTTTTTTGGAATGAGAGGTAGAGGCACAACAAAAGAAAGGTGGAGGATGCCATCGAGGTCGATGAGAGCGGTGCTCTGGCGCCTCCTCCAGAGTCTGGACGTAGTGATGGAGATGAAGATCAAGGATAGGTCGTCGTCGTGCTCGTGGTAGCCGCAGAAAGGCTGCTGCTGCTGAAGAAGAGGAAGAGGAGGAGCAGGCCGCTCCCGCCGCTCCGGCGTATGCTGCTCCGGCGTATGCTGCCCCTGCCGCGGCTGCCCCGTCGACTGATTTCGAGTAAGAAATGGGCGTGTTTAGTTAGGCGTAGCTTCTTCAACTTCTAAATGACTTGACTTGACTTGCTTGTTTGCCTCTTTGTTTGTTTTCACATGACCGGGATAATTTTTACGTTGGCGATGAATAGATTACTGCGTGACAAAGCGTTGACACTCCCAACCTCTTGCAAATCCTTTAGATTTTGAAATGAGAGGGAAACGGTTTCACAGCGGGGGAGAGAAGAAAATAGAAAAGGCGCCATAATGAAACCGCTTGGACGTTTTATTCTGGTTTTTTGAATAGCAAATCTACATTCATTTCTGCTAACACATGAGAGAAATTATCCATCTGCAGGTCGGACAGTGTGGTAACCAGGTATGGAATTTTGAGTTATTGCTTTCTTTCTAGATTGGTACCAAGTTCTGGGAGGTTATCAACAAGGAACATCATATCGACAGCATGGGTCAGACCCAGGTCGAGCCAAACGAAGACTTGAACGTGTTTTACAGCCAAGCTTTGAATGGTCGCTTTGTTCCTCGTGCTCTGCTTATCGATTTGTATTTGTCTCTCCCTCCCTCTTAATTTTAGGGAACCCGGAACGATGGATGCTATTCGCTCCACTGAAGTGGGTCAGCTGTTCAAGCCGGATAACTTCGTATTCGGCCAGAACGGCGCTGGCAACAACTGGGCGAAGGGTCACTACACGGAAGGAGCCGAGCTGGTGGACCAAGCGATGGATGTTCTCCGTCGCGAAGCGGAGGCGTGCGAATGCCTGCAGGGCTTCCAGCTGACGCACTCTCTTGGAGGAGGCACGGGTTCGGGTATGGGCACGCTGCTGCTGTCGAAGATCAAGGAAGAGTTCCCTGACCGCATGGTGATGTCGTACTCGGTGTTCCCGTCTGCGAACGTGTCGGACACGGTGACGGAGCCGTACAACACGACGCTGTCTGTGAACCAGCTGCTGGAGAACGTGGACGAGGTGGTGGTTCTGGACAACGAGGCGCTGTACCAGATCTGCTCGCAGTCGCTGAACATCAAGATGCCGTCGTTCGCGGACATGAACGAGCTGGTCTCGCGCGCGATGTCGGGGATCACGGCGTGTCTGCGGTACCCCGGTCAGCTGAACAGCGATCTGCGGAAGCTGGCGGTGAACCTGATTCCGTTCCCGCGTCTGCACTTCTTCCTGACGGGCTACGCGCCGCTGACGAACAGCGCGAACAGCGCGTTCCGGCAGTACACGGTGGCGGAGCTGACCTCGCAGCAGTTCGACTCGAAGAACATGATGTGCGCCTGCGACCCGCGCCGCGGCCGCTATCTGACCGCGGCGGCGATCTTCCGCGGCAAGGTGGCGACGCGCGACGTGGACGAGTGCATGCGCGAGATCCACCAGCGCTACGCGCCGTACTTCGTGGAGTGGATCCCGAACAACATCACGACGAGCGTGAGCAGCGTGGCCCCCGCGGGGTCGCCGATGGCGACGACGTTCCTGGGCAACAACACGGCCATCCAGGAAGTGTTCGCGCGCGTCTCCGAGCAGTTCGAGACCATGTTCCGACGACGCGCCTATCTGCACTGGTTCACCAGCGAGGGAATGGACGAGATGGAGTTCACCGAGGCTTCCAGCAACCTCGCGGACCTCATCACCGAGTATCAGCAGTACCAGGAGGCGTCGGTCGAGGACGAAGTGGCCTATGGCGACGAGGAAGTCCCCCAGGAGATGGAGATGGAGCACGGACAGGAGCTCGGGGAGAACGCTTAATAAGTAGTAGGTGTGGTCTATGTATGGCGTGTTTGTTGTTATACATGGAATGAGGAGGAAATGGGTGAATGGATTTTTGGAAGGAGTATTGCATGGTTGATGATCACTGCAGAAGGCATTTTAATTCAAATTGTTTTTCCAATCCTTTCGTATCTCTACCCCATTTATGAATATAAATATATATATATATGTTGCTTCCACCTTATAAAAGCGATTCTTCCTTTCCTTTTCTAATCTCTCTCCATGTCCATTTGCATCTCCACTCATCCTCGTATCCAACAAACACCCCAAAAGTACGTTTTCAGTTTCGATTCTCGTTCTCACAGCTTCTTTCCGCTCCACGCTCTCTGGAAATAGTCTTCCGGGTGATAGTTCTCGGGATGGCGGGATCGCTCCAGGATCTCCTTCTTCCACGACCGCATCAATCCCTCGATCGGCCAGATGGCCGCATCCGCGAGACCGCAGATGGTGTGCAGCTCGATCTGCGTTCCGATCTCCATGAGCATGTCGATCTCTCTCTCCTCGAGCTGTCCTCTCTCCATTCGGCACATGATATCGTACACCCACGGCAGTCCCTCGCGGCACGGCGTGCACTGTCCGCACGATTCGTGCATATAGAAGTGCGACAGATTCCGAATCGCCGCCATCTACCCATCACCTCTTCCTCTCTCTCTCTCACCATATCCGTCGATTTGTCCATCACGATCACGGCCGCGGAGCCCAGTCCCGACTTGAACGATCCCAGCGAGTCGTAGTCCATCAGCGCCACATCGCACATGTCCTACCGTCCATCTTCCTCTCCGCACCCACTTTATTCAGCGCGCGCGTCGACGCGCCTCCGGGGATCACCGCCTGCAAATTGTCCCAGCCTCCGCGCACGCCGCCCGCGTGCTTCTCGAGCAGCTCGCGCAGCGAGATCGACATTTCCTCCTCCACCACGCACGGGTTGTTCACGTGTCCGCTGATCGCGAACAGCTTCACGCCCGCGTTGTTCTTCCGGCCGAACCCCGCGAACCACTCCGGGCCGCGCCGCAGGATCGTCGGCGACACCGACACCGTCTCGCAGTTCGTCACCGTCGTCGGACACCCGTACAGACCCGCGTTCGCGGGGAATGGCGGCTTCAGACGCGGCTTGCCCTGCTTGCCCTCCAGCGACTCCAGCTGCGCAGACTCCTCTCCGCAGACGTACGCGCCCGCGCCGCGGTGCACGAAGACGTCGAAGTTGTACCCGGTGCCGCAGGCGTTTCGCCCGAGGAAGCCTTTTTGATAGGCTTCGTGGATCGCCTCCTCCAGACGGATGCTCTCGTTGTAGAACTCTCCGCGGATGTAGATGTACGCCGCACGCGCGTGCATGGCGTAACCTGCTACCAAACAGCCTTCCACCAGGGCGTGCGGGTCCTTCCGGATGATCTCGCGATCCTGATTAGGGTGAGGACATGGCTACAAGGCCTACTTTGCAGGTTCCGGGCTCGGACTCATCGCAGTTTACCACTAAAAAGTTCGGACGACCGTCCTTGGAGGCTTTGGGCATGAAACTCCACTTCAAACCGGAAGGGAAGGCAGCGCCTCCTCGTCCACGCAGACCCGACGCTTTGATATCCGCAATGATCTGATCGGGACCCATTTCCAGAAGCTCCTTGGTCTTGTACCAGAAACCACGCTCCATGGCACTATCAATATGCCAATCATACTGGCTGTAAAGGTTTGTAAAGATACGATCTTGATCCTACGCGTTCAGCTCCGAAATAACAAACTACAGACAGACCTCCGTGATGTCTCTCTGGGGGTGGTGGGGGAGCAGCAGCGGCATTGCCAGCAGCGGGGGCAGCGGGTCCAGCAGCGAAAGAGCGGGCGATGGCTCTAAATACGCTAGGCTTGCCCACTACACAAATTAGCCTCTTTTTTCGCTTGTAACCTACGGTATGTTCGAGTTCCTCTTATCAGTAATGTTTGCATTCGATTCAGTGAGGAGAAAATAGGGATTTCTCCTTGCATGTCGTTGCGCCTGCCATTTCTTTTTATTCACTAAACAATTATAAGCCTGTGCGAAAGCTAATAATTTGTAATTATTATTGTTTGCGCCTATATTGCAGTGTCCATCCTATCTTATGTGGCCAAGTGAAAATAAGGATTCGTCCATACTCAGTGGTAACGTTGTATTCTGTTTATTCGGCATCTCACCATTAGTTTTTGGAGGATTTTAAGGGTTGGTTAATGCTTGTAATGAATGATAACACTATCTATGATTTATTCGATTATCTCAAGGATTATAGAGTACGTTTTTGATATTTTCGTGTGACCATAGGTTCTGTGTCAATTACTATATCGATATTATCCCATAAAAGGACGGCTGGCTGACATTGATCCCTGTATTTCCTGTTATTTTCCACTCTTCTGTAGCTAGTCCGAGTGTCAATCCTGCAACTTTATTTACTATGCTCTGCTCTGACATAGGAATTCATTTAGATTCTACTGCCTTTTCTGAAATTTTGAATAGACATGAAGTGCGAACCTTCTATCCAATATTATTATTATTATTAGGTCAATCCGCTTGTCTATGCTCTGGAAGAGATAATCAAAGGGTTGCTCAAAGCGAACTCGCCTACGGAGCTCCAGCTTCCAACCTCCCTTTATTCAAGTAATGTGTCAAATTCTCTTTTTTCCCCAGATTGCTATTTCCAGCATTCTCCTTCCTCCGTTCCTGGAAATCGAGTCTATAGCAACGACCCTGCACATGCATCCACCTTTTCCACCTCGTCTCTCCCATCCAGCTCTAGCACCGTCTCCGATTTTCTCACCAAGGACGAAGAGGCTAACCAATACAGCCAGAACCAGAACTATCTTGCCTATAACCAGTCCCTTTCCTATCATAATGCATACAGTGAGCCTTATGCACACCAGGATTATTCAGCGACACAAGCTACAGAGCAATCGACGCATGTAGCCATCAAGAAGCGCAGCAAGAAGCCATCGACCGGGGAGACCTTGGCGTGGGGTGCGGCGGCTGTGGGGATTCTGGGCGCGCTGGGCGCAGCGGCGATGATAGCGATGAAGTCGAGAGACAAAAAATGAGCGTTTTGCGTGTTTGATTGAACAAACAAGGAACATTCCTACTTCCTTCCACTGGGAATCGGAGATGGCTGTCGGAGCGGAGGTCAGCGGATCGGACCCCGTGATGCTCTTCGGAAAGGCGATCACATCGCGGATCGACGCTTTGCCTCGCAGCAGAGACAGCAGACGATCCAATCCGATCGCGAAGCCTCCATGCGGCGGACAGCCTTGCTTCAATGCGTTTAAGAGATGATGAAACTATCGATCACACACACACACACACAAGAAATTCATACCACATCGGGACTGGAAATCTTCAGAACATCCGTCAGAATCGTCTTTTGCAAATCAAAGTCGTGAATTCGAAGCGACCTATTCATTACTCGCCTTTCATTCCATTGTTTGCTTACCCGCCTCCGACTTCGTTCCCATTCAAAACCAAATCGCAGCTTTTCGATTTCAGTCGCGTCCATTTCGCTGGATCCTTCAATTCGCGCATTGAATTCGCTGAAATCAATTCCAAAGGCGAAGTGAACGGGTGATGCGTCGATTTGATGCGTCCTTGCTGATCGAATTCGAAGAGAGGGAAGTTCTCCACCCACAAGAATTCGATTGGAACCTTCGAATCGGTTAACGCGGGGAAAGGCGCATAAATCTTCCCTTGCTGACCCAATTCATAGAGTTTTGTTCGCAAGAGACCCAATAGGGACTCAATTTGGTACCCATTTGCATTCTCTTCGTTTTCTCTTCGTTCCACACCCACCAAAATCAGCTCGTTGTTTTGCAATCCGGATAATTGACTCTGTATTTTCTCCACATCCACCAATTTCGACGCACTCGCGGGAATATTCAGTTTCCCCGCTCCATCCACCGCACACTTCAAAACAAACTTCCTTTTTACCCTACCCGAATTACCCTCGATTTCTGGAATTGCCCTTCTTCGAGCGATTTTAGAAGCTGTTTGAGTTTGGAGGCGCTGACAAGGGGAGCCAATCTGGGGAATCGAAGCACGCGAATCTTCTGCAGATCGTCCGAAATCGATGTGATTCGAAATGGAATTCGGAGATCCGGCTTGTCCGAACCGAATTCCGATAAACACGCGTCATAGGAGAGAGACCGAAACGAAACGGGGTTCGAAATCCCCGCGGTTTGGAAGGTGGAGAGAAGAAGATTCTGGATCGTGGATTGGATTTCCTAGATCCAAAAATCCCCCCGATTTCTACAGAGAGATCGGTGATGTACGCCATCTCGATGTCTAACTGAGTGAACTCCAGCTGCCGATCCTTTCTCCCGCTTTCGTTTCGAAAGCACCGCGCGATCTGGAAGTACCGATCGATTCCGCTGGCCATTAAAATCTGCTTGTATTGCTGAGGAGATTGGCTCAGTGCAAAACCGCCGCGCGGAATCAGAGCCGAAGGAACGTAGAACTCATGTGCTCCCTACTTTCGAAATCATGGAAACCCGTACTTCGGGGGAGGATCGAGTGAGGAGAGGAGTTTCGACTTCGGTGAAGTGATGGGAGTGGAGAGAAAGACGGAGGGAATGGAGAAACTCAGAGCGAAAACGAATCTCGTTTTGATATTCGGGATGCCGGAGAGTGAGATGTCGATATTTGGATAGAACTTCGTCTTTGGGGAGTTTTCCGTGGTACTGCAATAGAGTTTAGTCGCATAACCAAAAAGTACAGGGAAGGGCAGATCCACAGCTTGATTGAGCAGATACAGCTTTTTCCCCTTGACCTCAATTTCACCCGTATTCATCCTTGCATTGATTGCATCCGATGGGCGAGCTATGACCTGGAATGAATGAACGACCCACAGCAAAATCTACATTTCCCTCGACACACACAACACTCTCCATAGGGATTTTCTTGAGCAACGATTCAACTAGTAGATAACCTCCCAAATAGGCAAAAACCCTCTTTGTCACAATCAAACAATGTTTGGGTTTGACCTTCCCCGTCACGAAGAATAATAAACACAGAATCCTTCATAATCCGAACAGAATCGACCCATCCTGACAATGTAACGAATTCATTGATATTTTTCTTCGTAAGCGAGTTACAAGAGCAGGATCGAAGCGGAGACGGCCATTTTGCGGAGTCTAGAGAAAGGTCAAAAGCATCCGCTTTGGAAGACAAGGATCTAAAGAGACGTGACGAGAATTTCAAAGAGAAATAGGCTCGTCGAGCAAGCATTTTCCAGATAGTTTTTTTGAACAGGGAGCTGTACGCATGCAATCTACGGTTCAGATTGCAGAAGTGAAAAGCACCGGAATTTTGGGGATTACTGACTGTCTTCGGATCATTCGTTCGGAAGGAGTGTATCTTTGATTTGTTGCCGATTCATAAAAAGAAATAATTCCGATGAAACATTTATTGCGGCTTGCAAATACGGTCCTGGCGAAAAACGTTCTCAAGGAGCGATTACGCTTGAAAATGCCTTAAAGAGTGTGAGATTTTGGTATTTACGCCAATGTGCAAATCAGAAAGAGGAATTAGTTCAACGCGATTTGCTCACCACTCTTATGGAACCTTTGATTGAAAAACGGAAGGTGGATTTTTGTTCTTGTTCATTCATTGAGTAGGGAGAGTCGTGCAAATCGTTCAAGCGCTATCTTCGTTTCATATTATGGTCGATCGTTTGTTTATATCGCCACAACACATCGCAGCTTTTTCAAAGTTGGATCGAAATGGATAAAGAAAACAAGTAATGGATCGAGTATTGTCTTCATTAGATTATGGTTGCTTCAAGTCTTTACAGATCTTTGCCTCATCTTTGAAAACTCCAAATTCATCGAAAATCTGATTGTGAAAGATTCTGTTCCTTCGAATTCTTCATCTTCCCTCATTCAAGTCATCAGCGAGGAATCATCACAGGAACCGGATTCTTCTCTCTGGTCCCTTCCTTCTCTTGATTCTCTCTGTGATCTTCATCCTCTTCTCCACTCCATCCTCTCTTCACATTCTTCCGGTTTGCTCTCTTTTGACTTTTCCATCTGACTCCCAAGAGTGTAATCAGCGATGGCTGCTTCCCTGCTACAACGCGCAGATTCTCATCTTTCAGCAGTATCTTCATTCTTCTCGATCCGTAACCCGTCCTGTTCTCGAAGAAATGGAGTTTTTGTTCTCCTGCTACCAGCAAATCGCATCGACCGGGTCCAATGAAATGCTGGGAACGCTCTCCATCCTCGCAACCCACACGCATTCTTTCTATTTTTCCATTCTCTCCTCCCTCACTGAGCAGCAAAACGTCCTCGAAGTCCAGCGAAAGCGACTCGAACGCGACGGTCAAAACGACGAGGAGATTCGCAGAGCGATCCACGAGCTGGCTACAAAATGCCAGTCTGTTTCTCGACTGTGTGGTTCTGATTTCGAAATGATGCTCGGCGAGTTGAAAACGCGCGGAGGTCCGCTCCCCACCTCCGAAATCGATTCTCTTCTCAACGGATTGGCGTCAGCCGCGTATTGCAAAGACGACAACGAGAAATCCGCGTTTTACTCGCTCCTCCGACTGCTTGTTCTGCGTCTGCTTCGCTTGAATCAAAGCCAACTGCGTCGCTACGTCCAGTCCGCCGATCAGTCGCTTCTTTCGGTCTGCATGAACGCAACGCGCGCCTTTGCCAAAGCCAGCCATAATCCCCGCGATCAGAACGCTTCGTTGTATGGCGATCTCCCCGCGATCGTTTCTTCGATCGCTCATACCGCGATTCTTTACTCCGAAGCAGCGGGTCGCGTTTCGCAATTCGCGCAGGAACTCGTCGATTTTCTGGGCAAAGAAGACGCGGGAATGAGCCGCGAAGTGATCGTAGAAACCGCGGTTATCTTGACTATAGACCGGTCTGTTATCGGTGTGTTTAGAGAAGCAGCCAATGAACATCGCGCAGGTTTTGCTTCAGCGATGCTCGCAGACCAACGCGATGGAAATCATCGCCGCGTTTCGCCTGTTTTTCGACAAGGAAACGCCCGATGAATCCGTTTCGCATCTGCTCGGACAGCATTTGACTCGTTTTCTGGCGTGGAACGATCAAGTCAACAACCGACTCCTCGATCATTTGCTCCGCTGCATTCCCTTTCTCCCCGTGCAAGACGTCGTTGCCGCGGTTCTGGACGCGTCGTCGCCCCATCCCTCGCAGCAACAAGCGTTTGCGGATTGTTTGGTCGCGTTGTTTCAATCGGCAGCCGCGAATCCGCAGCGAATGGAAACCGTATGGGGATTGGTCACGTGCAAGCAGTCCAATCAGCTGGTTCTGCACGCATTGGAGAAATGGGGGTCGGATTCCGCGGGGGACAACGAGATCGTGGCGGCATTGGTGTGGAAATCGCTGGAAAGCAAGTCGCTGGATATGGAAAAGCTGGTTCCTTGTTTTTGTTTCTCTTCGAATTCTATTTTGTAGGGATCGCGGTGTGTTTCAAGCCGCTTTCACAATCCATTTTCGCATTTGTTGAGTCCGTTCCTCTCCGCGAATTCGACAAATCGGAGCTTTTCCCGCTTCAATTCGCCGAGCATTTCCGAGTCGAATGGCTGGACGTTTCATCGCAGCCGATTTCTCTTCTAACGCCGCGTTTCTTCGCTTCGAGTGAGCAGACATCGCAGCAAGTCGACGCTTTTTTCGCTGCGTTTCCTTCCAATCTCCGAAAGCTTTTCCGCCTTGCGATTTGCCAGAAAAGCGAGGCGTCGCTGCGTCTTTTCGCAGATTTGTTCACTCGCGTTCCCTTCGATTCGGCGCAGCTCGTTCTCGATTTCTTGCTGCTCCTTCAGCACTCGCTTGTAGCCCCCACGCGAAGCGCGAAGCCGTTTCCCGCGACTTTTGTGGTGCATCGAACCGTTTTCTATTGCATCCAGCGGATTTTGATTCTGCACGGGAAGCAATTGGCGTCGAGCGAATTGTTGGGATTCACATTCCGACATGCGTTTGTGGCTTTGCGAGAGTATACAGAAAAAACGGAGAAGGCGGTTCAGAATCCTCTAATTAGCGAGAAAACCGACGAGAAAATCAACGAAAAAGAGGAAGAACTCACAGCGACCCAATTAGCGCATGTGACTACGTCGGCTGCCCACGTGGCTGCGTTTTGCATTTGCTTGGAAATCCAGCATGTGAAACCTGTATTAAAAGAAAAGGTAGTAGATCTGAATGTACACAAAAGTGACTCCTTTTTGCCTGAACTTTGCTCTGTGCTGGGAAAATACTGTGATTATAGCGAGATTATTACAGAGAAGAAGGAGCGAAATCGGTATTACATTGCTTCGTTGTTGCAGTGTGTCACACTCGTACTGCAATCCATCGATGCTCAGTATTCCACCTATGTATTCAAAACGTTCTATCCACACTTGATCCTCATCCTCTCTTATGAAAAGGATAATCTGCTCGTGTCTCTTTCGCTGACTGTGCGGCTTTCTCTCTCCTGTGTTATGCTTAGGCGGTTGCAAGCTTTTTCTCCGTGTCAGACTGTGGAGAAGACCTTATTCCCGTGCTACTGCATTGCTGCATTCAAAGGTTTACAGAAGAAGCAGAGGTAGGAACGAAATCGCCAAGTCGATTGTAGCGCTGCGATATCTGCATTCAGATCATTGTCCGCATCCTTTCAAAGCATGAAAACGCGTTATTACTAATAAAACGAGGCGATCTAGAGTACTTGAGACAAGCGTTGAGGCGTGCGGTGCAGGTCTATTCCGATAATCCCCAAAAGCAAATTGCAGCGCAATTCCTAATTCAACAATTAAATATTTGTTGTGTTTGATGAATAATGGTGTGAAATCGATCGACGAAATTATATAGGAATGAAATACAGAGAAACCGGTGGCGCTTATTGCAGTTTTGGTTTCTCAGAGTATTAGTTGATATACCAAATCATTAATATCGCAATGAAGTTCAGGTAAGTTTATGTGCATTGATAGGAGAGAGAATTTGGCAAGTTGCAAAATGGTGGCTCTGGAGAATGCCAAGTGCTCTGTCTCATTTATAAATTCAGCTGAGTGTGAAATAAGGAGTGTACCGTTTCTAACCGTTCGATAGTCCTTCTGTTTCCTCTTCTCGTCGCACGACCCGTAAGGCTCACTTCACGGCTCCCTCTCACATCCGCCGTGTGATGATGTCCTCTCCTCTGTCTGAAGCCCTCAAGAACAAGTACAACGTAGCCTTTTTCGATGTTGGTGATGTGGCAGGTCAACGCTATGCCCATTGTGAAGGGAGATAAGGTGAAGATCCTCCGTGGTTCCTACAAGGGTAAGGAGGGAAAGGTCACCGAGGTCTACAGAAAGAAGTGGGTGATCCACGTCGAGGGAATCAACCGCGACAAGGTCAACGGATCCAGCGCGAAGGTGGGCATTGATGCTTCCAAGGTGGAGATCATCGAGCTCAAGCTGAGCAAGGACCGCAAGGCTATTCTGGATCGCAAGAGCCGTGCTGCTGGAGAGAAGTACACTGAAAAGGAGGTTGCTAATCTTGATTAAGTGTCTGAACTCTCTTGAGGTGGTATATTACTCTTGTTGTGTTTGTTAAAAGAAATGGTAGGGGATTAAACTGAGAGCAGGTGTGACTCATAAAATGTCTGTTTGTTACTTTTTGGGAGATGATTTCATTTATGGAGTGAGGTACAACAGTGATATCACCACTGATATTCGTTTTTCGGTCGGACCTCGTTACTACTCAGGTTGTACCGTCAGTTTTGTTGGCGATGCGGTTAGCTTAGTTTCTCCCCACAGATCACCATCCACATTACGCAAGAGCGTATTAAGCGGATCGATGTTCCTGTTAGAAAACGATGGAAAATCGAGTATGTTTGCGCGACTCCGTGATACGCTCTTTTATGATGTTGTAGCTGAGGGAAATGGAAAGTTTGTATATAAGGCAAAAGATACGAAGTTCACTCCAGAGCAAGTATTCAGGGTGATTATTGGAGAAATATCGAAAGCAATCACTGGAAACATCAGACTCTACAATGCCTTCTTTATCATTCCCGATTACTACGACCAGGGGAAACGATGTGCTGTTTCTGAGTGTTTGACGTCTTCATTCCGCAACTCCAAAATCCACTTGGTAAACTACTCCACAGCAGTCGGCATGCGTCTCTACGAAGATACAAAATATGATTTCTACTGCCTGAACATCCGCTTTGACTCGGGTCCGTTCGGGGTCTCGATTCTAAAAGTGACTGGAGACGGTGCAGTTCCATTAGCCTCTCTCTCGAACGACAACGTGACAGGAAGCGATCTAATCACCGAAATTCAAAACATTTTGGAGCGCGATGCTCTGAAAATGAAGCTAAAGACGGAGTACCAGGCGGAGCCCACTCCCGAGAAGCAGGCTTATGGCCGCGCTGCCTATTGGCGTTTGCTGCGAAACTTCGCGTACGACACCAACATCGAAGTGGATCTGGACCTGGACGACAAGGTCTCGATCAATCCAGACTCCCAAACGATCGTCGAGGCGTTCAACCAGCTGGCCGGGGAGATGAAACTGACGATCGCGAACTGCTGCATTTTGGCGGGCGTGGAGCTGGCGAAGATTTCGGAGGCGGTGGTCACGGGGCCGTTCAACGATTCGATCTCGTTCGAGCCGTTGCTGAAGGAGATGGGCTACACGGAGCGCATCGCGGTGATGCGAGAGAGCGATCTGTGCAAGAAGGTGGTGATGCGCGGACGATGCATTCAGGTGTTGCAGAGCACGTTCAGTGTGAGTCTGAACAAGAAGTCGATGCTGATAATGGATCGGTTTACGCCGTATCCCGTGAAAAAACGAAGTCAGCTGATCGTGGATGTGGAGAAGCCCGAGATGGCGTACACGCTGCTGGTGTACCAGAATCGGATCGGAGATCGGAATAACAGGCTGATTCGGACCTGCACGCTGAATAACGTCGCGGTGTATCAGGGGAAGATTTCATTGAGCATCTTGCTGGAGGTGGATGATAGCGGGATTGCGACTCTGACGGTGGTGGAGATGAGTGAGAATGTAACGCTGGTGAATGCATTACGTTTGTAAGATGCGTGGGGTGTTTGTTTTATACTTCTTTTCACAGAGCGGACTAGAACTTTCTTGCTCGAGATCATGGTGTTTTATGCCAATGGGTAGGAACAGCGGGTTGCCTGGACGCTAGACCAGTGAATACAGAAGTTGATGGAGACCGTTTGATTATTCAGCCTCTAGGCGCTGGAAGAGAGGTTGGACGGTCTTGCATTTATATGAGTTACAAAGGAAAGGTTATATTATTTGATTGCGGAGTGCTTCCAGAGTTTGGATGGTTGGTTATATCTGATGGAATAGTGGAGTCGGAAAGGGCACATTGCCGTATTTAGATGCCATTAACGACGATTACGTCGACCTAGTTTTGATATCCCACTTTCACCTCGATCACTGCGGAGCTCTGCCCGTACTTCCTCGTATGAATATGAAGATTTTGCGTTATTCCGTTAGAGCGTCGCTTCTTTGATACAGGCGAGACGGGCCAGCGCCGAACGCGTATATTCATGACGCCCCCCACCAAAGAAATCATGGAGAGCATTCTCCGCGACTACTTGGCCATCACCGCCACGGAAGATGAAGAAGACAGCATCTACTCGGTGAGCCAGCTGGAGAAGTGCATCAAGATGATGGAAACGATCAATTTCCACGAGGACCGCTGGCACAACGGCATCAAGGTGAAATGCTTCCAGGCGGGCCACGTGCTCGGCGCCGCCATGTTCTGCGTGGAGATCGACCGCATCCGTGTGCTGTAGCCGCTGTTCCCGCTTGATTCCGAGGTATACCGGGGACTTCTCGCGCGAAGAAGATCGCCACCTTCCCGCCGCGGAAATCCCGCCGCTCCGCCTGAACGTCGTCATCTGCGAGAGCACCTACGGCCGAATCTCGCACGAAAGCCGGCGCGAGCGCGAAGACCGGCTCACGAGTGATGATGCTCATGCGCGGCTGATGTGCAGAGGAGGTGGTGGACACGCTGCGAAAGCGCGGCAAAGTGCTGATCCCGGTGTTTGCGCTGGGCAGGACGCAGGAGCTGCTGCTGCTGCTGAACGAATACTGGGAAAAACACCCGGAAATCAGCCGGCACGGGAACATTGTTTATCTGAACCCGCTGGCGAAGAAGAGCATGATGTTGTTCCAGGCACACAAACACACAATCCTCTCACGTCTAGAAGTCCATTAACATGATGAACGAGTCCATCCGCATGCAGGAAAACCCGTTCGATCTCCCCAACGTCGACATCCCCGACCCCATCGACTCCGTTTCCCCTTTTTTTTCCCCTCACCGGCAGTTTCTCCGCGACTTCAACAAGCTCCCGCCCTGCGTCATCCTCTGCTCTCCCGCCATGATGGAGAACGGCACTTCGCGCGACGTTCTGGAGCGCATGGCCAGCGGCGAGAACAATCTCGTCATTCTCACCGGCTACTGCATGGCGGTATTCCCGCGGTTCCTGTGCGATGTAGCGGACGATCGCGCGCCGGCTGCAAGACAACGACCGGATCATCCCGCTGAGCGGGAAGCAGATGGAGACGATCGACGTGAAGTGCAAAGTGGTGACGATTAGCTTCTCGGCGCACTCGGATTTCCCCGGAACGAGTTCGTTCATTCAAGCGACAAAACCCGAACGCGTGGTGCTGGGTGGAGCAGCGGCGAGAGCGTGAGGCGTAGTGCACGGAGAGGTGTCGAGGATGAACGATCTGGTGAGCGGGCTGAAGGAGAAGCTGGAGGATTTGGTGAATCGCGATTTGATCAGCGTAGTGATCGGGGTTTGATCGAAATCGGTAGTTTTACACGCCCGAAAACCAGAAAAGACTGCTGTTCAGCTACCATTCCCCCAAAATCGTGAGCGTCCTGGGCAAGGCCGCCGAGCAGAACTGGCGGGAGAGCGGGAGAGTGCGCGGAGTGCTCGTGAAGAAGGATTTGAAGTATCAAATAATCGCGGAAGACGACATCGATAAGTTCACGCAGCTAAAACTCTGCAGAATTCTCTATCGGCAGCACTTTAAGACGCGGCTGGACTTCAACGCGATTCTGGCCGTGGCGACGATGATCACCAACCAGGTGCAATTCGACGCCGCAGCGAAGACGGTGCAGATTGATGATGCGATTTCCGTCCGACTTCACGCGCAGCAAAACCACATATTCGAGTACATCATCGAGTGGAGAAGCAGCTACGAGACGGATCTCAAAGCGAACGCGCTGCTGATGCTCGTTTTGCAGCAAGATTCGAACGTCTTGTCCCCGCTTGTACGCCTGTTGCTCGCGATCCAGTGTAGAACGCGCAGATACTGTGTCCTCCGCAGAAAGAAGGAGACGCGCTGAAGCTGCCGGACTGCGTTTCGGTCCTCGACGTCACGCAGAATGAGAAGATGCAGATGATGCGCGAAGTGCTCGAGGAGCAGTTCGGAAAGGTTCAGAGCGATGGAAACACGCCGATCTGGAGAGTGGTGCTCCCGACGGACGTGCAATTTGAAGTGGATATCAACACGTGGGAAGTTCGCTGCCAGGACGAGGTGCTCGCTGCGGCCGTTGCAGAAACCATCGAAATGGTGAATCAAATCGTGTTTCCTGTTTGTTTGAAATTCCAAAAGTCGAGACGTTTTCTGCACCTAACGCATTTATTGCTTTTAGCGGAACGGAAGATCGAATGGAACCTGTAGCGAGCCCATCGGCGATCCAGACAAGCGAGGCAGAGGCCAAGAAAGAAAAGGGCGTGAGCAAGGCGACCGCGCAGAAGCTACTCGCGAAATATAAACAGCTTCAAGTAGGGAACAGAACTTTCATTTTTTGTAGAGTGAATATGAATCTTTGAAAAAGACACACGCTGATGTGCTTGCAGAGTTGGAATCGGTTCGTGCATCGAGTACAGCGCAAGAATCGCATCACGAAGCGCTCCGTGAGATGGATACCCAACTCACTGAGAGTCGAGCGAAACTCGCTGAGACGCAAGAGCAACTCGCTGAAAGCGAAGCGCTCGTAGCTGATTTGAAGAAGTCGTTAGAGCAAACAAACCAAGAAAAGGAGGAAATCGCAAAGCAGCTGAAGGCGCGCACAGAGGAACTCGCTTCGTTCAAATCCTCGTCCTCCCTCAAAACGTCCGATGCAAAGCAGCAGGCGCGGTATACCCAGCGCATTAGTGATCTGGAGCAGGAAGTGGAAAAGGCGAAGAAACACGCAGCAGAAGTGTTAGAAGAAGGAAAAGCCTTGGCAAAGAAGCAATTAGAGATTGAGACAAAAGATCGCGCTTTAAAAGCCAAACTGCGCGAACGGAACGAGGAATTGTCCAACACAAAAAGCCAGCTAGCAGATACCTCCTTCCGACTCGAAAAGACGACCGAGACCGTAATGCGTCTTCAGCAGGAGCTCCAAAGCGCTACCTCTTCCCAGAGCACCAATTCGAAGCGTTTGGAGGAACTAGAGAAAGAACACGCCAATCTTCTGCAATTGCATGATGAGCGGGAAAAGCTCTACGCGGCCCAAAAAACCGAGTTCGAAACGCTCGCCGCGTCTTTCGAGACCTTAACGTCCGATCACGAATCCATGAAGATGGAGCTGTCCCGCCTCCAAACCGAGCAGGAAGCCTCTGCAGACCACGTTAAGCAGATGGAGGAGCTCGTTTCCCAGAGCACGGAGGCCTTCAACCAGCTGCAGGCCGAGTCCAACTCCCGCGAGCGCGCCTTGGAAGTTTCGCTGCAGCGCTGCGAAGAAGCGCGCCGCAGCCTCGCCGAGCAGCAGAACCGCGCCGAGCAGGCGGCGTCCGAGCACGCGATGGCGCTGGCGCGCGAATTGGACGGGGAACGCCGGAAACGCTCGGAATTGCTGAAGCGAATCAGCGAATTGAAGGGCGAATTGAAGGCGGTGAAGGCGGCGAACGCGTCGATTGCGACGTCGCAGGCGCAGAGCGAGTCGCAGACGGAGCAGCGGTTGAAGGAGGCGGAGGCGAGGATGGCCGCGGGGGAGGCGGAGAGGGCGGAGCTCCGCGGGGAACTGGAGAAAATGAGGGGAGAGCTGGAGGAGGCGAGGGCGGAGAGAGCGAAAGCGGAGGTGGAAAAGGAGAAAATCGAGAAGATGGCGGAGGAGGAGAGAGAGAGAATGAAGAGAGAGGCGGCAAGGGAGGCGGAGGCGGCGAGGCGAAGAGAATTGGCGCAGGGAAACGAGGTGCAGCTGGCGCAAGCGCAGTTTGAATTGGTGAATAATCGATATGAGGAAACGCTGCGATTGGTTTCGTTGCTGAAGAAACAATTGCAGGAACAAATACAATTGCAAATGCCAATGTCAATGCAATCGAAATCATCATCATCATCATCATCATCCATAACGAAATCGAATTTGAACTTGGACTTGAAATCTTCACAATCATCATTGAATTCATCTCAATCCGAAAGTCGAGCGAACGATTCGGAAGAGTCGGCGAACGCTCAGAACGCTCAGAACGCTCAGAACGCTCAGAACGCTCAGAACGCTCAGAACGCTCAAAATGCGGAGAATCCGAGCGAAAAGGAGCGGAGTTGGGAGGAGACGCAGGGCGGAGAGACGGAGCCCACGCACGATTTTGAGAGCGATAATCGCATCGAAGAAATCGTGTTTCCGATTCCGGCAATCCATGCCGATCTTTCGAGAATCCGCGAATTGGAGCAGCAGATTCGAGCGAAGGACGGCAAGATCGCCGCGTTGGAGAGCTCGCTGGAACGCGTGAAGCGCGACGCAGAAAGCGGGGCGAACGAGCTGATGGACTTGAAGATGAAATTGGACGAAATGGAGAAGAGAGAGGAGCAAACGAGGCGCTTGGCGAACGACCTGCGCGAATTGCAATTGAAATACAACGAGATGGTGGACGAATACAATGCGGTCGTGGAGGAAGTGCGAAACACGAGGGACGATCGAGTAGGTGCGAGGCATCGCTGTGAGTGATAGGATCTGTATAAACAGCAGCTCAAGCAGGTGCTGGACATTCTGCAGGGGGAGAAGGCGTAAGCAAACTGTACTTTTACGATGTGATGTGATGCGTTGTGTAATTAATTTGATGTCTCGCTTGTTTGAACCAAACACGCGCTAAAAGAGAATGTTTACACCGATATAGAGCAGAACCGCCAGCGAAACCACGATGATCAGAATGGATTCGATCGACACCTCGCTGGAATAGCGAACCGTGTGGCGCAGCTCGCTGCACTGCGCGATTGACAGATACTGGTTCATCAGCTCCTTCGAAAAACGCTGGAACTCCCTCACATCCTCCAACTGCCGCTTCAACTGCAGCTGGCTGGACAGACTGTCCTGCCGAAGCGTCTGGAAGTCGATGTCCGAGAAGGAATCGATGTAGTAGCTGAACTGATTGCAGAGATTCACGATGTCGATGAACAGTTTCTGGAACTGCTCCGATTGCCCCAGGAAATTCGTTTTGTAGTACCAAAGCAGATATTCCCGCGTGATCACCGTCTGGTTGTTGATCACCGGATTCCCGCTACGCCTCAGTCCCCGCCCTCACTCGCACATGATCGAAAACAAGTCTTCATTGATTCGCTGATAGCTCAACTCAATCTCGTTGATGATTTCGTCGGTCAGCAAAACCATTCGATTTCGCTCGTACGCCTCCAAAAACACTTTGCTCACCGAAATCGCGTTGATTCGCTGGAAGGGATGATGCCCCAGTACCGGCATAAACACGTTCTGCTGGGTCGACGACACCAGCGAGAAGTCCTCCATTCCCACCAGGCCCTCGAAGAGAGCGCTGATCAAATAATTGGCGGTGTTGTTTCCAAAAGAAGGCGTGTTTTTGTAGTTCGGATCCATCGCGAAATCCCGCGTAAACGGAGCGTCGGAGCGGAGAACGATCGAGTTCTCCGGCGTGCAATAATACAATTTGCGTCCTTCGAAGACCAAATCGGGGTAATTCGCGTCGAGAACGAAAAACGGGTACATCGACGCCGCTAGAATCGACGTGTGGAATTCCAAAAATACGGGTGTTTTCTTTGATTGTGTGTCGCTTAAACAGCCAACTTCGACTTCGCAGAGCGAGTTGGAGAATGAGAGAAAGCTGATCGCCGTCCTACACAACACGACTCGCTCAGAAAGAGAAAACGATGCGTCGATATCGCTTGTACGTAACCGAATTGTTTGAGTTTAAAAGGGTGATCGAATCGATGAACGACGCCTGGATTGAGTTCAGCAGCGAAATATTGTTCCGGAGATACACGATCTCCGTCACTAAATGCGCTCTCCGCATTCGCAAGTGCGTCTTAAAGATCTGCCGAATCTTCATCTTGGTCTCCTCGATCTCCTGCTGCAGCTGCGAGACGCGCACGGAGTACGGATCGGCGTCCGTGAACACGACAATCGGAATCAAAAGCTGGTTTTGCAGGTCGAAGTGCGTCACATTCACGATGTTTGTGAACAAAACGTTCTCTAACACCTGGGACACGCGCAGAGCCACCGAATCCATCTTTACTGTGTGATCTAGAATCGATCCCCGCGGTTATTCGAACCGTATGCGAGCTCGTAAGGAATCAAATTGTGGATGTTGGAGTCGTCTAAATCGGTCGAAATAACCACGGGACCCGCGTTCACATCGATGAAAAGAAACCTCCGGTCGCTGAGGTAGGACTGGTAGGAAGGGAGGGAAAAGAAATACTGTTCCGATGAGATTTTCGTTGTTGAAGTAAAAGTAGTAACGGTAGTAATAGGACTCGGCGTTCAGATCGCAGGGAGGAAGCATAAGCGTTTTGGGAGGGCTGATGAAGATAATCTACGTGAAATAGATCGAGAGAAAAATCGATTTGAATACAGTAGGAGGAAAGTTGGGATCGGAGGAGTAGGTAGACGTGAGACGTTCGACCACTATTTGTGACTGACTCCGTTCGAATGATGATTACCGTAGTCGTACATTTGGTTAATGATATCCTTCAGTTGGGGGTGAGATAGATTAATCAAGTAGTTTGAGTATGCCTTTGGAACAATATATACATTTTCACTTTGGCTATTGTATTGGGATACTATACATCAATCTTTAGACAAACCAAAACTCATGATGTTTTTCATTATTTCCACATAGCGATTTAAAAAGCGCTCGGGTAGTCGTATGATCTATGATCCTAACATTGGGAGATCACACGTACTTTGTAATCAAAACTATACATCACATGCGAATCCTTGTAATGATCTCGATTTCGTATCTTGGGTATTACGGACGAGACATACTTTGATAACAACGTCTGTAGATCTCGTTCTGTAAATACTTTCTCAAAACCAAGAATAGCAATGTTAATAGGATATGTAAACTTCAGACGACTCTATTCAATCACCAAAATCCAAAACGTAGCACTTCAAAGAAATGCGTATAGTCTTGCTGGGAATAGACTCCTTGCAAATCCTTTTCTGGGTCATACGCAAGGACAAGTGAGCAAAACAGGAGAATTCCCCACAGCATTCCAATCTTTGAAACAAACACCCCACTAAATAACCCAATTAATCTTCCGGCTTCTTTCCTCTGCTAATCAGCCACTCGTTGTTCTTCTTCTTATCGATATACTTTCTTTCCGGCACGTAATTACTGGCAATTCGAATGTCAAGAATCGGTTTGTCCTTCAGATAATACAGCTTCGCCTTGTGCGTTCGCTTCTTCGCCTTGTTCAAATACGACTCCTGGATTAGCTAGTTCATTAGTCCAAGCAAATAGAGGAAACCTTCACGGACTTGATGTCGGGCTGGTACGTCGAGTACAAAATCGTAACAGCCTCTCCTGCGATATTCTGTGGTTAACAAACGAAGATAGAATCTACGCAACGAATCGTGAATGTAGAGTTGTAGTAATCGTTGTGCTTTGCCACGCAGATTCCTCTAAATACCTCTTCCGTTTTGCTTCCATTTCGCTTCTTCATCTACCCATCACAGCGCTCCCTTTGAACCAACAGTCACCTCAATCGCATCACCCGGTTTAAAACTATCAAAATCCATATTCTTTCGCGCGCTCTCCGCAGCCTCAATCGACAGCTGCCGAATCAGCGAATTTGCCCTATTCCTTAGCGAAAACACCAGCCTACTACCTCTTGTGCGGCTCTTTCAGTTTAATGTGATTTGGATTTGGTTTGATATTGAAAGGGAGAGAGCAAACGTTATATGGAGGCCATTTCTCCGAAATAGTTTCGGGAGCTCCGGGTGCACTTGCAAAACACGCTGCAAATGCTCGAGGAATGGTTCTCGAAATACCCCGTATTAATTGATTCGAATACACCCCCAGCATTTCGATTTTTCTCAACAGGAAGTGGTGATTTCGGACTTCGTAATCATAAAACCACTGTGCGCATGTCTTCTCTTGTACTATTGACCTATTTTCTTTTCTTTTCATTTTTGAACAAAAAAGATGTCGCAACCGAATGTATTTTTCCTATTGATCCATGAGTGACTAGTCACTGAACTCTTCGAGGAGCGATTTGAAAGTGATTCTGCTGCTACTCATTTTATATATATTACAAGTAACGACATCTCCCTTTTCTAACAATAGGGAATTCCACTTGGTTTGGCATCAACCATTTCGATTCTTCTTCAACAACAACATGTTTCATATAAAGACCAAGCCATGTTTATGCTGTGTAGTCAGCCGTACTCACTCAAAATGCTGTGGGCTCCCATAGTCGACGCTTTGTGAGTGTTTTCTGGGTTTCAGTCATTTCTAGCTATTCAGAAAAGATAGGGAGGCGTAAGACATGGATCGTGCCTCTTCAGTGGCTAATTGGTCTTATGTTAGTTTGCTTTTCTGGGGTAATCGAGACTTCGTTGTATTCTGAAAGTCCGAACATTGTTTTCCTGACCATCTGCTTTACAGTTTTCTATTTTTTGGCAGCCACCCAAGACATCGCTGTGGATGCTTGGGCTCTCAGTCTCCTCTCCGAAAAGAACAAGAGATGGGCGAGTACCTGCAATGTAATTGGTCAGACACTGGGAATCCACTTTGCGTATCGATTTCTTCGTTCACCCCATTCACACTCAGCAATTCCGTGTTTTTAGCACTGAACAATCCTTCTTTTCTCTCCCATTTCCGCAGCGCTGGCGCCAGCAACGAGCCCCTCATGACGCTCCACAGCTTCTCCATCCTTTGGGGCCTCATCTTCATCGTCTTCACCACCTTTTTGTTCTTTTTTGTCCCCGAAGAACTCCCAAAACCCGACCAATCTTCCGTTTCCGAGCCTTCCAAGCCGCCATCAGAGACAGAAAGCGACGACTCCAAGCCTCTTTTGGTGCGTCGCCACTCTCCGCGCGTCGACACACCGAAACCGCAGCCACCAAACCCCGATCAAGGCTACTCGGTGCTCTCCATCTACCGCTTATACTACGAAATCATCAAAAACCCCTACGTTTCGATGTAAAAACCCGATCACTCCCAGTTCCTCCGCGTGGCTTTGATCACCCTCACCAACCGGATCGGCGTCTTCCCCGCGGAAGCCGCCTCGTCGCTGAAACTGATCGAGAAGGGGATGCAGCGCGTGTGGCTGACGTCTCTGCGGCTGTTTTATTTCCCGATCGAAATGCTGATCACCATTCTGATGACTCGCGTTCTCTCCACGCACAACCCTCTCACGCTCATGCAGCGTTGTTACCTCGCGCGAATCACCATGGCGCTTCTCCTCACCTGCTTTATCCACTTTCTACCCGGTCACCGCGGTTTTAGACGCATGATGTGTAGATGCCGACATTGAAGCTATGGAGGCCAAGTATTACCCGATTGCCGCGGTTCTGGTTGTGTTGTCGGGGATGGCGGGGCAGTGCATGAATGTTTCCGCGGTTTTGGGTGAGATGGAAGTTTCATGTAGATGACGTTCTTTGTACACATATCCGATCCGCGGTTTGGAGGGACCTATATGTCCCTATTTAATACGCTTTCGAATATGGGGCATAATATGTATGTGTCCCCTTTTTTGTCGATGATCGATATGACATCGAAGAAGGAATGCGTGCTGTATGGGAGGAGAGAAGTGGATTCCGCATAGAGATGGAGCGGTCGTGATGGATAGCTGCGTTTCGAAGGAGAGCTTCGGGAAATGCTCTCGATTGGGAGGAAGGTGCGAGACGAAGCAGGACGGGTAGAAAATTGAATTGGTGTTGAATGCAGGTTTTATTTGTTGGCATGGCCGAGTTTTATCTATGGATTAATGTGGTCATTAGTCATGTCCAAGCAGTTTGATGTGCTTCGTGTAGAATCTGCTTTGGTAGACTGGCTGACGTGTAGGGTGTGAGTACGGAAAAGTGGAAAGTGTGCTAACGTGTTTGTTTGAAAACAGTTTTAGATCTTGATCGCGTCCCACGGATCGACTGGTTTCGCAGTGGGGAAGTCGTATTCACCGAACACGTCGTTATTGACGGGTGTATTGGATGTATTCTACCTCAAAAACATGGAAAAATGCAAACAGAAGCGGGGCTAAAGAAGTCAATCTCGGGCTGCTGTGGCTCAACGAACTCGGGCGTGGATGACGGCATCTCCTACATTCAACCGTAGCTAGGGAGAATACAATATTATGCAAAAAATCCTCTTCGAGCTCTTTTTTCGGTTCTTGCTTTGCAGGCTTTGTTGGCTTCGGACGACTTGCGGGCTTCTTTACGGATGGCTTACTCTTCTTTGGAGCGGCAGAAGCAGGCAAACGAGTAGCCTTCACAAAGATCAAACCGTCAAATTTGGGAACAACTTCGGAATCTTCTGTTACATCGAACCAAACTACGAATTACATGCGAAGGAGGGAGAATACTCCAAGAATTCTTGAATGTGCGCTTGAAACGGAAATAATACGTTCCAGGGATAGGAAACGCCTAAACCTTACTTTAATACTTAACGGAACGAACTTCTCTGATATCCTTCAATGTGACTTGAGACGCATTTTTATCAAGCGTCATCACATTAGGGTGATCTGCTTCGTCTCCATCCTCAGGAATGTAGTAAAGAACACTGGTCTTCTTCGACATTTTAAACAAATATGAATCTGGGAGTGTGAACGGATTGCAAGATTGGATATGACAAGAAGAGACGAAACGAAATTGGATAGTTGTTCATAATGTGTTTAGCGTATGGAAGCTGCTACGGGAGCATCACGAAGTGAACTTCTAGAATGGATTAACAGTACTCTTCATCTTAATCTTCACAAGATTGAAGAAACTGCGTCTGGTAGAGTATCTTTTCGTTATTTTCAAAGTGTAGGCGCTGTGGCTTGCCAGATCATCAATTTAATTTTCCCAGGTAAGGAAGAAGGGAAGATGACAAGATAGACACCGTTCCTATACAACGAGTCAATACTGCAGCAAAGGATCCTTATGAATATTCGAAGAATTATAAGATTCTTCAAGCTGCCTTCGTTAAGAACAAAATTGAAAAAGTATTGGTATTTCGTTACATCCAAACTAGAATATCGATGTTGAAAAGCTAATGAAGGGACGTCCTCAGGATAATCTGGAGTTCATGCAATGGTTGAAGCGTTTCTACGATTTACACCAAAATGGCATGGAAAAGAGGAGTTCATCCCATCGCTCCTATCATTCGGTTGCGTCCAGCAGCCCTTCTTCTCAGGGCGAGGCGATGAACTCTCCATCATGTTCCTTGTTTGTTTGATGCTTAAGAATTAGCGAAGAAACTCAAAGTGATGCCTGCAAAGCGTGCAGTTGATTTTGAGTCTGAAATCGGTGATAGAAGGATTATCGTTTGATTGTGTAGCCGAATTGAAGAAGCAAATCGAAGAAAAAGACGCGACGATTCACAAATTGATTTTAGAAGTATTTTCAATTGCGTTGATTGCGACGGTAGATGAAGAATTTGGAGGGGGAGCGAGACTATTACAATGAGAAGCTGGTGGAAATCGACGAGCTTTTGCTTGTAGGAATGGGAGTTTGGTGTGATGAAATAGCGCGAGGAAAAAACCGAATTCTCAGAGAAAATCCACCGAATTCTTTACTCCGAAATGAATGAGCAGCAAGATGAGCAGCAAAACGATCGACAAGTTGAGCAGCAACACGATCGACAAGTTGAGCAGCAAAACGATCAACAAGATGAGCAGCAAAACGATCAACAAGATGAACAGAAGCTATCTTCTGAAAACAATTCGCAATGATTTTTAGCCTTTTCTCAGTTTGTTGCTTTCATACTCAAACAAACAATCCAAAACTTTCCCAAATGACTCTGCATGTCCACGATTTTATCACGATACTGATCTATATTGGCAAACGTTAGCTTCTCGAGTTGTCTTCGATTCAACTTCTACTCTTCACATCCCTTTCTCTATCCCACCTTCTTCGTAAACGGACATGTATTCTTCGGCTCTCGATTCAGCACCTTCATCCACGTATCGTAACCCAAAACATGTCCATACGGAGAAATCGCAGGCTTTACGACCTCCTCCATCGTCAGGACATCGATAAATCCCTGAAAATCAAACACCCCACAAACAAAAACAGGCAAACAATTCTTCTCTTCTAATTGCGAATAATCAAACGAATCCACATCCAAATCATCCAAGTCACGGAATTCTTTTGACTTCTTCGACGTCTTGCGCTTCTTCGTTGACACCGAATTCGATCGCGTTTTAAACTTAAACGCCAATCGATTGTTCTGATCCACATAATAATTGTCATCGATGATCACGCCTTCGCGGATCAGTTGGCGGTAATAATTGCTGCACTGATATCCCACGCGTCCAGGGATCTTTCGAGAAAACAATCCCCACTACTCGGAACGAAACAAACACAAATCCCACCGAATAATTCACTCCGCCATCGATCAACTGCTTCAAAAACAAAAACCGATCCTGCGCCGACCATTTCCCGGTCATTTGCTTCTCTCCAGGATCGTTAAACCGGTAATAATACTGGTTTGGCTTCTGATATCTGTTTTTGTAACTGAGTGTCATTGAAACAAACAAACAAAACGCTTTGATTCGGGCGTTGCTCCAGCCCAAATCCACCAGCTGCTTCGTCGTCACGTTCGACCGATAGGAGTAATGCGTGGGTTTTGACAGCTCGAAATCTGTGGAATCAAAAAGTATTCGCACTGCAAAGTACCGTCGGGAGTGGAAGCGACTGTATCGATTACAAACTCATCATCATCGTTTTTGTGGCTTCTGCGCGATTTCGCGTGGCCTCGCGTTGAAACTTTCTTCGCAAGCTGCATTTTAAATAGAGAAAGGACCACAAACATGAGATAATGAGTCATCCAAACCGACACGCGGAGCTTTTCGCCTTGGATGTCTACAAATCGCAAAGATATTGGAATTTCACTTTCGAGAAGTCTCAGGAAAATCATCGATCTCACTAGAATCATCACTGGCGTATCTACGCTTCCTTCCCCTGCTGGGAGTATCGCACCAGTCTTCGTTTTCATCCCCGCTCGACGTGGAACTCTCCACAACCGGCTTTTTGATCTTTTTGGGGTCCACGTATTGAATCGCTTCTTTATCGACTGGAATTTTCCCTGTGCTCATGTCGATAATGCGATTCAAAAAGCCCCCTTCGTCGCGGAACCTTCTAAACAACAACAACTAGGCGATACTGCGAAATTCAAATCGATCTTACCTCGTTGTTGTTGCAAGACTCCAAAGCAAGCTCGATTCCCATATCGTTCAGTTGAGGATACATTCTGCGTACATCTTCAATCTAGATCTTTCAACCACATTATGAAACGATCTACTTTCTGGACCTTTTGGTTTTTATTAAAAACTTTAAACTGTTCTTGAGCAACTTGCATCTTGCTCTTTATAAGCGCCTAGGGAATAAGCGCCCCACCCTCACAACAAAAAGTACAATAGTTTCCGGAGCCAGTCCATCGAACAAATCCTGACTCTCCGACTCGCTCTCGACCGAGCTGTCGGACGTCGATGCTTCGTTTTCCTCCATGAGTCCAAACCCTGGCTTCTCCTCGCTTTTCAAACAAACACTGTAACCAAACTATCTAAGCCTTCCGACTCTATGAGTACAACGCCAAATTCGGATAACCCTCCTTCAGCAAGAGCCAGCAGCGATTCGCTCCCCTGATGAAATCATCGACAGCGACCGTCGTGGTTCCCACACGCACCACAAATCCATTTTCGTTTCTCCCGACCACTTCGCCGGCCACAATGCGCCGTTCTTCGCCCTCCCCGTCCTCCTGCACCGGCATATCGCCGCCCGCCAGTCTCGACAGCGGCACCTCCACCTTCACGAACTTCCCCAGCCACCAATCGTGCGGCGCCGCCGCGCATTGCTCGCGCAGCCGCGCCACCTGCTCCACCGACAGACCGCCTTCTCCGCTGCCCGCAGGCTCGGCACTGCTCGTATTGTCGGCATTGCCGGGGTTCTCAGGGTTCTCAGGGTTCTCAGGGGTCTCAGAGGTTGCAGAATTGCCGGGCTCGCTGGGAGGGAGGGAGGGGCGCGCGGCGAGGGCTTGGAGCTCGGAGGAGGAGAGCGGATGGTCCGGAGCCGGCTGCAGCGCGAGGGACGTCGCCTGGATAGAAGGAAAAAAGAAGAAGAAATACCAGAGAGAGGTCGGAGGCGGGCAGAGCCGAGGCCGCCGCGAAGTTCTTCGGGGCCAGCACGGGCACTTCTTGCTCCACGGTGGGCACTGCCGAGTCCGCGGTGGGCACTGCCGAGTCGAGCGTGGGCATTGCCTGGACGGTGGGCACGGCCTGGGCGGCCGGGACGGTCTGGAGCGTGTGGCGCGGATCGACGACCGGCGAGTTCGATAGAAGCGGCGCGGGAGCTTCGGGCGCGGGAGCTTCGGGGGGCGCGGCGACGGGCACGGAGGGAGCGATGGCGCCGGGGAGGTTCTGAGGGTGAGAGAGAAGGGGGGAGGGAACGTAGTAGGCGAGGAGATGGGTGTCGAGCGCGCAGGAGAACCCGCAGCCGGAGCACTTGAAGACTTCGGGGATGGGCTTGGAGACGTCGATGGGCGTGCCCTTGCGGCAGACCGTGCAGAAGACGAAGTAGTCGCCGCTGGTGGGGCTGGGCTTGGTGGGCTTGTGCACGGGGACGGGCGTGGGGATGGGCGGATGCACGGGGACCTGGCAGGGGACGTAGCCGCTGCGCGGATGCGCGGGGTAGGAGCAGGCGGTCTTGGGCGCCGAGTAGGAGTAGGAGGGACAGACCATGGGGTAGGGCGAGTAGCCCACCTCGTTGAGATGCGGCCGCTTGTCCTTCATGTCCAGACAGGGCAGCTGCATCGAGTAGTCCGGAGGAAGCATGTAGGACCCAGCGGGACCGCCGCTTGGCGCGGGCGCGGGCGCGGGAGCGGGCGCGGAGGTGGGGGCCGGGGACGGCGAGGGCTCCTTCCGCTTGGCGATCTGGAGAAGCATGATCGCGATCTGCTCCATCGACTCGTCGCTGTACTCGCTCTTCACCGCGGGAGCGCTCTCCGACTTCACAACCGTGTCTTCCGATCCTGCGGGCGCCAGGGTGGCAGCAGGAGCAGCAGGAACGGGAGCAGTGGGAACGGCGGTGGAGGCGGGGGGAGGGAGAGGCGTCTGTGAAGAGGGCTGCGAGGGAGCGGGGATCGATGTGGAGGAGGACTGGGGAACCGATTGTGGAACCGATTGTGGAACCGATTGTGGAACCGATTGTGGAACCGATTGGGGAACCGATTGTGGAACCGATTGGGGAACCGATTGTGGAACCGATTGGGGAACCGATTGGGGAACCGTCTGAGTCATCGGCTGCGGAACCGTCTGAGTCATCGGCTGCGGGGCGGCCAGCTCGGTAGGCTGGGGCTGCGGGACTCCGAGCTGCACGGCTGGGGCTGCGGACTGCACCGGCTGCGCCATGGGCTGGGGAACCGCGGGATTGATCGGGGTGGCCGTCTGCGCCAAGTGGGCGGTCGCGAGTGACTGGCTGGATGAGGTCATCGACAGCGAAGACGAAGCCGCCACTTGCGTGGGCGATTCCGAAGTGGACGTGGAAGTCGTGGTAGACATGGGAGTGGCCGTCGTGGCAGGAACGGCGGGCTGGGAGATGGGTTGAGGAACGGCGGGCTGAGGAACGGCGGGCTGGGCCGCTGAGGGAGCGATGGAAGCGGGAATTGGGGCAGGACCGGCTGATGCAGGGTAGGGCATCACGGGCAGGCCCGGGGTAGAGGGAGTGGGAGCCGATGCAACGGCAGGCGCTGCCTCTTTCTTCTCCAGTATGGGAGGCACTTCGCGAGATGGAAGCAAATTGGAGGACGCAACGGAGGAAGGAGCACCAACAAACGACTGCATTTGCTTCTCAATTTGCTGGTGAGCATAATCCCCATTAGGGGGCAACATTTGAGACCGATCTGTGGGAGCGATGGGAACTCCTTGTTTTATCCCCATATACGGCGGGTACACGCCCATATTTGGGTACCCAGCAGAATTCATACTCATAAATTGAATCGGAACTCCATAGGCGTACAAATTTCTATCATACGGATTGGCGATCGTTCTCATTCCATCACCGCACGTATTTGGAACCATAGTATACGGCATTCTTGCATTTGGATTTATGGCAGGATTAAACAGATTTAAGAACCGAGGGTCATATTGCTGTCCTTGGATTCCCATATTCATGTTCATGACTGGAAATGGGTTTTGGAGTGTCTGCACACGGTTTGCATCAGGTCTGTAGACTTGTTCACCTCTCTCGATATTATTGTCCTGGACTTGATCATTTTGAGGCACTCCACTTCCATAATATTGCGTATACATTGGAAATGTGTTGAGGTTAATGCTCCATACAGCACAGGCACACTTCGTGAAACGCCTTGTTAACCAATCATTTTCACTCATCGTTTATCAATTGTTTACAAGGATGTTTCACGCCTATAGCTTTGTGGCGGTTGATATTACCGTAAATCCAGGAGTGGCGCCTTGCGTTGCTCGAATCAAAGTATCAAACAAACACTTGTTCCCAAATAAACTATTCCTTCGCTTCCGCTTCCTTTAACACGGGGAAGAAGATAACATCGCGAATACTTGACTGATTCGTCATCAACATCACCAAACGATCGACGCCCATTCCCCATCCCGCTGTTGGAGGCAGGCCATATTCCAGAGCCTATCCATCACGTTACAACAAATACGCAGCACATTCAAAAAGGTCAGATCGGCAGGCGGAATCTCTTTATCGCCGATCGCGCGCTGCTCTCCCTGCTTCGCAAAGCTCATTTCTTGTTTCTACACTCGATTGCTCCGGAAGAACAGTACCACTGGATCATTCTGCTCGGTGTAGGCATTTACGATCTCCACGCCGTTAACAAACAACTCAAACCGCTCCGACTTCCCAGTGGCTTCGTTCACCTTCGAAAGCGGAGACATCACTGCGGGATGATTCATGATGAAGGTCGGCTGCACGCACTGTGGTTCGATAAACCGCCCAATCAACGCATCCAACACGCGCGGAAGCGTAACCGGCGGATTTACCTTCACCTGCTGCTTCTCACAAATCGCCAATAATTCTGGAATACTATTCTCTAGAAATAGTCCCTATTTCTGGAATCTACCGCTATTCAGATCGGGCAGCGGCCCAAGAATTCGCTCCAGTTCTTCCTGGACATCAATTCTCCGATAGGGCGGAGCGAACGAGATTTGTGTTCCATCGACCATTAGCGAGTCGGCCTGATTCACCTCCACACACACGTCTACCGCTCACTCTCCGCGCACACTCCCACGATGCAGCAGTTTCTCGGTGAGTCGCATCCAGTCGGTGTAATCATGAAACGCCATGTACGCCTCGACGGATGTGAACTCGAAATTGTGTTTGCTGTCGAGTCCCTCATTGCGGAACACCTTCCCCATCTCGAACACGCGGTCCAGCCCGCCCACCACGAGTTCTTTCAGCGCCAATTCGGGACTGATGCGAAGCGCTAAATCGCGGTTTTGGCTCTGACTTCGCGTGACGAACGGCGTCGCCACCGCGCCGCCGGCCAGGCCGCTGAGGATGGACGTCTCGACGTCGAGGAAGCCTTCGGCGGTGAGGAAGGAGCGGATTAATTGGATGATCTGGAGAGAGAGAAAAAAGGGGAAACGGAGATACTTTAGACCGCGTGTAGAAGACTTGGCGCGTGTGCTGGCTGATGAGGAGGTCGAGGTAGCGCTGGGAGTGAGGGAGGCAAAAGAAAGAGCGGACTTTTCGGTATTTTACGTCGGGGTCTTTGAGCTCGTGCCACTCGCGAGGAACCGTCCAGAGACATGGCGCCAGCAGGGTGATCTGCTTGGGGAGAACGCTCAGCTCGCCCATGTCCGTGCGGCCTGGAATGCCGTGGATGCCGATGACGTCGCCGGTACGGAGGTTTTTGTGGATGTGCTTGAAGTGCTCTTTTTTCTATGGCTCATTTGCTGGAGAGAATGGCTACCTCCTCAGGAGTCGGGTCGTTCGTTTCGTATGTATTGAGAGAGGACATGACCTGGAGCATTGTTTCACCAGAACGGATGTCGTAAAAATACAGCTTCGATCCCGCACTCCGCTTGTTTATAATTCTTCCTTGAAATAAGGAGGGATGCAAAGAAAACACCTGCAACGTACACTTCGCTCGCCTCATCGCGTTCTCCGTTCTTTAAATAGTCCCACTTGCTTCGGAAATCAGAGAGAGAATGCGAAACATGGAAATGGGGATATCTACCTCTCAAACGTCCCTCTCGCCACTACGATGCCAATTCCCCCAATTTTTCGAGCCGTTCCTTGCCATTGACATTGTTCTCGACCACCTTGGAGAATCCTCGTGAAGCAACAGCAGCCATGGGCAAGAACGAACGAGACCGACTCGTCCATGCAAGAACTCGCAGCGCTCCTCGCAACGCCAACATGCCAACAAAACAGTGCTCCCGCCAACTCTACTTCTTCTTCTTGCAACAAACAAGACAAACAGACACCTCGTTTACAGATCATCATCATCATTGGGCAGAGGAGCATCTGGCGGCAGGTCATTAACCTGGCGGTATACAGCGGGGTCGAAGTGGACTTCTGGGGGCTTGATGGCGATCTGCTCAATGAACTGAAGGTTGGGATCCTTCGCGAGGGTGCGAGCCAGCCAGCGGAAAGGCTTCTCAAAGTTATAATTGCTCTTTGCAGAAATATCGAAATAAGGCATGTTCTTGCGCTGGTGATAGGTAATGTTCTTGGCCTTCACACGACGCTCCTTCATATCGCACTTGTTGCCCACAAGCACGATGGGGATCTTGCCGCACACGCGGTCCAAATCGCGGTGCCAGTTGGGGACCGACTCGTAGGAGGAACGAGAGGTCACATCGAACATCAAAATGGCGCAATCCGCACCCACGCTACACATGACGCAAAGACGCACACAACGTACTAGTAACCATCACGGAGTCCTCCGAACTTCTCCTGACCGGCGGTATCCCAGCAGTTGAAAGTAATAGGTCCACAGGAAGTATTAAATGTGAGGACATGGACTTCAGCACCACGGGTAGCTAACAAATTAAATGAACGATTTGCAGACCTACGCACATAAGTCTTCTCAAAGTTTCCAGTCTCGTGTCTTTTGATATAGGTAGTCTTACCCACACCTCCGTCACCAACCAGGACACATTTGAATTCTACTCCCTTGTTCATATTAAGCTACACCGGATGGATGAGAATCTTCCCTCTTCACAACTTTCATTATTTATATATCGCCCATAGCAATAAAGTCCGCATACTTACCTCGAGCAAAATATAAAAAATTGAGAAAAGATGATATAGTCTGGTTCACCACTAATTACTAGCTCCGCCAAATCTTGCCTAATCCCGCGGTTTTATCCATTTTCTACATAAACGTTTTATTGAACTTGTAGCCTTGGAAAACAGATATAGAACCTATTGGGAAGATCCAAACCATTTTGAGCAGATGGTTCCATTATTTCTCCACTTTTTCGCCTGGTGTATCTCTCGCATGTCTCTACGGCTTAATTTGCTGCTGCAACGCCTGATTTCTTGGCTGTAAACTGGGATAAACAGTGGTTCTCCAGATTCTATGATTATTATAAACTACTATATTCCTCTCCATCTCTCAATTGAGCGAATGCTAGCGAAATTTGAAACAAAAAGCAGCCGTGTAAAGGGTATCGCGTTCCATCCGACACGTCCGTGGATTCTTTGCTCTTTGCATGACGGCTGTATTCAACTCTGGGATTATCGTGTGGGTACACTGCTGGAAACGTTTAGTGAGCATGACGGACCGGTGAGAAGCGTGGACTTCCACCCATCCCAGCCACTTTTTGTGTCAGGAGGCGATGACTACAAGATACGTGTGTGGAATTACAACAACAAAAGATCTCTGTTCACGCTCATGGGCCATCTGGATTATATTCGTACTGTTCAGTTCCATCACGAAAACCCGTGGATTGTGAGTTGCTCGGACGACCAAAACATCCGAATCTGGAACTGGCAGAGCCGTGAGTGTATCGCGGTGCTGACGGGCCATAATCACTATGTGATGTGTGCGCAGTTCCATCCGAAGGAGGACCTTGTGGTGAGTGCTTCTCTTGACCAGACAATTCGTGTCTGGGATATATCTGGACTGAAACAGAAGGGGAAGAAGATTCCGGGCAAGACGGGAGGTCCGAGCACGATGCTTGGCAGACTCTCTACAGACCTCGTGGGAACTGTAAAATACGTGCTGGAGGGTCACGAGCGCGGTGTGAACTGGGCCTCGTTCCATCCCGAGCTTCCTCTGATCGTTTCGGGTTCCGACGACCGAATGATTAAGATCTGGCGTACAAACGAGACGAAGGCCTGGGAAGTGGACACGCTTCGCGGCCACACGAACAATGTGAGCTGTGTGATGTTCCACCCTCGCGAGGACTTGATTCTGAGCGACGGAGAGGACCACAGCATCCGCGTCTGGGACAGCACAAAGCGGATCGGCATCCAGTCCTTCGTGCGTGCTCACGATCGCTTCTGGATCATCATCGCTCACAAAACGCAAAATCTCTTGGCTGCCGGCCACGACTCGGGCGCCGTGGTCTTCAAACTGCGCCGCGAGCGTCCTCCCTTCGTGGTGCACAAGAACTACTGCTTCTACGTGAAGGATCGGTACTACCGAATCCGCGAGCTGGAGGGTTCGGGCCGTGACATCGTGCTGATGCCGATCACGCGCGGTCCCGCGGCCAACAACGCGGCCACGCGGCGTCTGCAGTTCAACATGTACAGCAGCAGCGACCTGATGCTGCTGATGCACAACGCGGAGGACGGCGGTTCGTACGAGCTGCTCTGCTACTCGGGAAGACTGGATTCGGAGAAGATCACGCCGGACGTGGCGTCGGGCGCTGCGAAGAGCGTCTGCTTCCTGGGCCGGAACAAGTTCGCGACGCTGGAAGGCAAGGACACGCTGTGCATTCGCAACAGCGAGAATATCGTGCGGATTGGAGGTAGAGGATTCATGGCTAGGTGACCAAGCGCGTGCCGCTTCCCTTCGCGGGCTGCGAGCAGATTTTCCCCGGCGGCGTTTCGGGGCGCGTGCTGCTGTACAACGACCACCAGCTGGTCCTGTTCGACACGGCGTCGTTCCAGATGCTGGGCGCGGCGTCCTTGCCGGGCGTGAAGCGTGTGGCGTGGAGCGCGGACAACTCCATGCTGGCGGTGATGTCCGCGACGAGCGTGCGGATCCTCACCAAGGACCTGAAGCAGCTGGGCGCGGTGACCGAGAAGCGCCGCGTGAAGGACTGCGTCTGGGACGAGCGCGGCGCGGTGCTGTACTCCACGCTCTCGCAGATCAAATACCTGCTCCCGTCGGGCGAGTCGGGCGTGGTGCGAAGCCTGGAGGAGCCGGTGTATCTGATCTGCCTGCGCGGGTCGGTGCTGCACGTGTTCAACCGGGAGAGCGCGCTGCAGAAGATCGAGATCGACGCGACGGAGTACTTGTTCAAGCTGTCCCTGGAGAACCACCGCTACCACGACGCGATCCGCATCATTCGGAGCAACAAGGTGGACTCGCAGGCCATCATCGGCTATCTCCAGCGCAACGGCTTCGAGGACATCGCGCTCTACTTCGTCACCGAGCCGCGCGCCAAGTTCAATCTCGCGCTCCGCTGCGGCAAGCTGGAGGTCGCCGAGGAGTGCGCGCGCGAGCTGAACGAGCCGGCGATCTGGACGCTCCTCGCGGACGAGGCGCTGCGGCAAGGAGACTGGCAGATCGTGGAGCAGTGCTACGTGCAGACCAAGGCCTTCGACAAGCTGAGCTTCTTCTACATCCTCACCGGCAACCAAGAGAAGCTCCGCAAGATGCTCCGCGTGGCCGAGGTGCGCGGCGACGCGTCCAGCTTCTTCTCCAACGCCGTCTACCTCGGCGACGTCGCTGCGCGCGTCAAGATTCTCCGCGACGTCGGCCAGCTCTCCCTCGCCTACATCACCGCTGTCACCTACGGACTCGACGACGCCGCCGCCGAGCTGCGCGCCCAGCTCGACGAGCAGTCCCTGCCCGTCCCGCAGGTCTCGCCCGTGGCTCCGGAGAGCCTTCTCTCCCCGCCCTCGCCGGTCCCCAACGCGCTGGATAGCCTGCCCGTCCTCGACATGGCGCGCACCACCTTCGACCGCGTCATGCAGGAAGAACAACAACAAGAACAAGAGGGCACCGCGCACGCAACGACCGGCAAGCTCGACGCCCTCGACGCCGACCTCGACGCCGAGTTCCAGTCCATCGCCGACGAGGGCTCCGGCGCTGGCGCTGGCTGGGGCGACGACCTGGGCTTTTCCGACGACGCTGGCGGCGATGGCGACGACGCCCTGGACGCGGCCGGGTCGGGCTGGGGCGACGACCTCGCCTTCTCCGACGACGACGACGCCGCGCTGCCCGCGGGCCCCGAGCTGGCCGAGCAGGCGGCGCCCGCGCCGGGCGTGTCGGTGGCGTCGGCGTGGGCGCAGAGCTCGCCGCTGGCCTACGACCAGGCGGCGGCGGGCGACGTGGACGCGGCCTGCCGCCTGCTGAACCGGCAGATCGGCGCCGCGAAGCTGGATCGGCTCGCCGCGGTGCTGCGCGGCGCGTTCCTCAGCGTGCAGGCCGTCACCGCGGGGTTCGCGGGCATGCCGGCGCTGGAGACGCCGCTGCTGCGGAGCTCGGCGCCCCCGCGGCCACTGGCGGTGTTCGGCGCGGTGCACGTGGCGCAGCTGGCGAAGATGGGGCTGAAGTGCTTCCAGGGCGGACGCTTCGAGGACACGCTGGCGGCGTTCCGGTCGCTGCTGCAGATTCTGCCGTGCGTGGTGGCGGCGAATCGCGAGGAGGAGGCGGAGCTGCGCCGCGCGCTCGAGCTGGCGCGCGAGTACATTCTGGCCGTGCGGCTGGAGCTGGCGCGGAAGGCGAGTCCCGCGGGGAGCGCGGCGTCGCTGCTGCGCGCGGCGCTGATGACGCACTGCGCGCTGCAGAGCGGGCACCTGCTGCTGGCGCTGAACAACGCGATGGTGGCCGCGTACAAGGCCGAGAACTTCATCGACGCCGCCGGCTTCGCCGCGCGCATTCTCGCCAGTCCCGAGGCCAAATCCCCGCGGAACGCCGCTCTCGAGCAGAAGGCGCGGAAGGTGCTGCAGCGCAGCGAGCGGGAGGGCCGCAACGCGGTGGAGTCGGGGTACGATCCCCGCGGTTCGTTCGCGGTGGAAGCGAAGGCGCTGGAGCCGCTGAACAAGGGGGAGGAGCGCGTGCGCTGCCCCTACTGCGGAGCTGTGTATCGCGTGGACGCGGCCAAGACGCTCTGCGAGGTGTGCGAGCTGGCCACGGTGGGGTTGGAGACCGTGGGGCTGGTGTGTGTGGATGCGAGATCGTGATGTGTTTGTTGGAACAAAGAGTGGCAAGGGGAGAGGAAATTTAGCAAACAGGCGGGTAGAAGTGGCTTAGGGAACGAGAGGAGGCTTACTGGCGACCCTTCAAGGTGCTACAGAGGGACGAAACATAAAAGTGCGCTACGTTCTCTCCTCTTCCTCGTCGACGTCGATCTCTTCCAGCAAATCCTCGTAGTGCTTCAGAATCTCCAAAAACTCCTTCGAGACGTACGAAAACATGTAGAGAGCGCCGATTTGAAGACGTTGCATCTGCAAATTGTATGCTCATGAACAGGAGCACGTACTTCCATCACGCGCATTCGCGTTGCCAACTGACGCAAGGTTCGAGAGGACTTCATGTATTGGCTATTAAGCTCGTTCGCAAAGCGGAAGTTCATTCCGTTCGTGCTCCACATTTTCGGGTTCACCTGCGGCATCGCCATGCTATGCGGTCACTTTACCCCACGAAATGTACCGCTGGAAACGCACACCCCGCGCAAACTGTCGAGGGATTCTAGAAAACACCCTGGCAGACATTTTGGGTTTTCCTTTGATTTCCTGAAACCTGGGTCAAAAGTTGCAATTCCCGCGGTTATCGCCATTTTTCATATTCAAGCGAAAAGAAAGAATCAAATCAAATGTCGGCCGGTGTAGAACATCGTAACGAAGTGCGAACTAGCGATTGCGTTTATGTCTAGGAAGCTACTTTGTACGTGGGAGGTTTGGACGAACGAGTGGACGAGGAGCTGCTTTGGGAGTTGTTTCTTCAAGTAGGAATTGATTGGTGCTGTGCATTCTAGTTTGGACCCGTTGTTTCCGTTTCTATGCCAAAGGATAAAGTTTTAAATAAACACATGGTCGGAATGGGTTCATAAAATGATTCTCTTTAGGAATTCGCCTTTATCGAATATCAAAGCGAGATTGATGCGGAATATGCTTCCCACGTTTGTGATAATATCACTCTTTACGGGAGAAAAATCAGAGTGAACAAGTCAAATAAGGATCGCCCGACGCTGGATGTGGGTGCCGATCTTTTCATCAGCAACTTGGCTCCGGATGTGACGGAGGACATGATCAAAACGACGTTTTCGCAGTTTGGCCAGCTTGCCTGCGAGCCGATCGTGCCTCTTCTTTTTCTTCGAAATCGCTTAATGTTTAGATTGCTCGTGATCCGGAGACGAACATCAGCAAGGGCCACGCCTTCGTAAACTACACATCCTTCGAGAGTTCGGACTTCGTTATCGAGAGCATGAACGGGCAGGTGCGCATCGTGATGTGCATGTCTGACGGCTAGTACTTCCACGGCCGTCCCATCGTGGTCCAATACGCCTACAAGAAGGGAACGCGCGGAGAGCGGCACGGCTCGGCGGCGGAGCGTCTGCTGGCGAAGAGCAATCCGGATCGCGCGCGCGTGAACGCGATGATGTCCTCGTTCGCCGTGGCGCAGCAGGGAGGCATCCTCCAGCAGCAACAACAGCAGCAGCAGCAGCAGATGGGTGCAATGCAGCCGGGAATGATGCAGCAACCAGGCATGATGCAGCCAGGCATGATGCAAATGCAGCCCGGTATGATGCAAATGCAACCTGGAATGATGCAAATGCAGCCCGGTATGATGCAGATGCAACCAGGCATGATGCAACCCGGCATTATGCAACCCGGCATGATGCAGATGCCCCAGCCCGGCATGATGCAAATGCAACCTGGCATGATGCAACCGGGCATGATGCAACCCGGTATGATGCATTAAGGGAGAGGGGAGATCGGCCGGTGGCTGCCCGACGGAGTTCGCTTTTCACAAAACTATTCTCTACAATTCTGTGCTCGCTCGAAAGCTCGTGTTTGTTGCAAACAGTGGAGAGTATTGTACACTGACAGCCGCTTTCGCTCATGTCCAAAAAGGTTTCGCACTGCGCCTGGATTTCCTTGTGGTTCGGATGCAGCATCCGCACGCTCAGAATGTCGTTCAGAATCGTCTCCGCGTTCCCCAGCTCGTCGCCTGCGCCTCATTCGACCCACAGCCAAAACCCACGCCGATCGCTGAGACGGTTGTTCATGCTCTGCAGCAGTTGCAGCAACGCGTCCGTATCCTTCTGGAAGATCTGATAGCCCGCGTGGTACGCAGAGAACGCCACCAGCGCATTATCCTGCGACACCAACTCCATGATGAGCTCGAAGGTGTGCTTCCGCACGTTCCCACTTCCAGACGAATCGTTGATTTGAATCAAAGCGTCCAGACCGCGAGCCGCGTAGAAATCGCTCGCGACGGCATCTAATGATCATCTCTCGCCACCGCGCGCACTATCCTTCACGAGCACCAGCAAAAACTGCAGGAACAGAACCATGCGATCCACCGACGCCGTGCTGGTCATCTTGAGATTGTTAATGATCATGTCGATGCGGAGGTTCTCTACGATCGCCTGGCTCAGCAGCGAGTCTACGCGCCATTCCGCACGCCTCGCCGCGCCTACCCTTCTCCACCACGTCGATCAGCACCTTCACGCACACCTCAAAAACCGCGGTATCGATCAGTTTGGCCGCGGTTTTTGCCAGATTCCGCACGAACACGTGCTCCCGCAACAACCGCGTGAAACTCTCTACCCTCGAGTTCCCCGTTTCCACGGTACCTCCGTATTTATTGGCCAGTAACCAGTACGTCGTCGCCATTCGCTTCGCTTCTTCGCTCGTCGACGCGTTTCCCGCCAAATCCGACAGCGTCGCCAGCCCTTCCGCGATTATCCGACCCACGTCCAGACGCTCTCCCCGCGGGGACTCCTCGACCGGCGATCGGCGCGCGGAATCCCCGCGGGAAAGGCGATCAACGGAGCGAATCGAATAGCGAATCCGCGACGAGCGCAGATCGCTCAGATTCGACGATTCCACCGTGGAAACCGTGGAAACGCCCGTTCCGTCGAGAGGTCCCGCGGTTATCCAGAGTTCGCGGGAGGTGGGGGAGGGGAGGTTGCGCGATTTCCGCGGGGTTGGGACCAAAATGTCGGAGTTGCTGGAGCGGGCGGTCCAGTGCACCGAATCTTCGATCGAATCTTCGATCGAACCTTCGATGGAACCGTCCAGGGAACACTCTATCGAATGAGCCACGCAGGCGGGAGGAACCCTCCATCGCATCATCGATCGCTTCATCCGGCAGCTCCATTTTCCACTCGTCCGACGCGAGCTTCGACGCCTTCGGCGTGGATTCCGCGCCAAACCGAATGCGCTCGGCGAGGTCCTCGAGCCCATTGCGCATGAACGCTTCGCCTTCATTTGATTGGCCCATTTTTTTTATTACGGCCCTCGCTCATCGCAACCTCCGTCGATAACCGCGGTAAAATCTCCGACGGCAGAATCGGCGACAAAACCTGCCCTCGCAGCTCCCCGCCAAATTCTACCGCCAAATCGTTCCCGCGCCGTTTCCCCGCGGCAACCCCCAGCAGCGACGACAAAAACCGCGGGTTGCGCCGCTCGCCGTCTCCTCGCCCCATCCCCGCGGGTTTCTCGGTGTCCTGAACGGAGAAATGGAGGTCTCCTTCGGCGGGGCGTGGGGTCCCAATTTTTTTGATGTGGACGGCGGCGATTTCGGGCAGATTTTTGTCATTTTGGCGGAAGGCGAAGAGACCCGGCGTAGGAAGCATCCGAACGCGGCGCTTCCAGTCCTTGGAGAGCGGCGCGTCGCGCATCTCGGCGACTTGGCCGGTGATGTAATCGCGGGGAAGCGGAACGGGCTGGTAGAGGTGAAGAGAGTGCTGAGCGGAGATGATGAGGCAGTCGTCGAAGGTGCGCGCGCACGGAAAGGAGTAGCGGCAGGGGTACTGGCGAGTGTTCACGATGTCGTCGTCCTGGGAGCTGAGAAGCTGCGGGGAAGGCGTACATCGACGAAATCTTCCATGGCGTCGAGGGGAGGGTAGAGAGAACCGATGTTGTAGTAAAAAACGGATTTTGATTCGTCGAGCGCAGAAAATGGACCGACCGCACAAACAATCTCATCGCTCGAAATGTTGACTGCCTGAGAGATCGCCTGCGTCGATCAATCAATTGTAACACGTACACTGCATATATTTCGAAGAGCCAAATAGCCCGGAACGCGGAGCGTGATCACGCACTTGTTACAAGTTAAATCTATATACACAACGGTTTCGGGGACTATGATATCCACGGTGATGTCATTCTCAATGGCAAACAGCAAACTTTCCTCATCATGAGTTATATCCTTCTCATTGTCGTATACATAATAACCACCATCCTGGATGTCGCACTCATCCTACACAAACAGCGAATCTCATCCAGCCATACGCGTAAGTACTTTTGCAGCGATTGGAGCGGTTGATCTTCCTCCACCGATATCTCCTCCGAGTGCTCTTCCACCTCATGAATGGCGATCTTCAGACATCGACCCATCAGATAATTTTTGCAACAAACACGCAGCAAATCAAAAGAATAGGTGTACTCAACATAATATACAAATCCCCAGCGTGCTCCCCGTTTACCACTGCGTCTCCGTCGCGGGCTGCTCCCAGTTCTCTTCCGTCATCGACCCCATCGGCGCTTCCTCCGTCTGCATCGCCTGTGCAGCCGCCTGTTCAGCCGCTGCTGCCTTCTGGGACTCCTCGATCTCCTTGGGGTCGCGCGTGAAGAACAAATCGACACAAACATCCCATTCCTCATCGCGGCTCACGCTGCCGCGGAAGCGAAGCACCTCGCGGGCGAGGAACCACATCATCAAACCGATCGAGTAGTTGTTCTTCGTGTTGCAGGGAATCGCGCAGTCCACGTACTCCAGAGGCGAATCGGTATCGCAGAAGGCGATCGTGGGAATGTTCACGCAGGCGGCTTCGTGGATGGCCTGCTTGTCGAAACGAGGATCCGTCACGATCAGCAAGCGGGGCTCACGGAATTGCTTGGTGATCTGGTTGGTGAAGGTTCCGGGGGTGTAGCGGCCCGAAATGGTCTGGCAACCCGTGTACTTGCAGAACTTCAGCACAGCGCGCTGAGAATTCTCGCGAGCACCGATCACGATCACATCTTCGGGATGCTCGATGGCAACGATCATGCGAGCCGCCAACACCAATTTCTCCCAAGTCTTGGCGAGATTGATGATGTGAACTCCCTCCTTGGTGCGACGGAACACGTAATCCTTCATCATGAAGTTCAGGTTCTTCGTTCCGTAGTGGGCACGGGCAACCAGCATCTTGCGAACATCAGCATCACTAAACATAAAAATCAGTTTATAGAAATGTACGTGGGCTTGTTGAAAGACATTAGGAAGTGGTAAACGTAAAATCAATTTTGATAAACTTACAAATACACGAGGCAATGAGCAAAATAGCTCGTCATGGCGATTTCAATCGTCGATTTAAGAACCCGTTTAACCTATTGCTCGCCTTATTGTCTGTTTTCTTTGGATTCGATGCAACAACGCTTCTCCTACCGAAGTCAGGCTAAAAGATACCCCTTTCCACACATTGGTTTCACATTCACAAAATAATCGGCGAGTGCAACAGTGTGCCCAATTTGTTTTTCACATTCCCACCCTTCTCCTCCAACCCTTGCTTTTTCGCAAGTCATTTTGCAAGAATACAGCAACAGAATCAGCAAGTTTAGAAAGTGTCCCAATTATATATAATTGGACCACAGTTTCCCTTCTCCTTTTGTGAAACTACGAGTTGTCGTGAAATATGAGCGTTAAAAATTCTTCCTCTGAGTTTGTAACCGAATGTTCTGACGATGAGCGTAATGAAATCGGTAAGCAACGGATGTCTTTGGTTCCCTCACAGAAACTCTCACTCCTGTGATGGGAGTCGACTATACTGAAAACGAAGAGAAGCTGAGAATCATGGCAGACGCATATCGGACGATTTTGCAGGTCGGTCGAAAGGAATAATCAGTTTACGTATAGTGCGTTGGAGAGGACCCCGACAGAGAAGGTTTGGCGAAAACGCCGATGCGTGCCGCCCAAGCCATGTTGTTTTGCTGTCAGGGCTACACACAAACACTGGAAGTAGGAAGAGCGGGCTGCTGTTTATAGTAGGATGTGATCAACAACGCAGTCTTTGAAGATGCGTTTGATGATATGGTGATCGTGAAAGACATTCCCATCTTTTCCATGTGCGAGCATCATTTACTTCCCTTCTACGGAAAGGTTCACATCGGCTACATCCCCAAGGGAAAAGTACTGGGTTTAAGCAAGCTGGCTCGCATCGCGGAGATTTCCTGCCGACGCCTGCAGCTGCAGGAACGAATCACTCGAGAGATCGCCGACAACATCATGAAGGCGGTCGATTGCGAAGGAGTGGGCGTAGTTGTGGAGGCCGAGTAGGGTTTGATGGGTTTTTATTCATATCGACATATGTGTATGTGTATGCGAGGCGTACAAAAGATCGGATCCAAGACCATCACGAGTGCCGTTCTAGGTCGCTTTCGACGCGATCCGCGCACGCGTTCGGAGTTCTTTTCTAGCATCCATTGCTCTGTTTCCAACAAACACATCGCAAAAACACTCAATAGAATGGGCACCTACACATCATCCCCATCATCACGTTCTCCCACCATCCCAGATAGCTCTGGCACAAGTTATAGCGCGACGTCGCCTGCGTAATGAGCCTCCGCACCTGCTCCTGCACGGAGATCTTCTCGTCCTGGTAGAAGTCGTTGCCGGTGAGCTTGTCGCGGACGCGCGAAATCACCGTCGTCGCCTTCGTGTTCGCCTCCAGCTTGATCATCTCGCTGCCGTCCTGCTCCGACGCGGTGTTCTCCGGCGTCTTCTCCGTCAGCTTCCAGTTCATGAGCGGATCGTGCACGAACGCCTCGAGAATGGCCATGAGCGAGTCCTCGTTCTGCCGAATCACGCTCATTACGTTCTCGCACGTGCTGCGGAACGTGCCCTCCACGCCGCCCACCTCCATCGCCTTCACCAGCATGCGCGTCAGTCGGAACGGCACGCGCTCGGGGAACTTCTCGCGCACCATGGTGACCTCGAAGCAGTCGCCGAAGTCGATGTGGCAGATGGACCCCGTGGCGCGATTGATCATGATGTTCGACGGGTGGCGATCGCCCAGGCCCAGAATGTACCCCACCATGCTCATCACCGCCAGCGAGCGCGTGTAGTTCGTCCGGCGCAGCAGCCACTTCTCGCTGCTCTTGCTGCGCAGCCAGAGAACCGACTTCAGATCGTCGCCGATGGTCTCGTTCATAAGCGTGTTGAACACGTCCACGCGTCGAACCGGCATCATTTCTTCGTACATCGGCGCGTACTGCGCGTCACTCTTTCCTATCAGGGCCTACCTTCGCGATCAGATTGCGCTCCGCGCCCAGATCTGCGCGCTTGCATTGCCTGTACATCTTAATAAGCGCGTGCAGCGTGTCGTGGCGATCCACCCAACTCACCATGCCGCAGCTGTCACTGAACGGCGTCACGCTGTACGTCCGCACGAACAGTTCCTGCTGGCACGTCTCCGGATTCGCGGCAAGCAGCCGATTCACCATCGTGAACAGCTGCATCACCAGCTCGTCCTGCCGGAGATCCTCGTTCCCCTTGAGCAAAAACTCGTACTTCTGCCCGTCATTCCCGAAGATTGTGATCTTGCGCGGCCGCTGCTTGCTGGGCAACACCGAGAGGATGCGGCAGAACTGCTTGATCCGGACGATCTCCGATTTCTTGTCGGGAGAATACGTGCCGGGCACGGCGATCATGAGGTTCTTGATGTTGAGGAGCTTGGGACTGACGGAGTCGAGCTCGAGCTCCGTGACGAGCTTGATTGAGCGGGTCATTTGCTTGTAGATCTACGCGTTAGTGGGGAAAGTCGACCGAACTTCGTTGAGGTCCTTCCAGGCGCTTTCGATGTCCGTCACGTTCTTCGTCTCGATGTAGCGGAGCAGATATTCGCGCGTGCTCTGAATCTGCCGCTCGTACATGCGGTGGAAGTAGTCCTCGATGCGCGTCTATTCGTCAGGCCCACGATCCGATCCGACTTCGGACGGCACGCCGATGGTTCGGTACAGGTCGTCGAAAATCAGAAGCATCTTGTGCACGTTGCGGAACTCGTAATACTGCGTGGACGCTTCCTCGATGCCACGTCTCCATTTCTCCGTCCACAGCACGGCCACGCGGATCAATTCGCTGCTCACCAGATCGGCTTCGTTCACCAAAACCGAGTTATCGCGACGCAGATGGCTCAGCACTTCCAGCGCGGCGCGCTGCCGCGACTTGGTTTCGGACCGCGTGCTCCGCGTCAGCGGGTAGACGAGCGCTTGCGGATGCGCCTTGGTCAGCTGCACGAGGAGATTGATGAGAAGACGCTTGGCGCCGCTCTCTTTGATGTGGATTCGCGCGACGAGCTGCGGAATCACGTACAGCCACGTGTCGATGGAGATGATATTGAAGCCGCAGTTGATCGCATTGATGACTTTCTCGCGGTTGCCGTAGGTGAACCACAGCGTGATCAGGCGGAGAATGTCCTGCAGGACCAGCGACGAGTTCTTGTCCTTCGACAGCGAGATCGCATCGAAGAAACTCCCGATCGCGCCCTTGAGATGATCGGTGACTTCGTTGTGCGCCTCCTCCGTGTTGAGTCGGTTGTAGTATTCCGCGCACGTCATGTGGAGCATGGCGATCTCGTGGTACGCCTTGTGGTCCTGGTTGAACTGCGAGCACTCGTCGATGATCGTCGCGATATCGCTCACCACTTCATGGCTCAGATTGCGATGATTCTCGTCCAGAATCCACTGCGCCAGCCGCAGTCGCATTCGCACGCGGACCGTCATCTGCTCCTCCTGATCCACGCTCTGATACAGCAGCTTCGACCCCTTCGGCGAGTCCTCGTCCACCAGCTTCCGCAGGCGTCGAATGGCTTCTTTCGTCAGGCCCTGATCATAGAGGAACTTGTGGTACGCGTAGCGGACCTCCGCGTACGCGTCGTTCTCATCGTTCGGGTTGGCGCCCAGCCGAGGGCACGACTTGATGTCGATTCCCAGCGACTCCAGCGTGCGGAGCGCCAGAGCCGGCCGGTTGCTCTTTCGCGCCAAGGAGATGAACTTCAGCCAATGGTGGTACGAGCACAGCGCGTCGTAGCTGCTCCGATCGTCCTCGTTGAGCGGCTCCAGCTCGTACGATCGCTTCGGCTCCGGACTGCGCGGGTTTTTCTGCTCGACGAACAGTTTCCGCAGCGAGAGCAGCCCGTGCCACACCGAAACGTCGCGCTGCACGCCGTCCAGTCGCTTGTTGAAGATCGTGACGAGGTGCCGGGCAGCCGGGAAATAGTCCGGGCTCTCCGGCGCGTAATTCTTTCGCAGCGAGCAGATCTCCTCCAGCTCCTTCAGCTCCTCCAGCTGCGTCACGTGGCTATAAATTCGGTCATAGCCCTCGCTGATGATCGGAGCCAGGATCCGACTGATCGCGTTGCGCGTCTCGGAAATCAGCTTCTCCGCCTTCTCGTATTCGCGGTCGTGGATGTACAGCGCCACTTGGTAGTACGAGATCTCCGTCGAGTGCGCGCTCGCGTTCGTTATGAACATGCGCAGCAGCTCCCAATCGCCCAGATCGAACGCAGCCTTCGCGCCGTACACCGCGGCCGTTTCGGCCTGGCCGCAGTCGCCCAGCTTGTCCTCGGCGCGCTGGATCACGCGGAGAACCATCTCGCTTTCGCCCAGCGCGTTCAGACAGCGAATTCGGCCCATCGTCAGCTCCGTTTCCAGCGGACGGTTCACCTGCTTGCTTTCGTACGCCTCCAAGGCTTCTTCCCAGCGACCCAGCTTCTCGTACAGCTCGTCCATCACCGTGATGTCCTCGTAGTACTTCTGGGAGTAGCGCAGCACGCCCACGGCCGCGTCGGGGTAGTGGAGCTGGTTGTTGATCTGGATGAGCGTCTCGATGCAGGAATCCGGCGTCGTTTCGTACTCCATTTCCTTGTAGTGGAGAGCTTTCGCGTAGGCGTTGTTGTTCATCGCCAGATCGCCCAGAATCCCGATGTCCAGCGGCAGCACGATGTCCTTGCTCATCTGCAGCACGATCTCCTCGTCGTGCTCCATGAACTCCGCCAGCGACAGAATCTTCATCGTGATTTCCGGGGGCACGGGCTGCTTCGAATTGAACGCCTGCTTGAAGCAGCTCGCCAAATCCGCGCGATACGCAGCGGGCAGCTCGTTCCACAGCGAGTTAAACGCGGCGTTGAAGAGCTCGTTCGCGAAGATCTGGCTGGTCTGCGCCAGCGCATGGCACGATCGGATCGAGAAATCGGGCGATTCTTTGATCAGCGTGATGGTGAAGCGACGACTCCACTCGATCCACTCGTCCTTCGTCGTTAGATTCACCGCCTGCCGCCACAGCGTCTGCAGCGCCGTCATGTCGCCGTTGTGATGGCGAGGAGCCACTTGCTCCTCCGGATGGACCACCGAATCGTCCTTTTGGTCGAAGCTATAATCGCGGGGAGCCAACACACCGCCACGATACAGAATGTTCGAGATCTTCTGGAAGTCCGGATAGTTGATATTCTTCTCCGAAACCACCTTGTTGATCGCGGAGAGATAGATATACGCCTCCTGCTGCTTCTGGCACATTACCGAGCAGATCACGTCCATGATATCGTCGGTCACGCAGCAGTAATCCTTCGACAGCACGCGCAGCAGCGGCATGATGATCTGCGAGGTGTACAGCGACACGTCCAGCTCGTTCACGATCCGCTTCAGGCATTTCACGCCTTCGCGCTCGGAGGCCTCGACGTGCTCGTTGTTCTCGATGAACCGCATCAGTCCGGGGAACACCACGTTGAGGTAGTTGTCCAGCGAGGGAACGATGCAGTGGAGGCAGTGCACGATCTCCGTGGCCGCGCGGCGCTTCTCCGGCGCGCTCTCCGACAGAATGGACAGCATGCGGGGCATCACGTACACCAGGTAGAGCTTGAACTCGCTGTGGAAGCAGCTGCTGCAGACGCGGATGAAGATGAGGATCTCGAACTGGTTGGTGTCCCAGAACGGCTCCATGGAGCGGAGAATGTCCGGAAGGTAGGAGCGAATGTGCTCCTTCACGGTCTTCACGAGGTCGTTGAGGAAGTACACCGTGCGGCGGAAGCTCGCGGAGTCGCACTGCTTGCTCTGCATCATGCGAATGAACGGAGGGACCACCAGAGAGAGGTACTGGTAGGATCTACATCGAAGGGGAGAAGCAGAGCGACGAGGAGTTCGGCTTTGTGATCACGGTCGTCAACGCATCGAACGCAGTGAATCGATATTCCGAATACGTCGCGTCTTGGAACGCGCTCATAATCGCCTCCAGCGTAATCTACATTCGCACCCGTCCCTCAATCGGACAATCAAATCACGCTCTTCGCAGGGACACAGCAAGGGACGCTGGTCTTCTTGCAGATCGTCGTACGACACAACTTGCAGATCGGATTTGGACGTTTGCTTGCTGCCGTTCATTCGCTCATCCCTCAATCTCTACCTGTTCTTCTTGTAGATAAACGGATCGATCGCGCCGAGGCCTCCCAGACAGCGCATCACGCTTTCATTGAGCGTGTAGGACGCGTTTCCAGACCGATTGTACTGGTTCAGCAGAAGGTCGAGCAGAGAGGAGTACTGGAGATACGGTTCGATCACATATCCCGTGCAGAACGAATACTTCTCTAATAGCACAAGACCCGCTTCGCGGAGCTCGTTGCTCTGCTTCAAGGCCTCGATGATAATCGGCATCAACACATCGTTATGCTTCGCTAACTCGGGAGAACCGACTTCTGCCAACAGCGAAAGCGTCTCCAAAAACGCAATCTTAATATTATCTATCCTCAATTTCCACTCCAAACACTCACCATGCTGAATCGTCTTCAGATGATTCACCAACAGCTCGAACACAGGATTCACATACGCCTCAATCAAACTCGAGGTGGAATGAATCGACAATCCGAGGAGCTTCACCGACTCGATAATCGTGGATGTTTCCTGCGAGTATTCCAACGCTCGCAGCAGATCCAGAATCAACTGTCGCACCGCGTTCGTCACCACGCCAGGAATCGCAGGCGAGAGTCGGCTGATAATCTTCAGCACGGCTCGCTGAATTTCGTACTTCTCGTCATGCAGCGCCATCAGCAAAAAGGAAACGTTCTCCGATTGGATCAGATACGGGTCGAACCGCTTGTCCAGCGCGTTCAGCAAGCACGATCGCACCGAGACCTCGCGGTCCGACAGGCCCACCGAGATCAGCTTCTGCACTTGGTTGTACGCCTGCTGGAACTGGTTGTGGTTCACGATGCGCGGGTGTTTCGGCAGGAGAAGCTTGCACGCCACGCGCACTGCCGCGCAGCGGATTTCCTCGCTCGGACTGTCCACGTGCGGCATCACGTGCGCCGTCACGAACGAGAACAAGTTCATATCGCAGAAGTCGAAGATTTCCAGAGCGCCCAGCGCCAGCAGCACGTTCGACGGCGGCGTGGAGGACGATAACCGCGATTCTGGCGCGCTCAGCATGCGCTTCTGCTGCGACTGAAAGTTGAAGCTGGGCAAGGAGTGCTCGGTGTGCGACGATCCGCCCAGCACGCGGCCCAGCTCTTCCAGCAAGTGCTTCTGCACGAGGTTGAGACTGTTTTCCGTGTGCGACGACACCTCACGGAGCGCTTCGATCAGCGTCCGACTGATCCCCGCGGCGAAGAGCTACCGTCAAAAAGGAGAAAAGGGGAAACGTCCTTGCAGAGGAGCGAAATCTTGTCGGTGAATTGCTCTTTGAGCGCGCAGGACATGTGCGTGAAGCAGTCGAGCGCGTCTTTCACGTTGTCGCCGCGCCTAGCGATCAGAACTTCGATCGAATTCGACCGTTTGGACACGAGATTCTCCTTGATCACGTCCACAATCTCGTTGATTCGAAGATACGCGTCTTCGGGGAGAACCATCGCCAACTCGCCGACGGCTTTCAATGCGTCGCCTCGGTATGTGTCGCGCGCTGTGCAGGCCATCAGATATTTGAACGCTTCGTCGCGATATTCGTCGGTCAAAAACGAGATCGCGTAGAGCTTCATCACTCGGAAAATCACCGGAATCAAGTCTAGTTTTCATTCAACGCTGCTGGGTCGCACGGATGACGGCCTTTTTGATGTACACTTCCTTCGAATTGAAGTAGGAGCGGATCATCGGGTAGATGGGGTCGATGTACATGCTGCTGAATTCCATCGAATTCTTCAGAAACGAATCGATGGCGATGAGAAATCCGTGAATGGACTCGCTTCGATTGTCGTTCGGAAGACTCAGCACGGGCTCTAAGAATTTGTGGTAGAAGTCGTTTCGCTTTTGGTTTTCGCGCTGCTGCATGAGAAGCAAACAAGCAGAGAGCGCTTTGCCCGCCGCTTCGCGAATGTGAATGTCTTTGTCGTTGAGGTTGGCGAGGATGAGCTGCTTGAAAGATTCCATGTGCTGATAGAAATGGATCGGGGAGTTCGCAGCCACCTCCTTTAGAATTAGTAGAGCTAAAATGCGTTTGCGATTATCTTTGGAAGTCCTGAGAATGTTGAAAGAATCATTTAGGATAGAGTCAGTAAACTCAGAGAGGTAGGAACTACCCACATGGAGGAGATGTCCCAAGGTCTACTCCATTAACATCCAAAATAGATTCTTACCGACGACAAAGGCTCCAAAAGTTTGTCAGAGCGGATACTGTTAATATCGGATTCTAAAAACGTAGACATTCGAACATTCCGCTCTTCTTCTTGATATCCCAGATCAACAAGCTCGTTTATGAGAGCTAGATATCCAAGATGTGCATTCTCATCCGTAGTTCGGTTTAAACGAGATAGGAGTATGAACAACCCCACGCTGATATTATCATACTCTTTTGCATCTGCGTTCTGGTACCTTCGTTCAATCCATTCCCTGTACAAACTAGCTGCCTTGTTCCTCACTTTCTCATTGGGAGAAATTAGATCATCCACAACGTTTGCAGATTGTCCTGCTTGTGAATAGAAGAACCCTAACTGGTCTTGCATTGCGGATGAGAAGATAATAAATGATATGAAAATTCCAAAAATCGAGACTACTTTCTTCAGAAAACAACGAGCAATGTTAATAAGTAAGATTAAAACAACATATCATTTACAATTCCATCTCTTGCATAGTACCCGTTTTCAATGCAACTCTTGTCAACAAGGGGAGTCATGTTCTCCATTCCTCCACAATTCATCAAATGCCATGTAAAGTGTTCTTCGCAGCATATTAAACTCGGAAATTGCAGAATCGCATCTCTTCGCCTACATCTCAAAGATGTCAGCCTCTTTTACCATAGCGCCGTTTTCATATTGTAGTATTTTTCGTACAGCTTGCTGCTACACAAATGGCACATGAATAATTTGTATATATCGCACTCCGCGCAATTAGGATTACTGCACTTGATCAGCTTCTTCAATTTAAAAGATGCCAGCATCTTGTGTGAAGGATAAAGCTTCAAATGATCTAATAAGTGGTATTGGTCGCAGTAGCAGGCATTGCATGCCACGCAGTACACTAGATTTCCTCGTTTTCTACATACAGAACAACTCTGCGTAGGGTCATCGAACGCTTTTCGGCATTTCCGAAACAGCTTCGACAACTATGTTTCATGATCTCCTTTCCGCCCACTTCACGTCGCTGCCATTCTGGCAATGATTCACACTCAATGCCATAACCTGCTTCTTCCCCCTTCTCCTCGTTTCGACCGAACCCAACGAACTCCACGCGCTTTCCGGAAGCGAAATGGCAGTCCTGCGCCAAATGGCCCGTTTTCCCGCAGATCGGGCATTTCCTCGAATCCAGCGGGGAAATCCCGTCCTTCCAGCGATTCTTGGAGGGGAGGAACTGCGGCGCGGTGGGCAGCACGCGCAGAACTTCCGTCTCTTTGCGTGGCTCGACGGAAGGAGCGGCAATGGAAGGCGTCTGGGCGGGCGAATCGTCGGAAGGCGGGGAGGAGAGCGCGGCTTCCTCGGCTTTCCGCTTGCACTCCAGGGAACAAACGTCCTGGTCGGTGCGGTCGCACACGTACTGGCCGAATTTGCCGCAAATCACGCAGAACGGACCCAGAATGGGAGCCGCGGGCGCGTCTTTGGAGAACTGAATGACGGATTCGAGATCCGATTCGATCGAATCCGAAGGGGTGGGGGGAGGAGGGAGGCGGGGATCGATCGAATGTTCGATGGAATTCGATAGATGAGGGGTGAAGGTTTCAATGGAATTCACCGTTTGTTCGATGGAATTCACCGTTTGTTCCTTCGAATTCGCCGTTTGTTCCTTCGAATTCGCTATTTGTTCGATGGAATTCGCCGTTTGTTCCTTCGAATTCTCTTCGCGTTCGGCTGGTTCTTCGGAGTCAGAGGAGAGGGCGAGAATCGATTGAAGCGATCTCCCAGCCGATGGGACGGAGGTTTCTTTGGGAGTTTCGAGAGGACGGTGGAACACAGAAACATTCGTGGGGAGAGGGAATGGTGCGCTGGAAGCAGAGTTGGGAAGTGGAAAATCAAGAACCACTAAGCAGAATAAGCAGATCATCAAAGAGAAAACGAGGATTGGATGCCGCAGAAGCCTGCATTGCTTTTCCTTCTTCTTGCAATTCCTCGCGAAGTTTCCTTCGTTTTTCTTGTCTTTCCTGCTTTTTCCTCTCTTTTGCAACCTGTTTATCATCTTGTTCCGAAGAGGAAGATGACTCACTATCGTCTCTTTTCTGTGATTCTATATTCTACTCAATTCTACAAAGCTACTCGAATGCACCGTATCCTTCTTTCCACGCTTATCTTGCTTCTTGTTCAACACTCGAGCCAAACATCCCATCTTTTCGTCATCAGTCTATTGTCAATCCAACAAATCGAATTCATACCATTTTAGCAATCTTTGCTGTGTCCCAACCAAATTCCTCCAAGAGTGCATGGTAATCGCTACCGTCAAGCTGGTCGGTTGCAATCCGATAAGCTTGAATGTTCTCAAGGATATTATCGATTCGGTACTTCCTTGACTGAGCCCATCCAGGAGCCTATTCTGTTACGACAGTATAGTGTACTAACGCGCTCAAATATCTTGTGATTCTGAGCCATCCACTATATAATCATTTCTGTTGATTGAACCTTAATTGAATTTCAGATGCCATTAACTCCTAAATTCAGTATCACACAGGTATTTTGTTTTTGAAGAGCTCTATGCGTTTTTAGACGGACGAGTTTATTATCGTTGAGATTAATGTTCCATATGTTTGTTTTTTGAAGATATATATGATTTGTAGGTACGTGTTGGAGATATGGAGTTTGTGGTGGATGATTGTGATTTTTCGTTCTTTTGCAATCCCTACTTGCTAAAGCTGCACTTTCCTTATCCTTGTATCGACGATGAACGAGCGAAAGCAGTGTACGATGTAGACAAAGTATGGATTCGCAATAGTTTGCAAGAAATAGGATAACGGAACTGTGTACGTCCATATTCCCAAGGTGGAAAAGGGCCGTTTCTTCCCTGACTTAGATTTGATCTCGACATTACTCCAAAAGCCTGCTCCCATGCCTACCCTTCCCAGAGGGTTTTTACCAGACAATTTCTGACCATATTAGTCCTCTTATCCAAGAGCTCGATGCTCCTGCTGCCCCTGTTTCTGCGCCTCTAGAAACTCCCTCCACAAACACCGATCTGTTATCTCTCGAAGAAAGTCGAAACCGCGGTCCCTCTATTCTCTTTAGACGCCGCGTCCCGTCCCCGGAAATACGGCTTTAACGATCTCTTCGAGAACGTCTTCAAGAGCTTCGAAGACTGCAGCGAAATCATCGAGAACCCGGTTCCCGACGATTCTCAAAGCGACCCTTACGAACTCATGCGAGCCATGGAGACCACCAAGTTCAGCAAGGACCACTATCTCAGCGACTACGTCTATGGAAAGGAGGATTATCTCTACGCCGAGTTCACGCAGTTCCTCCCGCCCTGGGTCCTCGCCGATCGAATTCTTCGAAAACGCGTCAAGGAGGAGGGAAACCCGCCCGTCGTACCGCCCTCCGATTTCTACGATTTCTACGATTTCTACGATTTCGACAAGTCGGGATCCAACGGAGAGCCCCAGCAAGCGACAGAAAACCGCGAGAAAAAGGAGGAACACAAATCGCGCTCGGGAGATGAAACGCCCATTCAGGTGAAACCGCTAATCAGTGAAACGCCTTCCTCCCGCGGGAAATCGCTGATTACCGAGATCGATGAAACGCCGTGTCAGAAATCGGGGGAATTTTTGGAGAGCGAAAGTCGTGCGGCGGAGCAAATCGTGGAAACCAAGCGGGAGTTTCTCGATGTAACGCCCCACATTCCCTCCATGATTCTGACCATCGATCCCCCCAATTCCACCTCGACTTCCACGGTTTCCACGGTTTCCACGGTTTCCACCTCTACTTCTACTTCCCCCGAAGCGGCGAAGGCACGAGCAGTCGCAGAGCAGATTCGGCAGCACGTGGGATCCCACCGATTTAGCCACGAGGAAATGTGCGAACTGACGAAAGAAGAAAACGATTTGATTGGCTCAATTCGACCAATCAGCTTCTCGATTCCGAAAGATCGTCGAGGTCACATTTTGTTCTCGTTAGTGGATATTCTGTGTGCTTATTGCTATGACGTTCGAATGACACAGAATGATCCAAACACGGAATCAGCATGGACGATCTCCATCCTCTCCCCCACTTTGTCCTGGTTGAACCAGCTTTCATCTTTGCACACTGTTCTTGTGTCATTTATTAGGAGAGTTCTCATTTATCCTTACCTAAGAAGATATGATCTAGCGAGGTTGTGCATTCGGGATTGTGCATTGATCATCAAACTTGGGAAGCGTCGAATATTAAAATGCTTACTTGATGTGCGGATTTGGAGAGAGGTCGATTGTAGATTAAGAAGGTGTTTAAGTACTCCGAACGAAAATATATTTTGAATACTCTGTACATTGACAAGTACATACTGTGGATCCAGTCGGTTGATTACCCGGTTCTCTATGACCTCTCTGAGGAGATTAGCGTATCGTTGCACACAATGATCTTATTCGTAGTATTTACTGAAAACAAGAATAAACCGAGAGGTTCTTGATCTTGGAATCCCCGAACTTGATTCAGAGGCCAAGGAAATATTGAAAGAAGAGTTGGAAAGTCAACAGTAGCTTTATCCTGTTTTTTCTACACACAAAGGGAGAGCTTTCTAATTATAAATTCTGGTGCCATGCTGAAAATGCGCTGTGACATAAAATCATACAAAATCTTATGGAGAACGCCTATTCAAAGTCCCTGGATGCGCAGATTCTCTTTTGGAATCAGTTCAATATTCCAGAAAAGGTAAAGGGCATCAAGGAGAGTCTCGAAACGATCTCCAAATCTCAAGAATCGAGTGTGAAATCCAGAAAGGAGTTAGCAACAAAAACGAAAGAGTTGCGCTCTGTGGCAGCAGGAGAGAGAATGACGTTCATGAAGGGTTTGTTGAAGTCGTACCAGGAAGAAATCGATCACTTAACGATCCGCTCCCAGTATTTGCACTTTCGTTCACTTTACTGTCAGGTTCGCTGAAAACCTCATGTCCGTGTATTACTCCGATCTTTCATCGCTGGTTGACCCGAGCCAGCTCTTACAAGAGTCCAAAACCATTTACACGCAGTACGTGGAAGCTATCACCGAATCAGAACGTCTGGATGCTTTAAACAGCGAGTAGCGGTAAAGGACTTTTCCTTACTATAGAATGCGACAACAAGTGATGCAGCTGCAGTCTGCAAACAAGCAGAAATCGTCCACCGAGAGCGAGAACAGCTCGCTTCGCAAGGAAATCGCTCGTCTGGTACGTTTCTCCGCATGTTATTCACCCACAGAAAGAGCTCAACGACTCCCTCGAAGACGAGCTGAAGCAGTAAGCCCGCTATCCTTGCTCGTTCCCTTCTAGCAAAGACGACGAATTGAAATCGCTCGGCGAGTCGCTCGCTTCCTTGTCTTCCACCCACGAAGAAAACGTCCGCCTCCAGCTCCAAATCGCGACGCTTGTCTCGATTGAATGCACCGTTTGACGCGCAGAACAAAGAGATCAATGAGTACTACTCCGTGACAAACAGCGTGGGTCCCGACGTGGACGGCTCGGCGATCACGCAGCAAGTCGCGTTTCTGCGCGGCCAAATCGACTCGCTGCAAGCAGAGCTTCTCAAAGAGAAGGAGTCGAACCGAATCGCCGAAGAGCGCCTCAAACAAACCGAAGAATCCTTCGAGCAGAAAGAAGAAGGCTACGAAAGCCAGATCGCGCTTCTCAACACCGAACTCGAACGCCAGGCCACCAGCATCGAGTCGCTTCGTAGGCGCTTCCATCGAATTCCATCGAAGGCTCGGAGCTCCAGACCTCAACCTCGACGTCGACCTCGACGTCGATTTCGATTTCAACGCCGACGATGCGATCGGACGACGTCTCCAATCTCGTGAGCGACCTTCGGAAAACCATCCAAACCCTCAAAGCCGAGAAGGACGCCGCGGCTTCACGCGCCGCAGCGGAGAAGGAGACGCTCCGGACGCAGCACGCCGCGGAGCTCGCGCAGCTGCGCAGCGAGCTCGCCGAATTGAACGAAGAACTTCGCACGCGAATCAGCGAAACGGAAATGAAGCGAATCCAGAGCATTCTGCTCACACTGCAAGTCGGGTTGTCGCCTCCTTTCTCTCTGCAGAGCGTCGGAATCCCCGTGGAATTCACGGCCTCGGCGGAGCTGCCCGTGCCGGACTTGCAAGCGGTGTTGCTGGACAAGATTCGGCACTTGGAGACGAGCAACAGTTCGCTTCGCTCCACCTTCAATGAGATCTATAACAAGTACATGCAGAGTGAGAATGACCGCCACGCGCTCGAGGAAAAGCTCCGGGATGACGAGGAGGCGATGAAGCGGATGGAGACGCAGATCGCAGAGTTGGAGCAGCGCGTCATTGGGTCGGATGGGGCGACTGCCGTCACGGGGTTCAGCAGCAACGTGGAGGTGATTTTGAAGGATCAGAGAGATCGGTACAAGCGGCGAGTGGATGAATTGGAGGTAGAGAAGAGGGGATGATGCGAGGTAGGCGGAGCGAAGTCGGGATAAGGCATCGCTGGATTCGCTGTATGATGTGATCAACCAGCTGAAGGCACAGTAGGGGTTGGGGAAGGGATTAAGGGAAGATTAAGCAGTGAGAAGGGAGCTTCAGTATTGCGCATCGGGTTTGTGGATAACGCGTAGAGAACGTACGATCGGTTCGGAAGCACGAGCAAATACCACTCTTCGGAGCTATCTACCAATCCGCTGGAGGAGGTTAGTTTTAAAGTGGCCCAGAAAATGGTTCGGTCTTCCAATGTGCGCTGCGCCGTTTCTGGATACTTAGTTGTGTTACATTTTCTTGTGGTGATACTAGTAATTCGTCAGTCGTTCTTTTGTTGACTTAGTGGATTGTTTGTTAGAAATGAACGTTTTTGTGGAGCCTAGAGAAGGAGAGTATCTATTCCCGAAATGGCAAACTATTAGCATATAGGAATCGAGAACCTTGGACTCTACTCAATTTCGAAGCGATCATATGGATCCAAGAACGAAAATCCTGTTTCATCTGCTGTCAGGCACAGGAGAAAAAAGAGTTTTCATTATAAATCCTAATATCAAAGATGTCTTCGTCTTCAAATTCTTTTGAGAGTGAATACTCTTGTACTAGTACTACTGGCATGCCGTCTATTGAACGCGTCTGGGGAAAGGGAAATCCTGATTATGACGGAACCTTATCTATAATTGTTGTCGGAGCTTCTGGAAACCTGGCAATGCTTAAGGTAGGGCTGGAGGGCTTCGATCCATCGTAGACGTTTCCTGCTCTGTTTTCTCTATTTAAACATTCTCTCCTGCCTCGCTATACGACAATTGTCGGATATGCGCGCACGAAAATGGACGATGAGTCGTTCCGAGAGAAGCTGCGAGGTGCTTTGAAGCGTAATTGCGACTGTGTGGAGCGCTTCCTTCACATTTGCCACTACCAGAGTGGCCAGTATGATTCGGTTGAAGATTTTGCTAGACTAAATGACCGTTTGAACGACATGGAAGTCACTCAATGCTTGCGCTATGTGGAGAATGGCAAGGAACGTTTCGTATGCAGTAAGAATCGTCTTTTCTACTACGCCATCCCTCCATCCCAGTTCAATCCTGTCAGCAAGTGCATTCACGGTTTGTGTGTGTTGTCCCCCTAATTTCCTAGACACCTGCATGGAAAACGAGGGCTACGATCGAATTGTCGTGGAAAAGCCCTTCGGTCGCGACTATGACAGCAGCCGGGAATTAAACACCTTCCTTCAAAGTCTCTTCGCGGAAGAGTCGATTTACGTATGTTTTATGGAATGCAATGCTAATCCACAGCGAATCGACCATTATCTGGGTAAAGAAATGGTGCAGAACCTAATGGTGACTCGGTTCTCGAACATGATTTTCAGCGCGATCTGGAACCGCAACTACATCGACAACGTCCAAATCGTCTTCAAAGAAACGCTGGGCGTGGACGGCCGCGGCGGGTACTTCGATCATTACGGCATCATCCGCGACGTGATGCAGAACCACCTTCTCCAGATCGTCTCGCTGATCTGCATGGAGCAGCCTCTCTCTCTGCACAGCACGGACATCCGCGACGAGAAGGTGCGCGTGCTGAAGGCCATCTCTCCGCTGCGATTGGACCGCACGGTCGTGGGCCAATACGTCGCCAACGCCACGCAGCCCGGCTACCTCGACGACCCCACCGTGCCCAGCGACTCTCTCACGGCCACCTTCGCGGCGACGGTGCTGTAGGCGCGGCGAGGCGTGGTGAGACGTAGGACGATCAACACGCCGCGATGGTACGGCGTTCCGTTCTATTTGAAGTGCGGAAAGGGGCTGGACGAGTCGAAGGCGGAGATCCGGATCCAGTTCAAGGATATGAGCTGTCCGCTGTTCGAGCACAGCAATCGGAACGAGTTCGTGCTGCGCGTGCAGCCCGACACGGCGATCTACATGAAGATGAACGTGAAGTCGCCAGGCATCGAGACGATGCCGGTGACGGGCGAGCTGGACATGACGTACAAGAAGAAATACGATTTCACGCTGCCCGAAGCGTACGAAAGACTCATTCTGGATATCATCCGCGGCGATCACAGGTAGGCGAGGCAAGAGGGCGTTAGGGTGTTAGTCACTTTGTGCGAGGCGATGAGCTGGAGATTAGCTGGAAGATTTTCACGCCGCTGCTGCATGAGCTCGAGGAAAAGAAGATTAAGCCCATTCCGTACGTGCGAGGCTCGCGAGGGCCCGAGGAGGCCGATTTGCTGCGTGATGCAAACGGGTTTGTGCGATCCAAGGATTATGAATGGAGCCAGCCCGAATTAGTAGATCATGTAAATGTTTGGCCTCTTTGTTTGAACAAGCATGCGGCCCATGAAGGTGGGTGCACAAGTAGTAATAATACAGCGTGGTTTGGTAACTTCGGGAAGAGTGGGAAGCGAAAATTGGCACCCAATCCTTCATTGTAATTCGTGTTTCATAGATGTGGAATGCTGATAGAGACATGATGTTGTTACCAAGAATCTTACAAATAATAATAATAATAATAATAATAATAATAATAATAATAATAATAATAATAATAATAATAATAATAATAATAATAATACAGAATGGAACCAACCCATAGCTTCAATCATCGTATCGCTTCGCCCTTCGTTTGCTCAAACAAACACACAACTTGCTAGCAAGAAAAGGATGCTTCAGCAACTCTGCAGCGGTGGGACGCGAATTCTCATCCTAGCCTTCATCGCTCTCTCCCTCACATACCACGTTCAAACACTGGAGATACAAATCTCTCAGCTCCTGGCTCAGCGCGTCCCACGTCTCCGGCTTGACTTCCGGCCGCGTGTTGGCCCGCGTGATCCGATAAATAACGCTCTCGCGCGTTTTGCTCTCATTTCGGATGGCTTTCCAGGGGATTTCGCCGGTTATCATCTCGTACAAACAGCAGCCAAGACTCCAGATGTCGGAGCGGCCACGTTGGAACCCTCGACCCGATTCCGGCGCAATGTACACGTCGGTTCCACGAAATGATCCGTCGCCGACGATCGTGTTCCGCGCTGATTTCTAGAGGAGAAAGAGAGAGAGAGGATGGCAACTTCGATCACGAAACACGAGCCAAAATCGCACAGCTTGTATAGATCGGTGTCAGCAATCAGGATGTTCGCTGTCTTGATGTCTCTACACATTATCCCATCTCCTGCTCCATCTCACCTATGAACGATGTGTTTCGACGCTAAATAGCTCAGAGCTTCCAGCATTTGCTTCATTACCACGCGGATCGTGGATTCATCTAATGCTCCATGCTTCACGATATAGTCGTGCAGATTGCCGTATTTGCAGTATTCCATCGCATATCCGCACACGCCACGCAGACTAATTTCTTGATAATACAAAACGATGTGGTTATGCAGTAATCCGCGAACCACACCCACCTCCCTTCGGAGATCGTTACAAACATCGTTTTCGAGATACACGGTGGAGGAAAAAGACTCATCCGACAGAACGGAGGCGGTTTCATCGGAGAATTGGTAGGATGGGTCGATGTACAGTTTGATAAATACATTGTCTTTGATTTCGGGGAGAGAACCGATGAAATACTGCGGAATTAGATATAAAAAAGAGAGAGGTACTTGAAGAGGACCGGAGATGGCGATACGACGGAGGTTCGTGATGGTCTTATCTTGTGTGGTTTGCAATCCAGAAGGGAAAACTGCAAGAATAAACCAAAAAGAGTGTGGATACGAGAAGAGGCTGACAAAGCGCTCGCCTGACTGAACGAGCTTTCTCGGTCGACTTCTCGGTTTTTTACCTAGCCGTTAGAGTCTAAGGCAGATGGAACGGTGGCATGGTCCTCAATGAAGTTGATTAACTCTTCCCTCTCCGTCAGCTCTTTACAATCCGCTACGCAGCTATCATATTCGCTCTGAATGGATGATAATGTGGTGCTTAATTCCTCCTTTTCTTTTAGTTTGTTTTTCTTTATTTCTTTTAACTTGTTCTGTGCGTCAATTATTCACTCAAATATCACCTCTATAACTTGCATTCGTCGAAGTTCTTGTATCTCTAGACAATAACAGAAATAAGGGACGCATACGCTCTTCATACGATAGTTGTACAAATTCGTTTTCATCAAAAAGCTTGATTGCCTCTCTAATCAAAACACACCACTCTACGCCTCATACGCGTCAAATTCGTCATAGGGGGACATCATAAAGTTACAGATTCGCGCAACTTATAACAAACACAAAGAATACAACAAAAAATGAAACTAGTTTAAGTTTAAATTATTTGCAAACTGCTCCACTTTTCCTTGTAAAAAGCCCACAACAGCGGGGTCCTTCTCAAGCACTTGGCAAACACACCCACGTGCAAAACTGATTACCTCTTCCTTACTCCACTGAAGTTCCTTCGCTACAGAAGCGATCTCCTGACTGAGCGAAACGCAAAACAGAGCAGTATCGTCTGTATTAACAGAAAACGGAATCACGCCCTCGATTTTTTTCAAAATTGGATGTTCTGAAAGGCTTTGGATCCCCAGTGTCATCAAATTTGAAGTGGGACAGACCTCGATGGGAATGTGCATCTGCTTAACGACCTCCAAGTCTGCGTCATTCTATTGTGAATCGATTGTGGATTTGAGTACGAGAAACAAACAATGTCCAAAGCGATCCGGCCGAAAATCAAGAATGTCCTGGATATCTCGACATTTTTGAAATTCGTCGCGATCGCAGCAACACTTTGAACTCAAAACTTTGGAGTTGGGAACCTCGCCAACGTGAATTGTGGTTGGAATGGCGTGCTTCTTGAGTAATGAAAAGGCTTCGCGGAAATAGGAGAAAGGGGCAGCCTATGGAAAGAGCAGAAGGCTGAGAGTACGGTGGGGTTTCCTGAGAGCTCGACTCCAACAACATGCAATTCTCCTGAAGACTTGTACTGAATGGCCAGTTGGGCGGTACGAAGCGCTTTCTCCCTAAATCAAAATCACTTGTGGGCAAATACGCGCTCTCACTTCGATTGATGCTCAGTACCAAGCGAGTTACGATTTGGTTTTGGAACGCTTTTTCGGCTTTTTTCATTTCGTTCAAAATTACATCGATTCCCTCCTTCTCAGACAATGACAACGACATGTCTTCCGAAGTGTAGCAACGCGGCGTTGTACGAATTTCTACGTAGACAACGCCGTCTCGCACACAATCCTCGATGAACTCTCGAGTAATTCGCTCCAACGAAGCTCGAGTCGTTATCACCGTGTGGATGACATCGAAAATCTTGAAGCACCTATTTCTCATGCAACACACGAACAGAAACTCTTGAAGGGAGCGTTTCCCATCGAGGAGCTTTTTCACGTTCTCCACTTCTTCAACGGAATGACTTTGCTGGTACAACTCCAAAATCGTATCGAGACGAACACTTCCATGGAGATGGCAGTGTAGTTCCTATGAATCATTTATTTATGCATAAAATCGTGTACAAATTTAGGGAGTTGTTGAAAGAACGCCAAGTCTAACATTTTTGTATCTCTCGAAGAAAGAGATTTTAGTGTTTCGGCGCAACGATAGGATGATCCACCCTCTAAAAATTTACTGTTCTAGTACTCCGATTGAAGGCTATTGAGTTCCATAATTTGCCCCGATTTTGGGATCTACTTAAGTTATTTAGTTTTCTGGAAAACAAGCCACTCATGGAAGTTCATCGATGCAATTTTTTCGAGTGGATGCCTTCCGCTGTTTGTGCAATGGCGTATCATCCCGAGTTGCCCATGCTTGCGATTGGAAGAGAAAACGGAAATATCGAGCTTTGGAACACGGAAGAGAAATGGTTTTGTGAATCCGTACCGTAATACCAGCCGTATCTGAAGCGTAGGTAATTAGCGGTCACGAAAACTTGTCGATTCGCTCCCTCGTGTGGACCAACAAGATAGACAACGAAGAGGAGCCAATATACAGATATCGCTTGTTTGGAACAGGTCTTCAAGGTCAAATTTTCGAGCTAAATCTCCACCAGCTCCGCGTCGAGGTGCAAAGCGATTCTTACGGTGGCCCCGTATGGATGATGCAGCGCCACCCCCACAACGACACGGCAGTGTGTGCTTGCGAAGATGGCTCTCTGCGTCTCTTCGATCTTTCGGGCGAGCGCGTCACCTACCTCCGTTCGATCCAGATGTGCTGCGCATGCGCCGCGCCTCACGCCTAGGTGCAAAGCCCGCGTGATGAGCTGCGCGTGGTCGCGCGACGGCAGCAGCATCGTTTGCGGCACGGGATCCAGCCAGATTTACGTCTACCACGTCGCGACCTCCAGGACGGAGAGTCTGGAAGTCAGCCAGGCGAAGAGCGAGAAGACGGTGGTGTGGTCGGTGCAGTTTCTGAGCCCGTCTCTGTAGCCTCCCGCGGGAAATTCGATGTAGAGTGGCGACGGGCGACAGCCGCGGGTATGTGCAGATCTGGAACGTGCAGAAGCGCGTGATGCTGCAGGTGTTCAAGGCGCACGAGGGCGACGTGCTCACGCTCTCCGTCTTCTCCTACCTCGACGCGCAAACCGCGGGGAAGCGCGTCCCCACCACGCTTCTGGTGAGCGGCGGCGTCGACGCCAAGCTCTGCGTGTTTGCGCACCGCGACGAAGACAGGACCGGAGAAACCGGAGAAACCGTGGAAACCGAGAGTGGGTGGATCCACGCGGCGACGTACCGCTCGCACACGCACGACATTCTGTGCTCGACCGTGCAATTAACCGCGAATAACGCCTCGACGCTGTTCCTCACCACCAAGCTCAAAACGCTCAAGCACCAGCTCGACGTGCTCCGGCGAAACGCTCAGACCCCCGCGGCCGCACCCGTCCCCGCGGGGACGGGGAGCTCGGACTTGCCGGTGCTGCGGCCGGTGAACGAGGATTTGGCGATGCTGGCGATCATCAGCGGCGGCGCCGACGGGAATTTAGTGGTCTATAATCTTCAAGGACGCCTCGAATCGCTGACCTTCCGGCTGTACGGGTTCCCCTCCTTCTTCTGCCCCGCGGTGGCCGCGCAGGCGAAGCACTGCCTGCTCCGCGTAGGCGTGGGATCGGGGTTTGACGTAGTTCGACCACAGCGTGGAGCTCGTCCGGCTCGGCGAGCCCGACCGCTCCGTCTCCCCCGCGGGGAGCGCCGACCCCGGCAAGGAGACGGTGTCGTCGACCCCGTTTGCCCTGTCCTCCGGGTTCCAGAGCCTGGCTCGGATCCATCTGGAGGGCGGTCGGAACACGCACAGCGCGGCGCTGTTCGAAGACGAGGACGCTTGTCTTCTCCTCGTCAGCGACATGGCGCAGATCAAGCTCTTCCGCTTCCGCGCTGCCGACCTCACCGTGCTCCCACCGCCCTCCTCCTCCTCTCTAGGTCCAGCCCGTGCCTCTGCCTCCCGCTCTCCGCGACTTCCCCGCGGTTTCCGTGCAGTTCCTGGCGCTGCGGACGCTCTGCGTGCTGGCGGTCAGCGCTTCGGGCGACTGCCGCATCGACTCCCTCGACGGCGAGTGCTTCTTTGCCGGGCATCTCGCCGCCTCGCCGCTTCCTCCGCTCACCTCCGTGACCGTAGCGCGCGTCCGCGAGGCGCGGAACACTGTTTCGCTGGTGGTGACGGCGCTCTGCCGCACAATCGCCATCGTCGACCTCGACCTCGTCACCCGCGCCGCTTCCTTCGCCCCGCTGCCCTCGCCCGCCCTGCCTATTACCGCGGTTACCGTCGTGCGGAGCCGGAAAGCCCTCCGATTGGCCCCCGCGGAGGGCAGTCCCGCGGTTCCGGGGAAGTGGACGCTGCTCGCCGCGCTGGCGGATAACTCGCTCACCGCCTACGATCTCGACGAACGCCGCGTGAACCGCGATTTGGAGCTCGCCGTCTTCGCCTTGCCGCCAGAATTCGCGCGGTCCGTGGAACCCATTTCCACGATGTTCTTTTCGAAGAAGGACATGCGGTGGGTCCTCGCCAACCGCGAGGCCGCCGTGGCCTGCCAGATCCGAATCGGAGAAACTGGAGAAACTGGAGAAACCAGGGAAACCAGGGATGCGAAGCTGGAAAACGCGTTGATGCATTGGAAGGGTCATCGATTGGAGCGGCTGATGGAGTAGGGGAGGAGAAGGGGGTCGAGTGTAGTGCGAAGAAGTATAGAAAGCTGGCGAAGCGAGCGGCGAAAGTGCTGCACATCTCGGGAAAGAGATTGGGCAATTACGGAAACATTGTGTGCTTCGAGCATATTGGCAAGAGGAAGTTGCTACTTGTGGAGAGACATTTGCTGGATATTGCGGCCAACCTGCCGAAAGTCGTGTATAGAAAGAGATATGGATTATAGTCATTTAAACCTATTACGAATCTCGTGTTTGTTTTATAGTACTTCCAAATCCTCGAGAATCATGGTGCAGTCATGGAATGTACCAAAACCGCTCGTCCAGTGAGATGTAGAGTTCTGGAGTTCGAGGCTTTCTTAAAATTCTTTTTAGTCGCCAGGAGAAGCGCAAGCTTCTCCCCATGCTCTCGTTTGCATCTGTTGCCGATATCCCGTTTGCTAGGTAAGACGAGGTGTTTTCGTGTTATTGGCAGTTTAAAGAAATGTGGTGTGAAGGCTGTAATTTTTGATAAGGATAATACGCTCACTCCTCCTTATTCGTTCGTCATGAATAAAAACATCGATAGCGCAGTTCGAGAATGTCAGAAATTGTTTGGATATGATAAAGTCGTAATATTTTCAAATTCTGCAGGTTTGGTTTTGAATTTGAAATTCCACGTAGGTTCCGATGATGACAAGGGTTATCTCCATGCAGAGGCGATCGAGGAAGAGTTGGGCATCCGAGTCATTCGCCACAAGCAGAAGAAACCTGATGGCTTGCTTGAGACCGTTTCTTTGTGGCCAGGCGTTTCAGCGCGCGAAGTAATGATGGTTGGCGACCGGTATCTCACCGATATCTATGGCGGCAATCTTTACGGCATGTTGACTGTTTGCGTTGGCATTTTCACGGAAGAGAACGATAACAAAGGGGCTATTTTGGTATTATTTTTGGTTATTTGGTTGTGTAATGTGTAGGGACGAAGAGTTGAGCGAATTCTACTGAAATTCTTCGCCTGTCTTCACATCAAGCCTTTAGATCATCCGATCGTTGCCAAGTATTTAGAATCGATCTACTCGTTTGTTTGTTACAAACAGTTGATTTTAATTGAGGAAAGGAATACGTGGCACGCTGATGCTGATGGCAAAAGCGAGTTTTGGAGATGAGAGCGAACTTGGAGTCCAGTTTGGACATGAATTCGAAGCATGCGAGTTGCATTAAAGGACGATCTCCTTGATGAAGGGAGCGAATGTATGCGCTTCGCAACGGGGAGCTAGAAAAATGAGTCGCTTGCTACGTGTGTACTCGTGATGAGCAACATCCATAGCGAATGATTGCGTGAGAATGTAAAAACGATACCCCATATTGCGAAGCAAATCGATGAATTGCACTTTGTTGCACCCGTAATTCACAAAACGCTCGTCGAAATAAGGCGTTGACTCGGAATAGCGAATCATCACATACCTACAATCAACCCAATTGCGCTTCAATACGGTTCTTGGAATCGATTGTGGAAGCAAGTCAGTTGCGCATAGCGCAGAGAGGAAGGAATCTGTTTCCAGTCATTCTGGACATATAACTATTTCAAATTAGGACTCCGGTTCATTCGATACGTGGGTTTTCGTTCCTTTTTTCGAATATAAACAGCGTCCTGCGTCCAAGCAATCGATCAATTCCGTCTTGTTACGAGGGAATAATTGATTCGATCTACATCACAATCCATCACAATCTTCATACCGTTCTGCACAACTCATGATGCCATCGCATTTGTTCAGCACAAATCGCTTCTCTAAGAAAAACGCGGGAACGATCACTGCCGCCTTCTGCGTCATCTGTAAACCTGTGGGAAGCGCGTACAACTCCTCATACAGATTTGCTAGATGATATAGAAAGCAGGAAAGTACGAGCTGGCCACATGTCCATGTCCATCACTAAAAAATGCGTTGTGATGATGTTCACAATCGCGATGTTTCGCAATTTGTTCACAGGATAATCGTTCTTTTCCTTGCTGTTCTTCTGCGGAATGTATAAAATGATACGCACACGCGATGGAAGATGGAGCGATTTGATCCGTTCCACAGCGTCTTTGACTTGTTTCGGGTGCGTTAGAACTGCAATCGAATAGCTTCTACGCCTCACAATCTCCGATCATTTCCACCCTTTCCACCGTTGCAGCAGAAACGGAAGAAACGACAGTCGATTCACTCTGTTCATGATGGTGTGAGTTCAAAACTACGTCGCTGCTGCTACGATTGTAACGTCAAACGAGCTATTCGAGTGCTTAACTGCGTTCACAAACAAAGAAACAAACTTTACATGGATAGTTCGCAGAATACGGATGCTCTTCGCTCCCTACAAAAAGCAGGCATTTTTCGCACACTGCGATCTCTGCTAAGGATTGCTCGAACGGCGAAAACAGCTTCCGAGCTTCGTCGTAAAGGTCTGAATGGAACGAAACAGCGAGGACTACCTTTGTTTTGCTTGTAGACGGATCGATATTGTTTGGGTGGAGAAGCGATCGAACTCTTTTGTGTTTCTAAAGGGCTGTTTTGTGGCTCATTTCCGAGTTTCGAGACTTTCCTTTCATATTTCACTAGCGTTCGCTGGACTTTCCCCATCGCATCGGACTTAAACAGGATTCGTTTTTTGACTGAGGAAGGAGCCAAAGACGATTGCTCGTGCTCTATCGAGTTGGATTCTGTTTGTTTTGAATCGAAATCCTCCTTGGTCTCGCTCACTTTGTCGCGATCGGGTTTTGAATCGAAATCCTCCTTGGTCTCGCTCACTTTGTCGCGATCGGGTTTTTCATCCTCGTTTGCGTCGTTTGCGTCGTTCGACAAATTCATTTGAATCTCGCTATCCGTCGTGTCGTAAATCTCGTCGCTTTCCATCTCGTTTTGCTCCGGATTCAGTTGAAAATACTCACGTTCAAGAGTTCGAACCTCGCGGAGCTTTTCTAAAAAGAGAGCGACTTCCTGCTGGTCTTGCTTTAACCGATCGCCGGCCAGATTGTTGCGACGCCTGTTAAAATCCAAGCGATTCTTGGCGTTGATGTATTTCTCCTCGATCTGCGCTCTTTTGAGTTGAATGTCGGTCAGTTTGGTGTCTTGTGTGTTGGGACTATAGGATTTGGAATTTCGAGAAGCAGAAGTTGAAATAGTTCTGATGATTCTGCTTGGAGGACGAGTAAAATCCTTTTGGAATGGATTCGTCGGACGGCGCGAGGGGGGATGAATAATAGTGTATCGCTTTCTCAAAAAAGAAGGGGTAGCGAACACTTCTAACAATAAAGCATAGAGAAAACAACTCACGAGGCTTTGGACTGTTTACTGAGTCAGTAGCAGCTTCTTGATCGGACTCGCGTTGGCTACTATTAGGATTCAAAGCCAAATCCCCTTGGTTATTCTCAATCTCTTCACTCGAACGGGACGAGTGATTATTATCTTCTAGAATAATCAAAGCATATGTAAAAATACTACTATTACTCCTGAGTTGAGGTGTTGCGCTTGTTGTTGAAAGGACGATTTCACTTTCATTTTCAACACTATTTTTCTAAACTATAATGTGATATATTTCAAATGCTACACTAATAACAAATCGTTGCACAAAAACGTCATTTCGGTATTGTTTCCATCGTTTACCATGAATATGAATATTACTGTCATTTAACAGTACTAATGAATATGCAATATACAGGAAAAAAGGTAAGAGGAAAAAAGCAAACCAAAACACACTCCATCGACTGTGCTTTCTACTGCTTTCCAAAGGAACAGTCATACGCAGTCAATATGAATATACAGGTGAAAAACACTGAAATCACGGTCAAAGAACTGATAGTCCAGAATCCAATGTAACGACATCAACTAAGAGAAATCTTCCCTATCCAAATTTCTGTTGGTGAAGTCATGGCTCAAAGAAACAAACAATCCATTACAGCAAACACATTTACAATGTAACAGTCTTAGGAGCAGGAGCAGGAGCAGGGGCTAGAGCAGGAGCGGGAGCGGGAGCCGGAGCTGGTGCCGGAACAGGAGCAGGAACAGGGGCTGGGGCAGGTGCCGGAACAGGAGCAGGGGCTGGGGCAGGTGCCGGAACAGGTGCTGGCACAGGAGCAGTAGCCACTGGAGCCGCCTTGGGAGCCGGAGCAGCAGCAACCGGGGCAGGAGGTGCAGTAGTCTTAGAGGAAGGCTTCTTAGGCAGGGTCTTTCTGTCTCTCTTGACCATGAAGAGAATGCCAAGAATCAGCAGAACCACACCGATGATGATCAGAACGATTCCGATCAAGAAGTACAGATCCAGCTTATCCTCCACACAATACGAAGTCGGAATCGCCCACGTAGCCGAAGCACCGCCCTCGTTCAACACGCACGTTCGCTCGCTCACTCCCTTGTAGCCAGAGATCAGCGTGCAATCGTACGAATAGCTCTCGTTCGCGGCGGTTCGCGGGAAATCGGCCATCGCCTCGCAGTGAGGCACATCCACAGTGATGTAAATCGTCACGTTGGTGCTGCCAGCAGAGTTGCTCGCAGTCACCACATACTCTGTACGATCCGTTGCATTCACCGAAGTTCCATAGATAGCACCCGAATCCGAGGCAATACCCATTCCCTCGGGCAATTCCGGCGAAATTGTGAACGACTCCACCGTTCCGTTGTACATAGCGCTCAATCCCTCGTAGTTCACGTTCGTGGTAACCACGATCTCCTTCTCCTTGTAATCCAGATTGGTCGGCAAGTCCAGCACGCACTCGTCCATCTTCAGAATCGACAGTTCACCATTGCTGCAAGTACGATACGCCACACCGTGGTAGTTCTCAGGGCAGGGCTCTTCGTAGCGCTCTCCGTCAGCCAGCGAGATTCCCTCCACTCCCGAGCAACCAATCGGCGTGACCGTGATGGTCACGGTCGCCTGGGCGGAGCCCGCGTCGTTGCTCGCAGTCACAGTGAAGGTGTAGGTGTCCGCCTCCTTGATCGATCCGGCGATCACTCCGTTGTCCAGCAGCTGCAGACCACTGGGGAGCGAGGGGCACGAGAACACGTCCACCTTGTTCGACACAGAGGGCTCGATGCGGATCGCTTCCAGCGAGTCGCGGCTCATCGAAGCGGGCGAATAGGAGAAGCTGGAAGGAGCCAGCAGCGTGCATCCCTCGTAGTTGATGGGCTGGAACACGCCATTGACACACTCACGCGTCGCCATGCCCGAATAACCTTCAGGACACACAGCAGCCTCCGAGGTCGCTCCGTTCATCACAGCAGGGAACTCGTCCAGAGCCTCGCAGCCATTATCTTCCACCGTGATGCTGATCGTCACCGACTTGGATTCCGCGCTGTTGGTTCCGGTAATCTCATAATCGGCAGCAGGCGAAGGCACAGTGGGCGTACCCGAGATGGTTCCGTCCTCACCCAGCACCAGACCCTCCGGCAGATCCTTGTTGCACGAGATCGAAGGGAACGCTCCGTCCGTCAGCAGAGAGATCGGGGTCAGCGCCTCTCCAGTCTTAATCACGATCGAGTTCACTCCGTAGGTGAAGAAACCGCTCAGACGCGGCGTGCAGTGCTCCAGACTGGGCTCCTCGAACTCGCCTCCCATGCAGCGAGCCATCGCGTAACCCGTGTAGTACTCAGGACACACAGCCACCGAGTACTCGCCGTGGTTCGTGGCCAGATACTCAGCCGTGGCCTCGCAGTTTACAACGATCGAGGTGAGAGAAATCTCGGTCTGCAGCGATCCAGCCGAGTTGGTCGCCGTGATGGTGTACTTGTTTCCAGTCTGCGTGCTCTGCAAAGCTCCGGAAATCACTCCAGTGGTGGGATCGAGCGTCAGATCGGCAGGCAGCTCGGGAGCCACGCTGTAGGACTCGACCGATCCGCTGACCGTGGGCTCGAAGGACTGTTGCTTCTGGTAGATGATGGTCACTTGGTTGTTAATGCCGTAGACCACAGCGATGGGAGGCAGCAGCGTGCACTGGTTGTCCTCT